CGTGGATTACATTGATATTTTTTGAACTGACATAAATTTGATGTCCAAAATTCCGTGTCCGCCAGTGTATTAGAAAACTATGGAAATTTGCGCCTAAATTTTTAAGCGCCACCTATTCAAAGCCGGCCACACTTCAACTTTTCGTACTCTACTGTCAGATGTCGCCTCCTCCCATCTGTTGACATTTAACAGCTGTCAGTTAAATCCTGTCTGTTTTTGTAACACAAGTTCACTGTGTGTTTTATCTATGATTTAATTCTTATCAAAGTTAAATAGACACACCGAGTGATTCGAATCGAAACTGAAATGCGTTCGTGTGAACTGAAACACGTCGTCATCGGCAAAAATCATCTTAAATTGTGACATTTTCCTAAAATGTTTAACACCAATTTCTCAAATTAACACTATGTTTATTAAACCCCAAGAAGTCCTTCTAGCCAGCCCCTTTTGGTGAGTAGACTGATCACTATTCATAAATGCAACACGTCAGTTTTTAGGGAAACGGAAGAAACATCAATATATTTTTTATTGCAACATCGAAAAGGACATGGCAATTCCAAGGGGCTGTCGTCACTTCTTGTGGGCACCATTGATAGTATTTTTGACACTAAACCGGCACCTTACAGGATTTTGCACCAAACACCGTCATCTGAAGTCTATTACTGTAAATATTTTGTTCATTTTTAGCCATTTATTCATGTTTGTTTTCAGTAATTGCATGTTCTTTGACAAGACAAGAGATCCTGAAGGATTGGGAATGGCTCTTTAATAATGTTTCGGAAACTTTACATTGTTTTGATAGTGAGGATGAGATCACTGATTTTGTTTCTTGTAAAATTGAATCTGTCATAGCCACCAGACAAGAAGTTGATGTTGAAGGTGAGGTATCTTTTGTTACCATCATTTTCATCAATAAATGTTTCGATATATTGATTTTACTTAACAAACGAAAATTACAGATATGCATTTGTTACAATTTCATGATTAGATAAACGCTGTATGTAATGAGTTATTTTAATGGTCCAAGGAAATCAATTAAAATACCTACCCAAATCATTGAGTAATTTTTCAGACGAGATTACAGAGTCTTATTATTTAATTTGTTTATGTTCGATAATTAGTATAAACAAATTTGCTTCTTTTAAAATGTTTGGAGTCATTGTCATGTTTTTTATTACAATATTTATACAATAAATGCTTATCTTTACAGTAATAAAGTTGGGTAAATATTTATACATGAATTGAACTTGAACATAACGTAGTTTTATAAATAAAAATTGTTTTAATTTTTACCTGTGGTATTTTTAATTGCTTACTTTTCTTTATTTAATTACATCAGCTTCTAATCCAGTTTAGCAAATATCACACATGAATGAATAAAAATATCAATTTTATTTAGATATTCTTGCAATTGCAGTTCTAATGAGTTAAAACATTAAAAGTACAAGGTGTCGGTGGGATTTTATTTTTTCTTATTGTAGTTTTAAGTTTTTATTACATATTTAAATTCAGATATTTATTTTATATACTACTCGCAATTGAAAACCGTACACTTCGAAAAAATGTTTATGGATGTCATGTACAATATACCATAAGAATAAAATTTTGGGTACAAATTAAGGATGTCGTGTCTTCTTTAGGGGAGTAACTGTCAATTGTAACTAAACATTATTTAAAAGAAAATTTAAAATGACATAGAACAGCATTTTCTACATATTGTTTATTATGTGCAGATGACTAGATGATGACTTGATGAACTTTGCTATTATTTATCAGAAGAAAAATACTTCTATTACGTCGTCCCAATTACGAAAAATATCGACCCATTTAGCAGATTAGCGAAGCAAATTCGTTATCACAAAAAATGACTAAACAATTGGTAATAGTTTTGCCTTGAACTGTAACAACGAATCGATAAAAAATATCTTTCATTCTGTCTATTAAGACTTCCTTTGTTTGTGCAGCAAATGTTTTTTATCACTGATATTGCAGTCTGCATGGCAACAATGGACCAAATAAACATAATTAACAATGCGGGGCGAAATATTGCTTCCATTAAAATTATCAAAAAAGTATTTGGGCTGCGATTAAAAAATAACATACATGAGTCATTTATTTACTGACTTGTTTTTGTTATCAGATGAGGACTCAAAATCGTTCAAAGTCACATCTGACAAATTCATCCGGCTTTTCGGTCTGTCGAAAGATGAGAAACTTGTCAACTATTATTCTTGTTGGTAGGTGTTTTTTTGGGTATTTATGAATTTTTTTAATTTCTTGATTTATGAATTTTTAAGCTATTGGAAGGGCAAACTGCCACGACAAGGGTGGATGTATTTGTCTGTACACTACTGTTGCTTTTACGCATTCATCTTAGGTCTAGACACGAAAGTTTGTATAAGATGGTCAGACGTGATTGAATTGAGTAAAAAAAATAGTATCGTATTTCCTGATTCCATCAAAATAGCAACAAGGGAAAAAGAATATCATTTCAGTATGTTTCTCACCAAAAATGAGACTTTCAAATTAATGGAGCAGTTGGTCGATCTAGCCATGAAAAGGTAACGGCTTTAGTGATTTTTTTTGTGTATTAATTTTTTTTTGTAGATTAATCGATGACAAGAGGAGCTTCAGTGAAGATAAAGAATTGTTATACAAGCTAAGGTAAGTGTTGTTTGAACACAAACGAGCGAAGCTAAACTGTCTTTTAAGCAAAAACGTTCCGAAAAAGGCATCATTTCTGAAACGCGATCTCGACGCCCGCGCCCAATCTGACGCTTACAAACTGATGTTCCGCTTGCCATCTAGTGAAAAACTTGACGGTTCAATCGACTGCACCTTAATGACACCTTACAACAAGCAACACGTCGCTGGCCGCCTATTCCTTTCCCAAAACTACATCTGTTTCGAAAGTAGGGTATGTCGCAACGCACCTTCCCAACTCACCCTTTCACCTAATCTAATTTTCAAGGTCAAATCGCAAGTCAGTGTCGTCATCCCTTTACGCGATGTCAAACTTGCCGAAAAAATCGAAAACAACGCTTCGAGCCAATCGCTCGACAAAGCCATCATTATTACATCCCGAAACGAATTAAACAAAACCAATTTTATTTTTGCACAAATTCTCGATAGGGATTTCTTAGTTGAGAAAATCTCGGAATTGCTCGCTAAAACGAACACACCGAGTGGTTCCGATTCAATGAGTACGAATAGTGGGAGTTCGGGCGATGCGCCCCCTATCAGTCGCGAGGTGACATCGTGGAAGTGTCAGCCGGCTTTAATGACGGTGTTTCCCCTAAGTCCGATACCGGAAGTGCACAAGAAGCAACAGTTGAAGGGAAAGGAGTTTGAGTTGCATTTTAATACATATGGACGGGGAGTGTCCATGTATCGGACGACAGAAGTAGCGAAATTGGTGCTTCAGGGAATTCCCGATTACCTAAGAATGGATATATGGATGTCGTTCTCGGGGGCAGCCAATGAGAAGTTGAGTCATCCGGGATATTATCGCTCATTGGTGGATAAAGCGTTGCTTCAAAGATCTACAGCCAATGATGAGATTGAGAGAGACCTTCACCGGTCACTCCCCGAACACCCGGCGTTTCAAAATCAGATCGGTATAGACGCCCTAAGGAGGGTTTTGTGTGCTTACGCCTTACATAACCCAAGTATTGGTTATTGCCAAGCTATGAATATTGTCGCATCCGTCCTTTTGATTTATTGTTCAGAGGAAGAAGCATTTTGGTTACTTGCCACTTTGTGTGAGAATTTGCTACCAGATTATTACAATACTAGGGTTGTGGGAGCTGTCGTGGACCAAGGAATTCTAGACGACTTAACCGCCGAGCATTTACCCAGTCTTCACGATAAGTTGAACCAATTAGGGATGACGAATATGATTTCGTTGTCGTGGTTCTTAACGATTTATTTGTGTGTCATGCCTTATGAAAGTGCAGTTAATGTGATGGATTGCTTTTTTTACGACGGTGCTAAAGTTATTTTTCAAGTGGCGTTGATGTTGTTGGAGTGGAATCAGGAAAAGTTGCTAGCGTGTAGAGACGAAGGAGAGGCCATGCAACTGTTGGCTGATTATCTCATGGGGGTGTTTAATGACGAGGGACGTGGTGCTATTAGGAATAAGAATTATGATGAGCAAAAACGGGTTGGTTTTGAATTTCTATTTATTTTTAAATACTAATTGAGAAAAAGAGCATTTCAGTTCAAACTCTAATTTACCAAGCTTATGTCAAGTATGGGTTTTTAACGACGGGTCAAATTGAACGTTTGAGACTCAAACACCGACTTCGAGTCGTCCAAGAATTGGAAGACACGTCGGAACGCAACGTTATCAGATGTGTGATAGGTGACGGCTATTTCGGCCAACAGGAACTCCAAGAGTTGCTAAGTCTAGTCCGCGAAGAGATTCTAAGTCAGAAAAAACACATTCCGGAACGTCACGACCCGTCTTTGCAGCCCTACGAAGCATACAAGGTCGATTTTGACTATTTTAAAATTTTGTTTGCGGCGCTTTCGCCCTGGGGTAAGGGCGAGAATACGGAGTCGTTGGCTGCGAGGATTTTTTCGGTGAGTTTTGACTCACTTTTGTCGGGTTTTGGTTAATTCGGATTATAGTTGTTGGACGCAAATCGTGATGGTTATATTAATTTCCGGGAACTTGTTGCTGCAATTGGGTTAACAGCAAGTGCAGATCCGGCTCAAAGACTGAAATTGCTTTACACGATTCATTTGCCACCGCTTTTATGCATGTCGGATATCGAGTCGCCGACGAAGAATGAGCATGGGGCTGAAATTGCCTCCGAGGCAACAGATTTCTTTGATAGTGTCGAGCAGAGTGTGAATGTGGATTCGTTGAGTTTGCATTCGGAGGAAGCATCGACGCCTACGACGTCCTACACTTGGCAGTAAGTTGATCATACAAAATACTCAATTTTTTTTATTTGAATCGTATTTTTCTATTTCCTAAAGAAATACAATGAGGCAAAATTTCGATTACTTTATTTCGTTTCATGTTTTACAATTTTTTTGATTATTCTTTACAGTTTATATCCCAATCTGCGAATGGAATTGCTTTTTCTGGCGGTTTTGGGGCTGGAGGTTCCTAAAATGACACATTTTAATAATAGTTTAATTCCAGACTTTTTTACTTCTGGTGGAGGTTGCTTTTGTCCTTGGCAACATTTCTTTTTAAAAGGATCGATTGCTTCACCTTTACAGTCGGGTGCAGGCGGTTTTAGCTTCATTCCAGCGTAACATCTTCTAGGTTGTTTAGGTTTCTTGCTCTCTTTGAGTCTACATTCAATGGCTTTCCTAGGTTTCGGCTTCCAGTTCACGAAACTGCAAGGAATACATTTTTTCTCTTCGACAATTTTATCGGGTGGTGGCGGTGGACATTCGCATCCCTCTTTGACTTTTCTCCAGAAATAGTGTCTGATAAAAGCTGGCCAAAAATCCAAATCAAACTAAAATCAATTTTATAATTACCTAAATTGTGTCTTAGGGGTCTGGAGAGGATGCTCATCCTAACTGGAAATTTTGCAATTTTTGTGTCACTTGTCTTGTTTTGTTTGACGTTTTATTCAGATTTTTTCGTTGCTGATGCTGGTATAGGTATAGCACAACCAGGTAGTGAACCTTTATGAACCGCTTCAAGCATTGGGTAGGTTTTTGTTATTCGGGTACATGCAGGTGGTGCCAGATTTTGACAATTGGCTTCATTGTTGAACAGTTTCATGCATTTTTGGAACCTCCGGATTTCGCAAATCGTTTTCTCTACTACTTTTTTAATACCAAATGGTGTGCAAGGCTTTTCGTCTTCGTTAATGACCCACTCGTAGGTATTTCTTTTAGGTCGTTGTAAGACTGCACATTGATTAGGACAAGTTTTTTCTTGAACGGTGTCAATTTCTTTTTTCTGGAATTTTTTGGAGGGTTTTTCGGGACACCTCGTCCCACATTCCCATGGGAGTGGTCCTCTAGGAAGGTGGGTTTGTCGTATAGCTAAGTTAAAAATGTCTACGAAACGTTTTGTTAATATAACGGGAAGTTTCAATTGGTGCAGGTTTAGGCGGATTGGAAGCATATTTTACGGTTGTTAAATGTAATCTAGGCTTGATAAACACTCGAATTTTTTCATTAAATACTAAAATTTTGAATATTTGACCTGACATTTGTGTACACTGGCATTTGTAGACTTGATTTTTTACAGAAAATCGTTCGAATCTCAATCTTCGATGGACAATTCTTTGATCAGTAACAATGGAGCAGGAGAAGTAAACTGGGAGATTAAAAGTTTAACCAACCTTAGAAATTTAGTCCAATCAAAAGACAGTAAAATCAACATGAAAGCCGTTCCTAAAATGACACAACCGCACTTTATTACATTGTGGAAAACTGTTTACGATATTTTTCAAACAGAACCCGAAGATCAGGTAATTGGAATTGAATTTTTCCACACCATATTCTAATTTTTCTCATTCAAAAAGGATATGTACCATGCCATAGCAAACGTAGGTACTTTATTGTTAGAATTAGGCGATGTTGGCAAACAATTCTTTATTAATCGAGATGAATCTGATGATAGTCTTGTCTCGGCAGCTGCTGCTTTCAATCCGGGAAAAGCAGAAGAGGTTCGAATAACTTTATCTCAAACGTTTTTAAAATTAATAAATTGTGTGTAGTTACAGTCACCTGACAAAAATGGGAACCCCCTATCCCCGAAAACAGAAATTCAGTGGTACATCACAGTGGAGCAATTCCTAGCATCGGTGCTAAACGCTCAACCTTTGGTTGATTTTTTCTCAAAGCGAACTTCGATTTCTGACGGAATTCAACAACTGAAAAGGAGGAGATACACAAGATATAATTCGCTTTATGAAGTACCTGCGATGAAAGTTTAATTGTATTTTAATTATTTTGTATTTTTTTAATGACCTTTTACTTCATTTTTATAGTCTTGTACAGGTTATCAATGTAAATATTTACCTACAATTCTTATTATTTTGTATTTTATTGTAACCTAGTGCAATGTTTCATTAAACTGTTACGTAAAAACATACTTTACTAGAAACGTATTGGATGTTTTTAATAATACGCCCTGTTTGAGACTACTTTTTATTTCAAAAATACCTTATATTAACGGAAACAACTATTTTCAACTCATTTATATTTTACACAATAGGTATATACAAATTTGTTAAGTAAAATTATTATCTTAGCTGAAGTTGTATTAACATTAAAACGTGTATTGTAAAGACAAAAAAAATGTAAAATCTGAACGTAAGTGTGGTATTACTGTATTATATAATAATACAAGAAATAAATAATTAATACAATTAATAAATAAGATTCAACAATTGTCTAATACTAGAAGGTACAGTAAAAAAAGAATTACAAAAAAACTAGGCATATTAGTAGATATCTAATATATACACTTGAACCGGCTTCTCATACCGTGGAATGAAAATTTTTACAAGCAATCTTGTTGCATAATAAACTAGTCATAAATAATTATAACCACGGGCCTAAATGAGCAGACTGGTTTGGTAAATCAAAAAAATATCTTTGTGGGAGTTGACATGATAAAAACTTAGTACGACTTTGTTATCACAGAAATAAAATCAAATGAATCGGGAGGGACACTATAAAAATTGAATTGTGATCTACTCGTTCAGGCTGGTTGTCGAAAAATCCATATTAGCACCAACAGTCTATTAAAAAATCAGATCCTTGGGGAAAGTTTGCTCGAAAACGGAGCTACCCTGTACGATACCCTCGTGGATATCTTAAGCCCATCACTACGTTTCACGACTTAAAATTACCGAAATAAATAGAGTCAAACAATATCACTAGAATGACTATTATCGTCCCGATCTTTAAAAAAACCCTTTTCGGTCTTACACTCCCGAATCGTAACAGTTTTCAAATTCACCGTAACGTCAGTTATGAAAACCTGATCAGCGACTGGATTTCTCGCCAGCCAATACTCCGAGCCCGGACTCGTCAACACCGGAAGTTCATCAGTCATGTTATTATTATTGTGTCCGTTTACCGCCACTTTAACATCCCCACTTTTATCACCTGCACTGCACTCTTTTTCTGGCTCCTCTTTACTCACTTCGGGTTTTTTCGGCGGCGGCGGTGATGACGGCGGGGGATCGGTGATGGGTCGTTTATCGTCGGTCCGCGACGCCACGGGTTTGGGTGATGCCGGTTCTTTAGTCGAGGAGTGAGGAAGAGTTGCGTCAACCGGACTACGACTCTTATCGGTGGAAGTCCGGGGAGTCGTAGCGGTGAGAACTGCCGGACTTGATGCCGAAGGTATTGCTGATGAAGGGTCCTCTTCGTTTTTCTGGCGGCCGTTGACACGATTTGTCGACGATGGTTGCGGCTTTGTCGAAGTTTTTTGCACCTGCTTATTCGAATTCTTAATCACAAAAATAAACTACGTGCAAAAAAGGCACCACCAAGAAGAAGTCAAGTTACAAGGTTGAGGGGGGCGTAATTTGCTATAACAAATTATCAACAAAAAAAAATTTGCTTTGTTTCACTTGTAAAACTAAGGTAGTGTGGGTGCCGGGATTAAACAAATTGAAGGAATCTGTTTAAGCATTCTATAATAACATTTTATTATTTATTAAATGTATTTAACAATCCAAATTTTGGCCTGCCCTTTTCTGGAGACTAATCACAGATTTCTCCCCCACGTAACCACCGATATTTTTCTGAGAGTTTTTTTTAATTTTCTCGTCAAGACGGTAAAATTGAAAATCAGGAATGTTGTCAAACTCTAGTTCGATCCTTTATCACAAAAACGCATTTGATAGTTTTTCCGAAAACCACCCTGAATCAGTATCTTGGCCCCCATTTTTTGACGCGCCCCTCTTAAATTTTTCACAGAATATTTGTCTTACGACAAAAACTAATTACAATTTGAAGAAAATGTAATAAAAACTAAAAGAAAAAATGTAATATTGTAATTTCTCACGTCACCACAATTAACAATACGTTTTGAATAAGGTGATTTTTTTAGATTTCTCAACCCAAGCTTGCTACAGATGATAATACAACTCCTACAAACTACATATTAGCTTACTGGAAAAACGTTGTTTGCTTGTCGTGGAAAACCTCTTTAACGCCGACACAAGTTCGATGAAATTTAAATACGAAGAATGAGCTGGCCAAAGAAGAACTTCTGCTTCTTGCAGAAAGTTTCTACAGATTTGAGCGATATATGGGCGGGCATTATTTTACTGGAAAACTGCTCCAACATGTTTGTTTAATAAAACTAGAAGAAATCTTAAGATCTCGTCGATATATTCATGGGCATTTAATATGTCTCTGATAAAGGCTGATGTCCATGCTTGCACCGTAAAGAGTTTTCGGTTTAAATCAATTAAATGCGGCAATTTGTGCTTGCCAAAAATTCTCCGCCTTTCAAATTTGGACAGTCTCCAAAAAACCTGACTTTTCGCAATTCCAGACACTGACTTCAAAGTTTATGTTTTCACAGAAAATAAAAACAATTTTTAAACACCATAGTCTAAAAATGAATAATAACCATTGCCACTTTTTAAAACAATCTCACAAAAAAATAATGTTTATGTATTCATTTTGAACTTTAAATCGATTCCTAAAAGAGGTAGTTATTTGATAAAAATTTCGACCTTGTAACTGCATTCCTTCTGGATAAGTTTCAATCATAAAAAATTAGTTCCTACCTTATTTGGTGGCGGACTGGCACTCGTGGGACTACTCGTTGTAATCGTCACTCCAATTTTGCCACTTTCTTTCGACAATACTTCCGCTTTTCTCTTAGTCCCGATTTCCAGTCTCGCCAGAATCGGCCTTCTATCTTCGCTACTTGAACTATTTGAATTTTCGTTATCGTCGACTCCTGTTGGCACCGGCGACTTTGATGATATTTCGGATCCGGCCCGTGTATCTTCATCGTCTGGATTTGGTGCTGATTCCGATTTTGTAGCTGGAGTTGATTTACTGGTTTCGGCGCTTGTAACGCCATCATCTTGACTTTCTTCACCGCTTGCACGTCCTTCATCTTCCGTTTCCGTTTGCTGTTTTTCGGGATGTCGGTCCTTCTTTTTCGGACCGCGTTTGTGGGGATCTAGTTTTTGGCTTCGTTCGAATAGATCGATCAGGCGTGAGTCGAGGATGTTTTCTTCAGGTTCCCATGTGTTGTGCTTTTGGCTCCAGCCTTTCCATTTTACGTAGTATTCGACAACACCCTGGAAAAATCATTTAAGAATGCAACATTGTACAGGTACAATCAAAATGCACAAATTTAATAATAGGAAGCACTAATCACTATTCAGTAGTTGAATATTGACATAATCTATGATCCAAATTAATAAATCGAGGAAGCCCATATGGTGCAGCTAACATAAAACATGAAAGATCGTTAATAAAAAAACTCAAATTTTGGAAAGTAAATTAACATAAAAATTAAAATAGGGGACAACCGAGAAGAAAGAAATTTAACGGTGAATTAATTGATGATGAATATGTTGGACATAAAATCATTATCATATTTTCAGTTGAATATTGTTTTTTTTTTATTACATTCGATTCATCTATTGTCCAGTATTACAATGCTGGAAACACCCTGGCTGCCATTTCACTAGTAAAAGCAATTAATTATGCAGCATTAATATGAGTAATCGATCTGCTAGTCCGCTAATGCAATGCCATTCTCATTATTAAAATTCCATTGCATAATTATGTATTAAAAAATTTTGATACATGTTGAATGATTTTGTAGTGGATGTGGCCAGTGTGCAAGCAATTTTTTAATGAAACTGAAAAACTATTTTTCTCATATAAAATTTAAAAATAAAAAAATGTGTAATAAAAAACATTACAACAAGCGTTCTGAGCCATAAATAGTTGAAAACTCCTCAAATTTTTATCACTTCAAGAGTTTTAACAAATAAAAAAATATAATTATATTACATTTATGTATGAAAAAGGTTTTGAAATAGTTAAAAGAAAAAGTAGATAATTCAATAATTTCTTCTACTGCACATAAAACCTGCACCTGCACATAAAAGTTTGAAATGTGTTTTACATGATTTTATAATTATGTAATTCCAAAATAAGATAATTAAAAATATGTCCTATTTTTTATCGGCAAAGTCTACTAGGAAGTACGAGTATAAACAAAGTGATATGATTCTAATTTTTAAGATTTTGTGTGTGTCCCAACGTCAGTAATTTAGCATGTAACTGGATTAAATAGATATAACAACGTAATTATTATGCTTTAAATCTGATGATTCATTAAATACTATTACAACTACGTGCAACAAAATAAGAAAATTTGCATTTTCTTACAACATACATATTTTAAAAATTACAATTATGAATGCAAAACTGTTATAAAAAAATATATTTAGAAAAATGTAAGTTTGTTGAAAATACACAAATTAATTAAATTGAATAATTAATATATTAATGAATTGCGAAGAAAATTTTTTTTGACAGATCTTCCCAACTGCCAATCGGGTACTTTTCGAACTATGCTACCAAACCCTTAGGAAGTCTATCTGACTTTTTAACAGCACTTGAATACCATAACAGTAATTTTCAGTTGTTATTAATATAAATTTAATTAAAACAGTTAAGTTTAAGAAAATAAACATTATCATTATTTACAATTTAGGAAAATATTTCTAATTGTTAATAGATATCACTCGCAGCTAAAATCAAAAGTGCTCTTTGTTTAATCTTTTTTTAGTGCAAACAATTCCATACAGAAATAATCTGTAATCATAATCAATCATAATCTGTTCAGGGCTTGTAATTAACATAAATTAGGACTAAATGTTTTCTTGTGTTTAGATGTTATTCAGTTCAAACATTTTGCTAAATTATTTTTAATCCTGGAGAAAAATGCTTGCTGTTACAAATGCGTAATAGGAAATTTTAAGACTCAATTATTTTTTACATTTATTCGTTTACTTGCGATTATTTACTTAAATAAATAACAGATAAATCGGAAGATAAATATTTCTAAATTTCTATGTGCGAGTACATAAAAATACATATTACAGCAAATAAGGTTTAATATAAAAATGTATACATTTCTCCATTTCAAGATGTTATATTTCTATACACCTATTATTAATAATAATCCTAATAAAATTTTATTATTAGCAAATTAGAAATCAAATACATTTTTTCCTTTATTCTTTCTACTCCATAATTATTGTAAAATGACTATTAATAGGTAATATGAATAGCAAAATGCCCCAGACAATTATTTGTTAACTGCCATAGGTATATGATGGTATTTTTAAGTAGATTTTTGTACACAAACTGGCAGATAAAATTATAGATAAAATTAACATAAACACAAATTTCTCAAAAACGAGAACGTCTGAAGAATGCATTTCCGTCCCGCAGGCTTTTCAACATTTCTTATCTCAATGTTTATACAACTGAAACATTAAGTCATCGTCAGTCTACACGATGTTTGTTGTATTATTTTTTACCAAGCTTCACATTATTCAAATTAGCACAACTTGATATCGAAGTGCTCTTTCAAGAAATAATTATGAAACATCTGCGGACATTTTGACCGGTTCATAAATTATAAATTACGACCTTGGATTACTTTATTGACTCCAAACCGTAATAATAAGCTTGTAAAGCTTTTATTGTCAGTCAATCGTCAAACCCGTTTCGTCTATTATACTACATCTTCTTCAACATGTGACACTTGGCAACAATAATGACCATTTACAATCCCAACCCCTAATTCTTGCACCAAAAACTCGGCATCTTTCGTTGAAAAAAAAACGAAAACAGCGTCCTAATTAACCCCACAACTTCCTCCCCGAAACTCTTCAGCTGTGACTCATGTTTTAGACCGGAAAGGGGTGACAGGAAACCCCAATTATGTAAGGAAATATCCCTTGAGTCACAAACTTTATCAACAAACACATCGCAAGGCATCGGTAGAAATTCGAGGTTAGCTCCGATTGAAGCCCCCACTTTCATCATCAGACAACTCGAACAAAACAATGATTTTCAAGAATGAAAACTTACCCGACGAACTCTTTTTTTTATAATCCTTTCGGCGGCATAAACATGGTCACCAAGTTCCATTGTTATGGCTGATGGGGACGCATAAAAACTCCGAAAATAATTGCGCACCAGATATTCATCTAAGTGCATAACCAGAAATCGAACTGAGCTTTTCTCAGCATTTTCCGGAGAAAAACAATACGGAGTTTTCCGCGAAATTCACAAATTGCGTCCACAACAACTCACTCACATCACATTGGCTTTGGGGAATTTAACGTTTGGCAGTTGGATACACTGCGGTGAACAGCGCAAAGATATTTTTAATAAAATTAATTAATTTTTTCATTTATAAAAGCTTGTTTACACCTTCGTAAAACAAATTCACTAGAAGTTTACACAAGAAGCAAATTTGAAACGTTCTTGTGATTGTCGCAGGCTTCTTACTACACTTAACACCCCAAGTATGATAATGGACTCGTCCAGTCGACCATATTTTCGAAATATTTTTTCGACACAATCGAAGTATTTCAATGAAAATTTTCTTTACGCGGTTTTCAACACATGAAGATGTTTATTATTCTGTGAGATTACATAATAATTTTTTTGTCTACACTACTGTCTTTTGCTTTTCTTTGGTCTGATTTTCTTACATATACGTTCAAAAAATAAATTATTTTTCTAATTTTTTTAAAAATATTACAGTTGTTAGCACCGATTTATTTTAAGGCTTTATTTTTTGTCAATTATGCAAACAATTAATAAATGTTTATAAAAAAACACGTATAATGTCAAATGTGCCCTAATTTTTGTAGAAAAAAAGTGCCACATTTTAAATCTATTATCATAAATTTATCATTACAAGAGCTTTTAAAAGCAATCAGTTAAAATCAAATTTGTTATAATAATAAACTTTTTGTTTTTAATTTAACAAATTAAAAATTGCGGTGGTCAACAGTATTTTTCGGGCGTATACTGACTCTGTCACATTGTAAATTCATTTGTATTTGAGGTTTTGTGTTTTTGACAATTGACATTTCTCCCACCCTAACCTAGAAATGCAAATCGGTTGACTCCTTCCGTTGACTCGAAGGTTTATTTTAAGTAGAAAATAAATTGTAAAAATGGCTGGAGCTTCGAAAAAATCGAGGAAGGTCTCAAAACCTGACTCTGGTGAAGAATATCAAAGTGACGAATCTGGAAGTTACCATGGACAACAAGTGGGTAAAACTTTTTGGGGTTATAACCACAACACGTGCTTTTGTAGGAAATCCAAGCGACTTTTGAAGGCCGAAATCCAGAAGGACAAGATTTTCACGGCATTAAACAATTACTTAATCAGTTATTTTTAACTACACATATTGATTTGGGCCAAATGAGTGATATGTTGATTTCCCAAGCTGGAATTGGATCTGTTTTGAAGCAAAGTTTTAATGATAGTGACGATGAGGAAGATATGGAAATGGTGGAAGAGTCTGATGTATTTGGTATCACCAGTGTTATCAATCTAACACAACATAAGGTGTTTGCGTTTACTTCGCATTTTGTATGATAATCGCGGATTTTCAGGAAACACCTTGTGTTCAGCAACTGTACAAGTTAGTTGAAGACGAAATTATGAAACAGGCAGATCCTCAAACTAAAACCTCATTTAAAGAAATTTTGGAAAAGAATTCGAACAAAATAGGTTTTATTATTAATGAAAGATTTGTTAATATACCATCAAAAATTTCCCTTCCAATGTTACATGCATTACAAGATGAAATACATAGGATGGGAAAGAAAAATGACAGTTATAAATTCGATTATTACTTAATGATTTGTAAAACTTGGAAATCTAAAACCGATAATAATGAAACTGTATTTTCAAATGACGAAGAAGAAATCTTCTGTAAGAAAGCTGATTGTTCATTTAATTACAGTGTGGTTGGAAAAACTGATACAGGATTGACGGGGAATTGGCAGAGTGAAGATAAGGAATTAATTCCACACAGAGCAATAATCTTATTCAAAGCGGATAAACTTCCAAGTATTATAAGTGAAATACAACATTTTGTATCAAGTTAGGCTAAGAATAAATTTTTTACAACGGCAAATCGTATTTTTTATTGTAAACTCCAAACTTTTCGTGCTATATATCAAAAGACAATTAATGTTCAGTCTTTAAAAAAACATTAACAAGATCATTCCCCTTAACTAAATTAGGATGAAAGACAAAAAAAACGGCAGATGTTTTCCTAAACATATACTTTTGTTTATCAACCTCCAAAATATGGAATTTTTCAGCAATTCTAGTAAATTGAAGCGTATCAACATTAAGCAATTCGAGAACAAACGGTTCATTAGGATCCCTACTCGAATACGTGTCAATAATGTACAGAAACAAAGTATTATTGCACAAAACTGACTCCACTTGGTTTGTTGTACTCAGGTCTACTTCCTCCAAAGTACTACTTCTAATTACAACGAGAGTATCGTTTTGTATTTCAAGTTCAAATAATTTTTTTTCTGAAAAATAAACAATTTAGTTTTAAAACAAAAAAAGGAGAAATACCTTTAATATAGATACTAGACTTGTAACAAAATAAAGATAATACATCCGAAAAAGGTGGAAGATCATTGCATGAATCACAGAATGTTAAAGTGGTCCAATTCATTTTATCTGGGGAAAACAAATAACCACACTTGTTGTTAATATTCAAAATAAATAATTTGTCTCCAAATGAACAACATTTGATCTGTTTCCCAACACAAGGAATTTTCACCTCTTCACTCCACTTCTCTAAATCAAAATAAATGTAACTGACAATTTTATAAATGTATACAAAAATCACCTTCCTCAAGATCATACCAAAAAAGATTATCTTGGATAACTCTAAAAGGCCCAGTCCCTCCAACCACAAACAAATATTTCCCACAAATACAAGTCTCAAAATGACGTCTTGGAAACGGCAACCTTAAAGAACAAATCAGAAAAAATTCATCAAGCGTATAACACCCACTTCTGCGTTTTCCAACAGTCTTTAATAACATCATAGGAACAAAAGTCCAAATTCCATCTTCCCTTGCCCAAACTTTTCGCTGAATTGCCCACCATCTGCTCTCCCCCATACAAAAAAACAAACTGTTTGTAACCGCAGATTCTAAATCCGTTTAATGTTTCACAACTTTGATTCATTGTTAGGAATTTTTTGAATTGTAAGGAATGCAAATCTGTGAACTAATTGAATTAGGAAAAAATAAATTAAAACGTTTAGGTGACCCACTCAAATAAACAGCAGTGGAGGAGGAGTTCATGGTGTCTTTCAAATCATTGTATGGTGTCCTACGTTTCCATTGATCTAAAAAAAAGGTTAAATATTGTTATGCTGATAACTAAACTAACCGGTGTAATAAAATTTTGACGCTTCAGCGAAGGGTGTATGCAACTGTATAAATCCATCCAGTAAAATACAAGGATATCCGTGAAGATTCCGACTTTTTGATTTGAGTAAACATTTCGCATGGTTAATACATTCTGTATTGAAATTAACAAAATTGGGGTCCTTTTTTAGAGAAATCACACAATTTAAAATCTCAGGAAGGGTCTCATGTTTATTGATTTTGGGATTAGCTACGATTTCCCTAACTTCGTCAATCTTTAACGCATTAAAATCCAAGCAATGTAACAATTTTAATAACATCTCAAAATTTTCTTCTTCCACATTGCAATACCACTTCATAATCGATTCAAAAATCTCAAACTCTGAAGTGGTGTGCAAATGCACACTCCCTGCGTAATTTATCAATTCGTTTAAATCTAGCTCTAAAAAATAACGCGAATCTTTGACTGATTTGAACTCAAGCAATGATAACAGTTTAGCTTTGAGTGAGACTTCTGGGAGATCTAATGCTTCAGTGTAACACCAAATTTTAAGACAGTTGTTTACACACAACATAGATGTAATTCGTTCAATGCATATGTTTTTAATTTCCAAAAATTGCAACATACAAGCTGCTTGGACTACAGATAAGATTATGTTTTCTTCAATGACATACTCCCTATCCCATATTAATTTGATAATTATGGTCAAAGCTTCAGGATCGACGCCCTATAATTATTAATGAGAACACAAAAAATACCCCAATTACATACGTTTAATGTAATCACTGATTTTGAACTTTCGGTGAAGTTCCCCTCAAACATGGCTTTGAAATAATCACTGTGTTTGATTAAATCAGCGCGGCTACACCTAATGGTAGATTCTTTAATTTGTAATGTTACAATATCGTAATTTTCTTCCATTTTAACTGATGAAAGTTTAACCACTTAACAGAATAATTAAAAACAACAAATTTTGATTGTTTATAATAACCTCAAAATAAATCAGTCACAAATCATCAGACATGTGACTTATGCGTTTTGCGCAATGCGCAGGCATTGAAAATTGAAATTTTGACAACCACCAACACACTGAACTCGTATTAATTATATGAGTTCAGTGCACCAACATAATAAATATATGAAACAAATTCAATAGGAATCGCATCAAAAAATGTTTAATTTACCATTAAAATTTGAGCAGAAAACAAATACTTAAATAATTTATGAGTATAAAAATAACCAAAAAAATATTAGATAAGTAGTTACAAAATGGTTAGAAAAATAAATTTTTCTAGGCAACATGCGATCACGTAGTGTTTAGTTGGTTGCGGATCTAAGAACTACAAACAATACTAATATACAGAGTGTACACAACTCTACGAGACTTGCGCGTAATGTACAGTCGCGGCCATTGAAAACTAAGACACCTTGATGACAACGCCAAAATTTTGGCTTTGTAAATGATACTAAAAGTGAAGTTTCTCATAATGTCACTCAAACATCATAAATCACTGGTGTAGAACAAAGTTTATTGCAAAAATAATTCTTCAAACAACAATTAAACAAAATAACGAAACGGTAGTGATTAATATTTTATTTGAGCGCCATCGGTATCTATCACCTTTTGAAGGCGTCTTGGCATCGACAGTACTACCTACTTCCTCAACATATTCTCTCGGAATTTGATGCCATGTGTTCGCAATACTTTCCCGATTTTGTGGCAGAACTTGATCATTAATTTCCTTGGCCATAATTCCCCAAATGTTTTCAATTGGGTTCATGTCGGGGCTCCTGCTTGGCCAATTCAATGTTGGCACATTGTTCACTTCCAAAAAATCTCTAATAATATGACCTGTATGAATTGGGCAATTGTCGTGTTGAAAAGTGAAATTATTGTCAAAAACTTGAGTTACTGACGGTAACATGGCGTTTTGCAGAATATCTCGGTATACCAGTGCCGTTAGTCTGTCCTCGATACCTATACACACCCCAAGTCCTTGTAAACTTATCCAGCCCCAAACATTTACCGAGAATCTTCTACTGCGATTGATTTGACGAACATATTATTCTACAAATCGTTCCCTAATTGGTCGATATACACGAACCCGGCCATTGCTGCATGACTGGAAAGTCTTTTCATCAGAAAAAATTACAGTTGCCCAAAAGTTATCGCCATTTAAGTATTGATGGGCAAAATGCAGTCTTTCCCTTTTGTTTGCAAGAGTCATAACAATCTTGTTAGCCGCAGATCGATTTCGAAGTTCAGGTTCTCTTATCCTTTTGCGCGCTGTTCTTGTTGAGCATGGAAAATTTGTAGCAATTTTGGCTTGTATTGCAGTGGCAAAGGGATTTTCTCTAAGGAAGTTGATCAACAACGCATCATTATTGCCCTGTGATACCTTCTTTCTTCCGGTGCCTTGCTTTCTTCTGATGGTTTCAGTTTCTTCAAATTTACGTTTTGCCAATAACACAGTGTTTTTATTCACATTAATTTCTCTCGCTATGGCCCTTATACTCACACCGTCCCTCAGCCTGGTGATGATAACACATTTTTGCAAATTAGATAATTGCGGCATTTCAAATGTTACGCACGACTCTGACTTACTCGTAATATGCCAAAAACTGACACTGACTTTACAATCAATCCTTGATGAAAACCCCATTTGCGCTAATCAAATTTCGGAATTTATACAGAGTGTTTAAATCTTTCCTGTCTGAGATTTCAATGGCCGCGACTGTACGCACCCAAATATACAAAAGTCACAAACCCATGGAAACCCATGACTAATCACTGTTTCATTAATAGTCATAGACTGGAGTTTTTCAGAAACAATTATCATTTGTTTGATAGAGACGGCATGAATATGATTCTAGTTTATCTATCTTAATCACTAACTAACTAAAAATGTTGTAATTTTTTAAAGGGAGAAACAAACTAGAAAAGATTATCCAATTTTTAAAAATTGGTAAACGAGTTCGTATCGGAATATGTATTATTGATTGTATCTTACAGGCGCAGGTCTCGTAAAATTATGTGAAACATCCTGTATTAATAAACCACTAATGAATAAAAATAAATAGATGTAATTTAAAGAAGAAAAAAAAAGTTGCACGGCAAAAGTTATTTATTATGATAAAGAAACTGTTTATCTATGAGTGAAGTTCAAAAGTGGACGAGTAGAAAGTTCACGAGTAGATAAAGATCTATTTTATCTACTAGACGATAAAAGAGTTGTTTGTACATTCAGTACAAAATAAAAAAGTTGTCATTCAAATCTGTAAAAAAAACAAGTAGTTTATGTGCACTAAATAAATATACAGGGTGAATCATACATAATGAAGACCTTAACCGATTTTTAGACGCAACCCAACATACATTCTCAGATACCACTATGCTTTAATTGATATTCTGTTTAAAATTTATGATATTCTGTTTAAAACATATAAATATAGATAAACAGATAAACATCCTACGTGTACCTTTGACGGTACAGAAGCAGCCACAGTATTTTTGTAGCATTCTCTACTTATCAAGATTATGTCAGTTTCTTTGTCATTTGAGTACATTTTGAATTCAAGAGAAAAAAGTGGAATTAATGACGCTATTAAATTTAATGAACTATTTTGATTTAAATTTAATAATTTAATTTTTCAAACATAACAAAAGCCGAGTTATCTGTGTGAATGTATTTTAGGTTGCGTCTAAAAAATGGTCATAGTCTTTATTATAATTCATGACTCAGCCTCTATAAATAGGAAAAATAAAAAATGTCAGGAAAGTTAATTTTACTTTAGTCTGGGCAACTGTCTTTATCTGGTTGTAAAACTAAGATAATTTTTCCCATAGTTTTTTTCGAAACTTTTTGACGCCTAACGCCTTATATGCTAATTCACAGTAGTAGTCAAAATATAACAATAATAGAATCTGTGAAAGTAAACAAATAATTACAATTATAAATAATAAAAGTTTTCGCCCTTACAAAGACACAGCGGCTTTCCAGGATGCAGTTACGCATAATTTGCACTAATATATTTTAAAAAAAGTGTATTTATTGTGTAGGTAGGTACCTAATTTCCGAGGACTCTATAAATACAAGAATAGTGAATATTTTAACGTAAAAATGTAATTTTCTTGGGTTTAGTTATCTCATAAACAAAAATTTCAACCAGAAATGCAAATGTTGCAAATAAAAGCCCCAAAAGTAGACCATAAAAGAAAAATAAAGTCATATTTAAAGTCAAAGGCTTAACTGCATCGGTATCCGGAAAAGCTTCTGGAGATAAAAAACCTTCAAGCGTTGCGTTATGAATAGATCTTTTAGCCCACAATCCAATGAAGCCGCCTTCCCCTAGTCTTCTCAATTTTTTATTTAAAATAGGCAAGAGAGGAGAATTATGAACGACTTTGTACGCTTGGTAATTCGGAATGATACTTTCTTTGACCAAATGATACATTTGTGCCCCATTTATTCTGAGATTTTTGCATCTAGAGACAAAAAGTGCTATATCGTGTTCGATTAAAAACGCAGGAATTTGTGAAACATTAGTTCTGTAAGTCATTTGATCCATCGAACCTTCATCGCTAGCCAAGGGTAGCAATCTTTGTGTAAATTTTTCGTACTGGGTGCCTGTGTATTTCTTTTGAACTTCTTCGGCGTAATTGGGGAGCGAGTAAAGTGGCAGTCCTGATTCAAACAGTTGCTCGATTGTGTTTATATCAGGGTAATTGTTTCTGATAGCTAGGAAGCTTGTTATTTTGGTTTGTACAAACATGTTTATAAGAAAACCACAAAGTATCCAATCAAAAATCAACAAGCGTTCCAAAGAATTTCGTGAAAAGTGAAATACCTGGTTTATTACCAGGACAGACCACACTTCAAATAAGATGTCCTCGATAATAATACTTTTTTTGTATAGTTTTCTAATAGTCGCAATTAAGAGAAAAATAACTGAAATGTCCAAAGTTACAAAAAAAAAATAACATTAGTGTTAGACATACTTAAAGACATTGACAAATTTAAAACCCAAGTACAGGGTTTGTAAATTGCTAGCATTAACTCTCCCACAGGTATTTCCGGAGCTTTCGGAACTAAAATATTCAAGTCATTCTGAGTATGAGGATATAAATTTTCCACAATTTGATCGTCAACAGTAAATTGCTCCGATTTGATTAAAATCGAGATATCCCTCTTCGTTAAAATTTTTATTTTGCGATTTGTCTTATCAGGCCAATTTATTGCTTCAAACCAAGGGTTTATAAGCGCATTATCCAATGTTTCAATATGCAATTTTCCGTTCAAATGTGTCACGATTGTGGCAATTGCATTGTAATCTTTTCCCTCAAAATACTCTATTCCGTTCCTCCTCACCTTTTTTATTTTTGTCCGATCATGGAACGTAAACAAACATTTAATTCTTTTCCCCAGCAAATCTCTCGTTTTGTCGTAAAAGAAAGCTAAAGGTGAGTTTGTCAAATTAACAATTTTGTTGAATGTAGGCAAAAATGGATTGTGGGTCAACACATCAATTTTTCCATCCGATTCGTACACTACGATGACATTAAAACACTTTATTTTTGCATACGAGTTTAAAACATAAGTTATAAATATCGGAATGGGTTTTTTAGTGAGTATCAGGACAATCTTAGCTCGTGAAACTCTCACTCTTTTGAAAATATCGTTAGCGTTCGAGAGATCACCCTCTGGGTCAACAAGAACGAATTTAAAATGATTAGGATTGAGCTGGAAATTTGTTTGGCAATTTTGGTTAAGCTAAAATTAATTTGACTTACTAGTGGTTTAATATTTCGGTTAATGCCGAAATTTATAATAATGACAGTTGCGAGTTGGTTTAATTTTTTGGTAGCAAAGTTACTAAAATCGGGTTCAACTTCATTAATAGCGATGTAGAGGAAGCCGTCTTTTTCATGGCTGTTTTCCATGATTATGCGGATCATGAATTCTTTCATAACATTTGAGAGTAGAAAAGGTTTTAGTTCAAATAATTTTAAATTGGTGCATTTACTGATTTGAGGATATTGCAACAAAAATATGAAATAATAAACGCGCATTTTATTTTATAGGTTGAAGGTCGAAATATGACAAGTGAATACAGTTGAATCTTCTTTTCGTCCTTTTATAAAGAGATTATGTAATTTGATTAAGTCTAGATGCCATAAAATAAAATGCATACAATGAATAGACCAAATTATTTTAGGTAAAGAATAATTTCAGAAAATCTATAAATTAAATTATCTACATAAGTTATGTTAGACAAAACCAATTTAGCCTAAGTATAATAAAAAAGGGTAATAACGACTATAGTGGGGCCGTAATAACATTTGATCTTACCCACTAACCAGCGGCGCAGCGTGGGATGAGAGTTAAAACCACCCCCAAAACAAAACTAGGCAAAATTATTTTGTAGTGGTAATAAAACTAAAATTGTTTTTTTAGAAACAACTAAATTCAACATTCGAATTTTGTATTCAATTATTTTAGATGTTGTCATAACTTCAGAAGATTCACACATTTCTACTTCTTTTATTTTTAAACTGCCGCAAAACTGCACCTTAAACGTTATAATACAAAGTGATCCAGAAATACGGTTTTGCTTGACAAATACTTGATGTACAACCTCACAAGATTGTTGAATTGTTTTAATCAAAATGGTAAGCTTTAAAAATTAGGGTCAGGATTGCCAACATATTCAGTCATTGTGGATCACTTTGTATTTTTATGCATACATACATATGTACAATGTCCCGAGAAATCGCTTAGCGTCGAGAAAATTGCAAAATTCTTGATCGTTTAGAAGTTATACTTAGTATTTTGAATATTTTTGACTTTATCAGTACTTTTCTCGATAAATGTTTAACGTAAGACCATTATCTTTTTTTTTCTATGATAAAAAAATAAATTTGCTTTCTAACGGTAGCAAACAAAAAGCACTAGCGTCAATAGCTCCGAAGTTATTAGCAATAAACCGCCCCGGTTACCGAAAATCGCCCAAAATTTCGACAAAAAGCGTTTTTTTTATAAAACTGTTTTTTACTATTTTTGTCTATTAATATAATCCATTTTTAATAATGTAAAAAAGTGTATTTTTGGATTTATTAAAGAGTAATAGAGATATTATTTTTAATAAAATAAACTTTCAATAAACTAAACCTAAGCCAAATAATTTTACATGCTGCAGGTTTATTTTGAAAAAGACAGTTGTACTAGATTTATAAACTTTTCGACATTACGTCGTACTTACGTAGGTACTACACAAAGTCAATCAATAGATATTGCATTGCCTTTTTTAATTTAGTGGTAAAAATAAAACAGTTGGAAAATTGAAAATTAAAAAAAATAATGCAAAATTAAAAAAAAAAAAAAACAAAAAGGAAGAGTGTGTAATAATTATAATAATTTTTATTGGAGAACAGAAAATTGTCTATCTTGTTGTTGACAAACTTTAATTCCTTAAAATTTAAATTTATAATACCTGCCACCCACAAAGATGACTCTTGAAAAGTGTACAAGTAGGACAGATGCAAAAACACCTATCATTAAATCTCTAACACACGACACATCAAAATATCCGCAACTTGTATGTAAATCAACAATTTTATTATGCACACCACTTTCTTTATTTAACAGTACCTTTTCTGGTAGTACTTTTAAAATATTAATCAAAGAAAGTAATTTTGATTATCCCAGTCACAACATAAGCTCCCTTCTTCATACTTCGCCCAACTCGTATCCCTTCTTTGCATCCATTTTTCAAACCATTTAATCACTCCACGATTGTGATTAGAAAATGGTAAAATGAAATTTACTTTCTTCATACTTTCTTACTGACAAATCAATACTTATTTCTAGCGGCATTTTTCCTGACGACACTTAGTAGAGTCTTCAAATTCTTCGTGTGGCAAGTGTTGTGCTTCACAATGTCGTATTTTATCACTCTAGGATTAATTTTAATTTCAATTTGTAAGTAAAATAGTTTGTTTTTTTAATTTAATAAAAAAAAAATTAAAGGCGTGACTTGGTGCCAAGTGACTCTCCCGAACCAACCCATCAAAGATGCCCTCTACCTCCACAATGCCACTTCCTCGAATTTGACTCTAAGGGACTGCTCTTTTCGGCCAACTGATCAAAGACAGCGATGCCCTGATCCTGATGTTAGGTTTATTTTGTACAGCGGGGGCGAAAGCGAAGTGGTTGATTACACAAAAAGGGATTTTTTGAGACAGAGCAAGTGGGATCATACCAAAGAGGATATGATTTTGATCCATGGGTATGCTGGGGGTGATGGTACTTTGCCCATGGCTGTTCTACGCGATGGTACATGATTGTTATTCGTTCAACTCGCGTTAACTGTTACTTGTAGCATACATCAATCATGGTTCTTACAATGTTTGGGTAGTGGATTGGGGCAAATTGGGGCAACCACCATGCTATAGGGCTGCAGTTCACAACATGAAAGCGGTAGCGAGGTGTATTGGGGACCTTTTGATGGCCCTGAGGTCTATGGGAATGCTAACTGATAAAATGACTTGTGTTGGACACTCTTTAGGGGCTCACATTTGCGGCTTAATTTCTCGCTATGTCCTATTCCGAATTCACAGAATTATAGGTCTAGACCCTGCCAGACCTTTAGTACCAAACTCCTCAAGGCTTGAAAGTGGGAGTGCTGCCGCTGTTCATGTTCTCCATACAAATGCCGGTCATTATGGTGAATCGGGGAAAAGTGGACATGTTGATTTCTGTATTAATGGTGGCAGAGTTCAGCCCTATTGCGAAAATTCTGGAAGTAATATCCGTTACTTTTCACCGAATCTATTATTTTCACTTAAATTATGGTTTTTAGTCGATGAGCAATTGTGTAGCCATGTCTGGGCTGTGTGCTACTTGGCGGAAAGTATCCATAAGGACTTTGTTAAAAGAGCAGAGCCTTGCTCCAGGAGATGTCCCACAGGGCCAAGACCGGGTCATCGTATTGGAATCCCGATTGAAATGGGACAATTCACGCCTTTATCGTGAGTTTTTTACGATTAGGAATATTTTGCGGTACCGTTGAGGGTTTTAGGGCAAGTGGTTCTTATTGTCTTCACGATAATTATCCTCCTTATTGTCCGACTCAAGCCGGAGGTATTGGCGATAAAAGATGCTGCTTAAAGTCTCCTCAGATTAAGCCCCCAACAACTGCAGAAGTGGAAGGTTAACTCTACAAGATTTTTAATACATTTTTATAATTATTTGGTTTTCAGGAATTCCTCCATTTGCCAAAAAAACGCCCTAATTAGGCATTTATTGTACCTGTACTTATTTGAACAAAACTATATTTATTTTATGAGTGCTTATTTATTTGTGTTGTTTGAATGTAAAATAAAACTTTGTTTTTATGATTGTTGTTTTATTTTTATTTGTTTACAAACTAAACAAATATTAAGACTTTATAAAAAAAACGAACATCAAATTGATAATCTTAATAATAATAATCAAAAAGGTATTTATATAATTTCAGATAAAATAAAAATAAAATTATCGTAACTTCAGATCTATAGGGTGTTTTACATAATTTTACGAGATCTGAGCCTGTAAGATGTATTCAATAATACAGTGTGTTTTTTCTTTAAATGGAAATTACCAAGTCAAAATTTTAGTGAAAAAATTGGTAGTAGCTCGTCTACAAAGCCACAAATTTTGTTTGCTCTTTGTTTTTGTCTCTAGAAATTTTGTTAAAAAATTATGGTTATGTTTTCAAATTGGGATGTTGTCAAAATTTTGACTTTTATGAATCTTGTATTCCTGTTTGCTCTTTGAAAGCGCTATAATTGAATACCTGAGCACAAACATCATTACCTAAGAGCAAAAAAGCAAGGCTGAACCTAAAAAAATAAAAATTTAGATCTTTTACAAGAATCGTTTCACCTATCCGAAGACACACTGTATACCAAGTGTCCGAACTCGAACATAGGAAAATAATGTTAAATACGATTTTTAAGTAGGTAAGTACATATTTTGCCAATTTCTTTGATAATAAAATAAACAGGTATCTAAGTAATCAAGAAAACAACATAAAGTATGAAACAATAAAGAAAAACAAATAAGTTGTGATCATAAAAGCCTTTTCTGCATTAGAGTAATAATTATAATTCATTTTTACCTAACTCCAAATAAATTGTAAAAAAACTTTGACATTTTTGATAATTATTTCATGTATTGATATATTTGAAAATTGTATTTTAAAGTAAAAATACCATCTTTATTCTTACTTTTAGAATTATTTGACGCGAAATAATTTTATCTTTCGATTGGTACCATCACCTTACTCGTAAGTTGTATTAACGAGCAGCAATCAGCAGAAATAAACAATATCATGTTAAATTTCTATGTTCGCTATTGAAACAGGACACCCGGCATTGGGTTTAGAGTCAGGTACTTGTATTTAAAAATCAGGGTATTTTTATTAAAATTTTAATTGGTACATTTGTTTTAAATGGGTAATTGTACATCTCTTGCTGATTTAATTTTTGTATGTCACATTCGAGTGTCAACCATTTTACTTTTATCATTTAGATTCTTTATTGCAACACTGAGGATTTGCCCTTAACATTTAAATATACAATAACGCAGCGCATCAATAAAAAGGTAAACATTGCTACGTATTCTAAATTTAAAGTTAGAACAGCAGACCATGAAATTTGTATTAAATAACGTGAGGTAAATCCAAAAGAGAATTATTTTTGTACGTAAGGTGAATCTAGATAGGTACCTACTCATCAATAAAATTCAAAATTTTCCCTACTTTCAAGAGCCATTGTTTGCCAAATTAAATATACAATAAACCACATTCAAGTGTCAGTAGACAATATTTCGGTGCGGCCCAATCAACCAGTAGACTAGGTCAACGAATTTATTATTATTATTATCATTGTTAAATGTGTTATTATATAATATAAGAAATAATTGTAACCGCCCAATACAAGAAAATTATGAAACGTTTCCATTTAAATATGAATAAGTGCCACCACTGATAGCATAACGATTTAAGTGACTTCATTAAAATGCATACGATTTGACATTGCTACCTCTATTTAAATAAAAACTTTCTTTTTATTTACCAGACGAAAATTCAAATAGTTGTTGAAAAATATCCAGAGAATCAACAGTTGTTTCTAATTACGATAAGCACTCTTCCATGGAAATGAAGAAACAAGTTGTGCCGTTAACGCGGTTTTTCGACATCGATCTCGATTTGTGTTAGAAGCATGTGTATCTGAAATGATAATTCCACTGACTGTGTTGTGGTTTTATATCTTATCACGTAAGTAGAGCAATTTTTACCAAAAACACCACTTTATTTATCTAGAAATTTGCACTGTTGCAAATTCTTTGCAACTGCTTTTCGGTGACTGCCCTATTTATTACGAAGAACCATGCAATACCAACATGGTCAAATTTTTTCTCACCGCGGGTACAGCGAATTTATCGAGTTACCACCAAATAAACCCTTTCAAAGTACACTTACCCGAAAAATTCGATAAACTAGCACCAATCAAAATTTTGATTCATGGTTATGGGGGTTTGGGTATCGACAAGGCTATCAAAAGCGTCAGGAAATCTTATCACGAAATCGGATACAATGTTATTTTAGGTATGCAAAGACTAAAGTTGGTTTGGAAAATCCAAATATACAATTTTAGTCGATTGGGGGCCTCTGTCAGAAGTGCCTTGCTACGCCACTGCTTATTTGAACACTTGGCACGTAGGACAATGTGTAGCAATTTTAGCAGTAAGCTTAATCCCGTTGGGTATCTCCCCAAGCTCCCTGCATTTAATCGGGTTTAGTCTAGGAGCACATATAGCAGGCTTTGCGGGAGCTAACATTAACAGAGCTTTGAAAATTCTTCCTGCAAGGATAACAGGCCTAGATCCTGCACTTCCCTTCTTTGCAACACCTAACAAAGAATGGAAACTAGATCCTTCTGATGCGAAATTCGTGGATGTGGTTCATACAAGTGCTGGAACTTTTGGAAAAGTGGAAGCACTTGGACATGTCGATTTTTACATGAATGGGGGAGCTTTGCAGCCGGCTTGCTATCAAGCACCTTGTACGAGTTTTCTCTTCTTTTGCGTTTGACTTATAAATGTTCACAGATCCTCCGTTATGTAGCCACATAATGGCAGGTTTATATTTTGCCGAGTCTATCAAAAACAAGAAGAGTTTTATCGGAGTACATTGTGAAAATATTGCCAATTATATCTTAGGATTGTGCTCTAAAAACACCAGGGGTGTCATGGGAGAATTTACCAATAAACGGTAAGTTGTTAATTCATTCTGTAAACAAAAAGTGCAATTGCAATTTATAGGATCAGAGGAAGTTTCTATATTGAAACTTCCAACTCCACGCCTTTTGCCCTGGGTTACGCATTTGAAAACTTTATATTTAGTTAGTTTATTTTTTTGTATAAATAAAGTACAAAGGTTTTATCAAAATTGACTTTACTTTAGAATATGTTAATTCGCACAGTACATAATTTTCAAATTTATGCTAATTTAGGTGGAAAAAGGAAGGATTAAACGTGGAAATACCAAATTTAGATTATGCTGAATTTAGGTAAGTAATAATAAAGATAAAGCTTGTTACAAATTGCTGTAAACAATCGATTATATGAGAAAAGTCATAAGCCAGATATGTTTATGTTTGAAACAGGTATTGAAATTGAATTTAGGTATTGTTTATTGAAGATTCGTGTTTTCTAGGACGCTCTCATTTTTTATTATCATTTTAATTTTATACAGGGTGAATATAAAGTAGAACCAAGCGTTTTTCCTCCAAGAAATAATAATTAATATAATTTAAAGTAATATAAAAATGTGATCGTATTTTGAAAACGAAATTTTGTTTTGTTTTTGAGTTAAGTATGCGATTTTTTTGTCAAAATTGCAATTTATGTAATTTTTTTTAAATTAATATAAAGTTGTAATTCTTAGATCATAACCTTTATAAAAAAATGGTTTTATAGTGGATTGCCATTTAAAAATATATTTCTTTTGTAAAACTCAAAAACAAAAGAAAATTTCGAAAAATTTTTTTTCTTGATAAAAGGTCACATTTTTAATACTTTACCACTCATCAATTAGTTTTTCAAAAAAAAAATTGTTTAAGCGAAAAACGTTTGGTTCCATACTTTTTATTCACCTGGTATATTGTTTTATGTGGAGCATTAACTTATTGTAAAGTATTCGAATAAAAAACGCAGAATTAAAATTGATTTATTTGTTTGGTGAATGTATAAGAGCAGCATTTAAAGTATAATTTACAAGATATATGGTTGATAGGTGCAGGAAGTTATTACACACGAGAGAATGCAGGTTTTTCACGTCAAATTCAATTTTGTAAGAGCTACAAAACCAGTTTACGTTTATATTACCTGCAGAACTTCTTAAAAAAAAAGACAAAATGAAAAGATTATATAATCATAACAACAGTTGGTGGTGCTCAATATAATAATAATAATAATTGCATCTAATAAAGTTTTCTTTAATTTGAGATTTCCTCGTTTAGAAACAAATCGGTATATTGAAGTGTTTACGCAACGAAATAAAAACAATCATGAAATAAAAATACTACTAAAAGATATACATCCACATATTTTAAGTATTTATGCGTGATAAATGAAATAAAGATATGATTTTTATAATTTTTCACCTACTTACATGAATTGCTATGATGAAAACCGATAATACGAAAAATAATGACATTTTAGCTTAACGGTACTTATTAACTCGAAAAAATCCGTAATTATAGTCCTGCATCTACTATGTAGTTATTGGAGATGAAGTAGACCGTGTGATTTAATGTTCTTTTCCCAGAAAACGAATCAAAAACGTCCAGAGGAAAAATTAAAGTAGCTTAGCGTTAAGACTAGACCCCAATTAGGCCTAACATAAATAATTTGATAAGATCTTTCTAATTATGGAGTTTTTATGGTTGAACGACTGTTGCATCAGATAAAAATATTTTAGTTTTCTTTTACGAATCTTCTGGATGAAATATAACGTCCTGCGTGCTTTCACATTGTTAACATTTACGCAAAGTGCAAAATATAACAAACGATAACATAAATTTAGCATGTGCACTTATTATCCAACTAAAAACTCGTTTCGTAATCGTATGTTGATCATTTATCAACTTTCTTCAAGATCTCATTACTTAATACACTTGCAACGATATTTTGCCATTCATTAAGTAAACTGATTTCGTTTTTACTGTTCGCGCTTCTGTTTCTTTTCCTTGAGTTGCGTTATTTTCCCAAAGTACCTATCTATCAATCTCCTAAAGGAAGATAACCGTTTCAAAGCGGCTGTGTGCCTTGAATTGAAATTAATTGACCTGAACGAGACGTGCGTACAAAATTATCAGAGTGCAGTGTTGTGAATGATAGCGTGAATTGACGTTATATTTTGTCTGAACTTTCTTTAAATTAGCGGGCGAAGAATGCGCCCAAACATTCGAGGACAAAAATGTGGAAGCACTTCTTCTTCGTTTTATTTCTCAAATGTAAGTCAATTTTTTACAATTTCCTCATATTATTGGCCAAATTTTTAGACATTCATATACAAGCACAGGTGGTGATTGTTCCTGCGAGTGATGTATCGCGTCCAGCCTCTAAACAAGGCACTCAGTCGGGGATTGATACTATTGTGATAGGTAGTTGCAAAATAGCGGTTAATAGGTAAAAAAATGAAATGTCAAAGACAATTTTTGAAAAAAAAATTTAAAGATTGTGTCCCGATCCCGATGTGACGTTTTATTTGTATTCGAAGAAATTTCAAGAAGAGCCGGCGCCTGTGAGAATCGGTGGTGATTCTGGCAATTCAAATTTGAGTTTGACAACGTTTGATCCAAGTCTTCCGACTAAAATTGTTATTCACGGATATAACTCCGACCGGAATTTGAACGTACTGATCGAAATCAAAAAACGTAAGTGAAATATTTATTAGTTCCTAAAATAGTTTCAAAACGTAAACCCTCTCGAACAGTAAAATAACATAATCCTGTATCAAAAGATTGAAATTAAAACAAAATATTTTCTACTTTTGGATTCCATAAAATTTTGAAATACGGGAAAAGCATACTCAGCTTGTGGAAACTAGATGAACCATTAAAAAATGTCACATTAATAAAGGTAGTAAGTAAACTGAAAATATATATTTGCTCACTTTTCTGATGGTAGTCAAAAACACAGGAAAAAGGTGTATAAATTAGCTACAGACACAATTATTAATTGTAAAATGCCAAATGTTGTATTCCAAATAATAGTTTATTAATTACAAAATTATAAAGAAAAAAAAATTTTAATACAAAAAAAAATTTTGAAATAACAACAAAAAAATATCAAAAAAGTAAAAAGATCTTTTGCAGTTGGTGCTTAGGTACTAAAAAAATAACTATTATACTATTAACTATATTTTTTTCTTTAGAAAAAATTCTTAACTCACTCTGGCAACCTTTTTTAAAATAAATGTAATAAGGTACCTAAAGCAAATAAGGCCCACTTAATTTTTACGATTTTTTATATATTTTTTGAAATATGCAAAGGTTTGGATTTATTATCGAAATTGTAATTTGAACTTTTGTTTAACAATGTGTACCACAAAAATGCCTGTTTTGTTGATTTTTCTACATTTTTTTTAATATAAATATAAAATATTACAAAGGGCCTTTTTTGGAACCTCCTAGCCCCAAATAAGGCCCACCATCGACATTAGATAAGGCCCATATTTAAAATTTGAGATAGGATTTTTCATTAATCGTATTAACAGTAAGTTAAGGAAAATATCTTTAATAAACAAATAAAAAACAACAAAAAAAGTTAAGAAACTTAAAAACATGTATTGATATGTAACTAGAAATATTCAATTTTAACATCAACACAATGACGCATGAGTTTATAACATATTTCACCATTTACAATCAACTAAAAGACATATCTAGAAGTAACTTGAATGATTGATGATAGGTGGCTGGAGGTCCAACGTAGGCTAGATGGTTTTAATTTTCTTCACAATTTAAGCCTTTTTAAGCACCGGCATTATTTGCTTTAGGTACCTTATTAGTAAATTATGGTTATTTTGCAATAAATTAAGTATAAAATAATTAGTACTTGTTTACAATTGTAATTTCATTCATTACAGAATATTTCAACCGAACGACCGACTTGAACATATTCTTCGTAGACTGGTCCTCTCTCGCCGCAGGTCCTTGTTACCCAGCTGCCGTCTGGAACACCAGACATGTGGGCGAATGTACTGCACAATTAGTCGAGCGAATAAAGGAAATGGGGGCTAAAAACATTCACTTGATTGGTTTTAGTTTAGGCGGGCAATTAACAAATTTCGTCGCTAACGCCGTCCGACCTTACAAGGTTTCAAGGATTACAGGACTCGACCCAGCTGGTCCTGGATTTCTCACCGCGGGTCCAGAAAACAAATTAGACAAAAGTGACGCTGATTTTGTCGATGTAATTCACACGAACGCATTCGTGCAAGGAATTGTGGAGGAAAGCGGCCACGTTGATTTTTATATAAATGGGGGTGTGATACAACCCGGATGTTGGGCTGAGAATAGTAAAACAATTTTTCTAAGTAATTTGCACACAATCTTTGGAAATAATTTTAGGGTTTTTTGCTTGTAATCACCACCGGGCGCCACTATACTTTGCCGAATCAATTATAACAAAAATGGGGTTCTGGGGGTGGCCGTGCCCTTCATACACCGAGTATTTAATAGGGAGGTGTCCGCCCAAAGAGCCACAAATCATAATGGGCGAGTTTGTAAATAGGACGTCGAGTGGTGTGCATTTGGTTATAACCGATTCGGTTTCACCGTTTGCCGTTGGGAAATTCACAGGGCCGGCGATTGAAATATTTGTCAAATCAGAACAAATAAGAAGGGATATTTTAGAAAAGTACAAAAAGGATGTTGAGAATTTTATCGATGAAGATGATGTGGTTGCCAGTTTGTATGAACATAGTCGTTTGAAAAATAAACTTAGTAAAAAGAAAAGTGAAAATATTATCGACAGTGGGTCAGTAGAGGTTGATTTAATTTAGTGCAACTGTGTTGTTTTTATTTTGTTAATAACTGAAGGAATAATATATATTTTTTTTATAATTTCTTCTTGTTATTTCTCATTCTATGTTTTATTAACAACTTTTGTTTGCTTTGCAATATCAAGATAATTTTTTATTATTTCATTCAAAACTTAATAAAGTATTAAATTCAAGTGTATAATCTGTTGCATAATTATAAACAAGGAATTTTTTGAGGTGTTTTTTATAATTTCCTTGAAGTTTGTAAACTGCAACCTTCATGTACATACTTATTATAATAAAGCAAAACCAACTTGAATTTAATCTTGCTAAATTATTTTAAGTTAGTATTACGACAATTTGTTAAAAAAAATCAAGAAACATTTTGATTTTGGACGAGTTGAATTATGAGCGCCGGGAGTTTATAAAAATAGATTTTTTCTCAAGGTTTATCAAGTGCACAAATACACGCAATTAGCTATTTCAAAGGACTTGATTAACGTGTACAGTACATATTTGTAGAAAATGGGGATCTTAAACCTTGAAGCGGTGAACAATTTGTTTGGTGAAGTAAGTATTACATTGTCTATGTTTTAATCCTAAGCATTGTGAAAATTAAAATTTAATCTAACACACTCTGCAAAAATTACAGTTTATAATTTACATAATAACGTGTTCGTGATAAATTTACTGCACGTAGTCGGTGACGTTACAGTTAACAAATCTATCCCATTCAAAAGATAAAAAGTCGAATACCGAACACCCAACACTATTTTTCGTCGTGAAGTGAGTGATCTTTGAATAATGCCAGGTACTTTTTTATATCAATTAAACATACGCAACTCCGCTTATGTTAATCATAGACAGAACACTTTTGTAAACTTTTTATATGAATTTATAGTACATTAACCGTTTATCTGTTTCAAAATAATGTCACTATCAGGTATTCGCGATATTACAAAATCAGTTGTAATCACTTGGGACTTTGGACCCGCGGTTTGTTGATTCATGCGTCTGCAAACCTGTCTAAATGGATCTTCTAAGGATCTATAACGAGAGGACGCGTGACGATGACGGCGCCGCCGGTGGAATTAGTTTCGTTAATTAAATTGTGAACTACATTAATTTACACTCAAGTGTAAAATATGTTACAAAAATGAAAGCGGATTAAAAAATCTTCTAATGAATACTTATTATATATTACTTTTTGTTTTAGACTAATAAGACCATAGTAGTATTTTCTTGTCATTCAACCACAGTTTTACCTTACAACTCGCCAAATTTCTGTAGCCCACTCTAATCGAAAACAAAAATGAATATATTAAATATATTGATTTTATTTTTCACAATATACAGGATGATATTGATTTACTTTTCGTAATTTTTAGTACGATATTTGAAGAAGCAATGTAATCTTCTGGCAGTGTCAAAAATTTGAAATTCGCTAATGTAAAATTAACCTCGTCCCATCCTACATTCGAAGCTCACTGTTTTGCTTAAATGAAAATGAAATTCAATAAAAAAAGTAGTCGACATAATAGACGATTTTATAGTTTATTGTTGATAAAATTTCTCTTTATAAAAACTTCATAAGAGTTTTTCTTTTGCAACCTTAAAAACCACTTCAAATGGTAAGTGAATATCCAGTTTCGTACTCCAATTTACTATCCAAATTTTAATCATAATTTTTTCGTCCACTATTGCCTTTTTCTAAAAAATAATATTTTTCTCTTAACGTACTCAACTGTTGGACTTGATAGTTAGAATTTCGAAAAGTACATCAAAATCACGCTGTATAAATAAAACTTGCAATTTGCAAGCATGGTTGACTTCCAATAAGAATCGCAATAAAGATTTGTAAAATTAAATTTGCAACTCACGTATTAATCGCTCCATACAATGCAGCTCTTAGGGCCAGTTTCATAATCAATTTAAAGGAACTTTAACTTTTAAAAGTGACTTTAATTCATAAAATGCATTTCATAATACACTTTAAAATTAAAAATTGGCTTAAAGTGCCTTTAATTTTAAAGCCTGGAATATCTTCCTTTAATTCGTTAAAGTGGCTTTAACAAACGTCAAATTTGTCAGAGTTGTTGGAATCACAAAAAATGATTGTTTTAGTGATTGTTCTAGTTCATTTTCTTCTTCCGACGAAGAAGAATATGTACCGCGAAGACGAAAAATTAATAGAAAAAGAAAAAATTATTTTGAAATTTACGACGATGTAGATTTTTTTGACCGTTTTCGTTTAACCAAGCCCACCGTTTACGCTCTTTTGGAAAGGATTGAACCTCTGATTAGATTGCGTTCTAACAGGTAAAATACATACATAATTACAATAATAAAAAGATTTTTGTTTCATACATATCTTTTTAGAGGAGGTAGCATTAAACCAACTATTCAGTTGTTACTTACTTTCAGGTTTTATGCAACGGGTAACTTATTAATAACAGTGGCAGATTTTATGGGTATTTTATGATATAAAGACATAAAAGCATGTTTTAATCAACTTTTTAACAAATAAAATTATGCACTTTCGTATTAAACAAATTAAATGTCGTTATAAAAAGAAATAAATTCAACGCTTATAGCTCTGTTATTACTATCTAGACTTATTTAGACTTACTGAAGCTTTTTGATTTTCCTAAAATTCCAGGAAAATAGAACATTTAATTGTTTCAAAAGAATTAATATTTTGAAATAAAATGCCTACGTAGATAAGCATAATTAATAGTTCCAGAACATCCTGAACTGCTGAACTAATTTATTTCTGTTGTCAGAATTAAAAAAGTCTATTCCAAATTTTTAGAATAATGATTAAGTAGGTATACCTATCTAATTAAATAATTACACTGCTCGCCAAAATTAACCGGACAACTAAAATTTTACGATTTTTCACATTGCAATATTTTTGTTATTCATTGTCGGATTTTGATGAATTTTGGTAAAGAACGAACTTTACAGAATATTGTAATTTAATTCAATAAAATTTCTAGTTTTGTCTTGTAAATGTTCTACTTCTTATTGGATTTTCTTGGTATGGGAACGATGAACGTCTAATAATCGTGTGTTTGTTGTAAATGTTATACCTAAAAAACAAAAGCACTGTTTTTTTACTATTTTTTATACTGAGCTCTCGTATGTGACAGAGACAAACTTAAGTTTTTTCTGATTTCAAATTATTGCCCGTTCTTTTCTGAATGTGGACCAATTTGTTCCAAAATTTTATCTTCTGGTGCCCCGAAATACAAAGCATTGAAAAAGACGTTCCTTTTTGAATGTTACTGAGTATTCGTTCAGAAAGTAGGCTACATAAAAGGTAGTTAAACCGAAAATCATTGCCTATGTCACCAAAAGAGCACAATTACGTCTTTGAACACAAAAAGTCTGAAAAACTTGGAACTTTAAGGGATTACAACAAGTAAAACGATTAATTATTGGAAGCTTCCATGCGCCTATTTTGGCGTTTTCGCATATTCGACTTAATACGAACATTCATTGAAATCGGAAATGTACCTAATGCTTTTTTTAAAGATTTATATCTCTAATGTCTTAAGAACTAAAGTTATGGAAAATGTGGTATATAACTCCAAAAAGAATGGGCAATAAACTGAAATCAGAAAAAACTAAAGTTTTGTCTCTGTAAAAAAATTGCTTTCGTCTTTTGGGTATAACATTTAGAAGACAAAACTAGAAATGTTATTGAATTACATTCCAATATTGTGCAAAAATTCATCAAAATCCGACAAAGAATAACAAAAATATTGCAATGTGAAAAATAGCAAAATTTTAGTTGTCCGCCGGTTAATTTTGGCGGGCAGTGTATAAACAGGGTTGAAGAACTCATATACTTTAGTATAATTATTATTGTTTTTAAAAATTATATGAATCTGTAATTTGATGAGCATGAAAGTAGAGATAGTCATTTTAAAGAGCAATAGGAATCGAAATTATATTCATGCAAAACTGTTATGTTATAACATAAAAAATCAAGTTTAAAAAAACCAATGTAATTTTAATCTAAGAGAGGTAAGTATACACACACTTAAATTTAAAAAAATCGTCTAAAGGCAACGAGAACAAACTGTTGTGATTTTTAGCAAGAGATGTGAGAGTTTAGTTAAAAACTTTGAATAGACGAAGTTGAGAGAAGTCTTAACAAAGTAAGCAAAAGTATAATCATTACATTCGTACAAACATTAATACTTATCGTTATCTCAGTGTTTACGACCATCAATGACTTGGCAGAGTTTTATGTAAATTATCGAAAGATGACTTTTGACCAATAACAAAATCTCCTTTATGTCACATTTCCTGTCAGAAATATCTCTAAATTAATTGTGTTTAAATTCTGAAGTAATGTCCCTTGCGTCTCTAATAATTTTCTATATTTTTCTCCTCTACCAAGGTAAACTAACTTTACAATTAGGTAGTTGTTTAATTTTGCATTTCTGGCTTTAAAATAGTTACTTTTCAGTTTACACACGTGAATTCTTGTCCCAAATCCCTTCTGTCGACTTCTGCCAAGCCGACGCAACTAAATCCGATGTCTTCTATTACTTATTTAAAAGTAGTGCCCAAACGACTGCTATAACCATAAACGAGGACTATACCTTACCCGAAGATGACAGAAACCTTCCTATGAAAATACTAATGCATGGTTACACTTCAAACGTTACATCACCGTGGTACAAACAAATGAAGCGGCAGTATTTCCAAAGAGGACCACATAATATTATTTACGTCGACTGGTCTATTGCTTCCAATAAAAGTTTCGCAGTATCTGCAGCTAATATTAAGCCTGTGGGAGAGTTTATTGCTGATTTGATAGTTAGTTTGAGGGTTCCGGTGGAAAATGTACATCTTATTGGTAAAATTAACAAATTTTGTTGTCATAAGTTACAAATTTTAATCAATAGGACACTCCCTGGGGTCACACTTGGCCGGTTTTGTGGGCAAAAACATTTATGCCAAAACTGGGAAAAAGTTGGCGAGGATTACAGCTACCGATGCTGCAGGTCCAGGTTTTGAGAATGCGAAACCTGAAGCTAGGTTGAACAAACACGACGCTAGGTTTATCGATGTGATACACACAGATATTGACTATTATGGCATTTTGAAACCTATAGGGCATGTTGATTTTTATGTAAACGGAGGGAAGAACCAACCTGGGTGTCCTTCACGCAAAGTAGATGGTAGGTTGTCACTCACTTGTACAAAATTTTAACATTGATTTGTAGATAATTGTAGCCATGCTAGGTCTAATGATTATTTCATCGAAAGCATAAATAAAAGAAATGTTATGGCGAGGTCGGCGAAACTAAGCGATGAAGAAGAAATTGTGCTAACAAGCAGAACTGAAGATATAGAGTTCGGGGATTGGACACCGACGACGGCTAGAGGAATCTATTATCTCAAAACAAATAAAACAGCTCCTTATTTATTGCAGAAAAAACCAAAAGATTCGTAACTAATTTGTGTTTTATTTAGTCTTCTTTGTTGTATCAACAAAACAAACCCCAGTCATTGTTTTGTTAATATCTTCAGCACCAAATACGTAAAAGTCGTTTTTTTCACAAGAACCCATCATGTGGTCGAGCCAGGAGTCACATTTATTGCAGATATATTTTTTCTCATTTATAATTTCCGTAAAACGGATATAGCTTCGAGTGTGACTACAATAGCCTAAAAATCGATTTGAATCCGAGTTTAGAATACTCTTTTCATGCTTAACTGTCTTCAAATAGCTCTCCTGGTGAAGATATTTCAGTGAAACTAATTCTACAATCAGGCTGTATTCTTGTTCCCCCATTAATATAAATATCAAAGGTCCCTATTGGTTTATAATACCCTAAAACGCCCCCATCTGTATGAAACACATCCACAATTTCAGCGTCTTCGTCACTCAGTCGCTCCTCATCTGTGAGGAAAACATTCCTGAATCCTGGTCCTGCAGGATCAAGTCCTGTGATTCGTCCCACTCTTTTCCCAACTCTTTGCCTGATATCTTGAGACGTGAATCCTGCAATGTGTGCACCTAGAGAATGGCCTATTAGGTGCGTCTTCTCTAGAGGCAATTTGTGATTCAAAATGAAGCTTGCAATAAAATAAGCTGAAAGAATTGATTATTTGTGTTTTGGTTGTAACTCAGTTTTTACCAACTAGTCTCGTATTTTGTGCCGATGATACGTAAAATGACGTCGAAACGCGACCCCAATCAACGTGGATTACATTAAAGTCTCCCTTTTTCAAATACTCATCAGTTAAATGGTGATACCACGATCGGTTATGGTTGTCAATCCAACCATGAATGATGAATTTTGTATTTTTGGTTACATCGATAGAAGTTTTACCATCGAGGGCAAGTTTTAAATTTGAAATGTTTCTTGTGTATAAGTAGAAGGTGACATCGGTGGTTTTAACATCCTCAGGCCGAATTTCAAGTAGAGATTTGAACAGTCTGAGAAGTCTATAGAGATCAAAATCTTTCACGTCGTCATCAGTTACACCTAAAACTCACTGATTTACTTTTTATTTAGATTAAAAAGTTTTTTACCTAATTTTGAACAAAGTAAAAGCACAAAAATTAATGTCCCCAACATTTTGTTTCAAATGACAAATAAAGACTGAAAAATATAAGTTATTTAAAAAATAGCTAGTTTAAAATAATGAGACAATATTGAATGGCCTTTGTGTTTAGTGATGTGTACAAAACTAAGTTTAAAATTGAGTTACACAAACATGAAAAAGTAAATATGAAAATGTAGTACCTACTAACTAAATCTTCAAAATTCTAGAAAACATACCTATAATTATTATTAATTTTACTTATAAAACACATTTTGGAAATGGAAAAAATGCAGCCACACTTATATTGTCTTGCCTACATTGACGCCTCCGCAACTGTGCAACAATACTACCTAAATTTTTCATTTATTTTTATTTGTTCTCTAATACATACCATTAGAGTTTGTGTGGATAAAGTTAATTTAACTTTTTTCTCTTGTGGATGAAGTATATAAAAAATTCGGATTAAATAAAATAAGTCAATTTTATTTACGAATTTATTTAAAAAATAAATAGCTACATTATTATTACGGCATACACTAAACAATCTCTACTTAAATATCTAATCATTTTGGATACAAATAACTTGATTACTTCTATTTTTCTGCTATTATTCCTACTACAAGCATTACGAAATGATGGAGTATAAAAATCCTACATTTTTAATAAAATTACCAACAATTTCCTTTCTATTACTCTAAGTGGATAATTTTGGTCATTTTATGTCACTGGTTGTACACTATTGGAAGCTTGCACTGCATCTTCATCACTTTCATTTTCTTCATCAGCATTTTGTTCTTTCACTTCATCAACTTCACCCATCAGGGCCCTATATTTTTTAGCGATGGCCTCCCAATCTGTTACATGTTCGATTCTTGTAGTATGAGCCGTGAAGCTTAATTGTGACCCTAAGGGACTGAGGTGGGCAACTGAAAGAGCAACGGATTCCTTCGGAGCTACTTGACTTCCTTTTTTCACCTTCGACAACCATTTGGCACCTGCTTTGGATCTAGGACTTAGTTGTTGAGGGCGTTGGAAGCTTCCCATGAGATGGACCAAACTTTGACGCTTTCTGGCTTTAACTGATTTATTTGTTTTTCTGAAAAATTACAAGTCTACTTGAAATAAATGAATTCTTACCTCTCTTCTTGCAAATGTTGACCAAGTAAAACAACCACGTTGTTATTAAGTTGATGGGACTTGGTGCAGTTGTGGTTCGATGCATGGATCGAATGAGTTTACTCAGTCCGAATTTCCATTCAATATCGGATTGCGCCTGGTCAAAATAAAAACAAAATGCTTGAAAAATGAAAAAATCTAGATGCGAATTAAAGTTTTTGACCATGACTGACTGAAATTTTTACGAAATCTATTGTTAGTCGATAATCGCTACCATTTCGGGATGGGACTTATGCAGGCACGCCACTTCATTTATCTTCTACTTTAAAAAGGGGGAGGTTTAAGATTTTAAATGCGTATAGCTATCAGAAAAAAAATCTATATTTTTATTATCAGTAATGGTCTGAATTTTAAAATTTGAATACAGTTGTTTACAAATTTGATACTTTTCAAACAAAATCAAGATGCAGTTCACACTCAAAACACAAAAATCGTGCTAACAACTTCTACAAAATTCCTTTGGGACAAATACACCAAATCCATAAAGCGATAAGATGAAACTAAAAATTTTTCATTTCTATTTTTGCCGGATTTATTTTTATGATGATTTCGAACCACTTATTTCAATCTTTTTATGAAAAGGCGTATGTTGTCCAAAACTGATAACAATAAATTAAAAAATCTACACCAGAAATTCGAGAATTTATCACATAAATGATGTAGTATTCCAATTAATGAGAAATAAATTGCATTAAATAAAATTTTATTTGTATTTGACATTAAAATCATTTAGGTATTCTTAAATAGACTCTTAAATAGACATTCTGTGAAAAGTGGTAATTCGTCACCCCATCTTGTTTTTTCAAAAATAAAGAAAATGTTAATGAATGAATTTTTGACGTATTTTTTCTCAATTCATGTTAAAAGCCGCAGAATTGTTTTTTTTTTCAAACTGGGTTTTAAGAATTTTGTGTGTTATTTTATCGTAACCTTGTACATATACAGGGTGATTCTTAAATAGACCGACAAAATTTTATCACAGCTTCCTAAGGATAAATGGTGACAAAATGTACCCTTTTTACGTTTATACCCTTTAGGAGCAAAACCCCCTTGATCCGTGCCACTTACGGCGTTTATGAATTGTTGCAATGATCAAGTTGTACGTTAATACCATGGTTTCCACTACCTGCGCTAACACATCAGTGGCGTACGCTTTACTTCGAAAATAACTTTAATAAATTTTATTTGAAGAACGTTTAAACAAAGAATTTTTTAAATATTTTTTCCAGCATGTTTTCATTTGATACTAACAAGGATAAAATTTTCTCGGTCTATTTAAGAATCACTCTGTATGTAATTGTAAATGTTAGTTTTATTAAGTACCTGCTTACATTTAAATTCCACTTTAATATTTTTTCCAAAGATAATGAATTAAAGTTACCTAAAGTAAAAAACGATGAATTTGAACCATTTTCTCAAAGGAGCAATTAAGTTAAATTGGAAGGATTGAAGGTAACTAAGTCGCTTCTCAATTGTAAAAAAAATATCATTTTTTTTCATTAGGGAACTGACTTTTTTGCCTTCAACCCTTGCGAAAGCTTTATTTTTCCAGTCCTGGCCTCTTAAAAAATAATTGTTTTATTTCTCAAAATTCATTCTCTATGTTCTAACATACAATAAGAATTAAAATAATTAAATATAATAATAAAAAATAATACTACATAATTAAAAATAACATAAGTAAAGGAGACTGCTCTGGGGTCGTGATTTGATTACATGACCATGTTTTCTAGTCTCACATATCACGTCAATATAATCTTAACGTGAAAAACCAAATGTAAGCGAATTTGGCAACCCTTGAAGTTTTTGAGTATTTTTTTATACAAAAACTTTTATCTTAATTTGGACAGTCAAATTTTGAGCAGTTTTGTATAAAATAATTAAAAAATATATTATAAAGCAATATACAAGGAGCAATAGTGCCCTGCATTTAATTCCTATACTTTTTATTGAAGCACTAAACCTTTTGAAATAAGTTTTATTTTGATTTATTAAGATTAATTAATATATCCTGTCATGTCGAACTATTGTGAATATTGTTATTTATTTTCACACGAATAATCTACTTGTCAATAACAGTGTTAAAGTCTTGATTAAAATTTCAAAAATAGTTTCTTAATTAAGTAAACGGTTGAGTATATGATAATAGCACTCTTTACCATAAAGAATTTTTAATTCAACTCAAACAGTTTTTTAAGAAAAGGAAAACTGCTCAAAATGACACTACTAGGTACAGTCTAAATTATCGAATCAAGACAGGGCTCCCATTGCATTCACTTACATTTGGTTAAAGAAATAAAAATTGATTGCTTTGGAATACTATATCTATAAATTTTGCTGCTTTATGCAGATTTTTTAATTTCTATTAAAAAATACCAAGCAAAAACATTCAAAAATTGTGTTAGTGCTTCTCAAAATGGCAAAATTTTGAAATTACAATAACCAACATCTAGGGTGAATTTTTACATTCAGATATTATTAAAAGTACAGTTTTAACCATTTATTTGTTTATGTTTATCGAAAATCGGTTTTAAAGTTTTATTTATTTAATTACTTTCAATCTACACTTGTAACACGTTACAAGCAAAAAGACGACACAACAAAGCACAACTATCTAATCTATCTTTTTACATCGACTTTGGGACATACATAAAGCACACACCGGGCCCGACTTCGTAGACACCAAAAGCTCAAACAGTACTTTCATGTAGTGATTGTGCGTTAATGAGGCTATGATGACTTTGGATACAACAATGAATCGGGGGTTGGTACTACCAAGCTTCAGTCTGTCCTGCGTGTGTCTACTATGATCCAGTCCAAGAGAACTGGTTTTCGCGAAGAACAAGCAGCGTGTTCTGGTGCTACATAAATTGGGCTACCTTGGCTTTACCTGGATACGCTGATAGGTATCCGTCATCATAGCAATGAGCAGATTAATCAGCACAACGACAGAGACGAGCATGTAAACGCCGAACACAATCTTAAAGAGGACCTCAGTCCACGTGGGTTGGTTATTATTTTTTGTGGTCGGGTTATAGGTGTCGATTTTCAAGGCGTCGGTATTGGTTTGGCCGAATACCGCGAAAAACAGCAACTCGAAAGCTCGGATTGGGTTCTTTTGGACTGGAATCATAAAACATACAACGAATGATTACCTGAATGCGCTGGTATGTATCAGACATCATGGCAATTAGAAGATTTATCAATACGACGACGGACACCAACATGTAGATCCCAAAAACCACCTTGAAGAGGTTGTCCGTCCAAGTCGGTCGCAGCAAACGTTTTGGATCGGACCTATCCTTTGCAGTCAACTCATCGTAGGTTGTCATGCCGAAAACGGCGAAAAACAACAGCTCGAACGCTAGTAGCGGGTTCATTACCACTGGGAACATCAACTAGTCAATTGGTACGCCCACAAAAATCAGAACCGGGACGAAAAGCTGACGAAGACACAAAGGATCTTTCTCAAAATTGTTGATTTGAAAAAAATCCTTCTCGAACAAGAGCACAAGACGCTCACACACATTGAGACATACGTCTAACAAAGCGAACGTCCGACAGACGGCAGGACACCTAAAAGGACTACTAGAACTATACACCTGGGAAAAGAACAATACACATCGAAAGTGACAAAGGACAAGTCGCTACACGCAAACCCCACAGGGACTTACTAGGCGGAGGACGCTTTTTACGCAGAGATGCCCTCCCAACAGGGCTTTCCTCCGGAATAGGCTCAATCCATTCCGCCTCCTCCACCAACGATTCCTGTTCTATATAAACACTATATACATTATATACAATTGCAAAATCACTTTAATAAGTAAAAAAAAATTGCAACTCACCGTCAACGAAATATTTCCCTCGGCGCGGATTGAGCTCTCCATTCTTGAACGGTTGATTCAAAGCGACAAACTGCATCGAGAATCCAAACACAAAAATCGCCAACACAGCCAAGAACCTCGCCAAGTCCTTCATTAAATTACCTATGATAATAGCCCAAGGCCCAAACAGATGGTGAAATGATAAAAAGTCCAGAATTTGCACGCAAGCTAACACAAACGATAAAGCAAACAACTGATTCCTACAATACATCAACGTGGGCCAATAGTTTCGGTCAATAAACAAAATCCCCATCAAATGCACCCCAACCCCAAAAATACTAAACAACAAAACAGAAACTTTAATCCAACCTAAACCCGATTTATCACTCGGATTTGTCAATTCAAACAAAAGGAGTCCACTGAGCCAAACTAAAAGTATCCATTCGTACGAATATGGCAGCAAGTTTTTCCTCACGACCGCGTACGGTGGTGTTATACCCACAATCAACAAAAATAACATCAAGTAAATGTGGGATGTGAGATATGACATAAATTTTATAATCGGCACTTTGTAATATTTGTGGCCTAAGGGAAGAGTAAAGGCGATCCAAACCGGAGGACAAATTATGAACAACACAAAAAGAAGGAGCGTACGCCACGCCGCCCAGTTGAGGGCACCTCTCCAGAGTTCCTGGAAAGGAAAGTTTGGTCAAATTTTGCACATTTCCGATGGAACGCAGCAAACACCTATTCTTTACCTGGAGGTAACGCTGGACTACTGTATGTGCGATGACTTCTTTTTGTTCGTTTTCGATCAAAACATCGAGGAATTCAACGTTTCGTCGGTCAGTTGCCGTCAGGATTTTACCAGCGGAATCAGCCCCTGCTGCTAGGGCCAACAGTTCGGTGGCCATAGCTTCACAGAATTTTCCAGCAGAGATTAAGTCTTTCGCTCTTTCTTTTTCTTTCCCTGATAAGACGATTAGAATGTTTGATAACTTAGCGGCTGTATCAACAGGTGCGGGTGAAACTAGGATAAACTCTTCGATCGGTTTATTGTTGTGGTTTTTGGAGCACACCATCAAGTTGTAGACAAACCGCCGGTCTTCCATGAGAGCATAAGTGTCATGTTCTTTGGTCATCAAATACTCCAAAACATCGTGATGGCCCTCCGAAGCCGCAAACCAAATCGGAACAGCTCCGAGATTAGTTTCCGATTTGGGCGAAGCCCCAGACTCCGTCAACAACTTAACAACATCAAAACATCCAGCTCTGGACGCGCAATGTAAAGGCGTCCAGCCGTTCTTATCAGGTGCGTTGATCTCCGCACCTTGACCTGGAAGTATCAATGTCGTAACTCTTATCTCAATCTTAACGCGTGACCTTAAACTTAATGCCTAACTTTTCGGAAAGTTCTAGATTTAGATGCGTGTCAGTGGTACAAAACCTTAGACACGCAAACTGGCCTTCGATATTTAGAAATTTTGCTCACCTAACAACACCTCCACCATCTGATAATGGCCATGGGTGGCGGCAATGTGAAGGCCGGTTTTACCGTGCTTGTCGTGACTTTGCAACAATTCGGCCGAACGGCTGAGGAGGAGACCCACAACGGTCACGTGGCCCCCAAAGCAAGCCAAGTGCATAGGGTTGTAGCCCTAAATGAGAAAATTACTAATGTTTTTCTAGCATGTATTCTAACTAGTCATCGATGATTTCACCTCTCGAAATAACTTACATTTTCGTGTGTGGCGGCGTCCACTTGCACCCCCGCGCTATTCAATAATAACCTGACGACATTTTCATTCCCGGAGAAAGAAGCCAAATGTAAGGGCGTCATTCCTGACTCATTGCCCAGTGCTGGCACTAGAGACGCGCCATTGGGTGGTTCCGACTTGACGGTCCCAGGAACATGGGTCAGCAACTCTCTTACTGTATCAGCTTGACCAAAATAAGCCGCCACGTGTAGCGGAGTGACCCCTAATTTTTTACTAGTGACTCTCAACGTGTTTGAAGACCGCAACACTTCCAACACTTGTCCGTGTCCATTTTGAGCGGCCAAATGCACAGCTGTAAATCCTTCCTTATTTTCATCGGTCACTGAAGCTCCAGAACGGACTAATGCTTTGACGACTTCCGCATGACCACCTTCGGCAGCAATCTGAAGAGGAGTTGCATCTGTTAGTTTGTTTCTCGCAGATATGACTCCTTGTCGGTCGAATTTCATGAGTTCTTCAATCACGGTTACGCTCCCTTGGGCGGCAGCAATGTGAGCACATGTGTTACCATTTTTGGTGGTAGCCATGACAAGACTTGGGTGCTGTTGTAGAAATAATTTAGCGACTTCGGAAAAGTTGTTTTGACATGCGGCATGAATGGGCTTTTGGCCTTGCTCATCTGTGGCATCTATATCAGCCCCGAGTTCTAGTAACAGGCGGCAGACTTCAATCTGACCGGCTGCTGCTGCTAAGTGAAGAGGAGTTTGTTTTTTCAGTGTGAGGATATCGATAACCGCGTTATGGTCTTTGATCAAAAATTTGACCAAATGGATGTAACCATTCATAGCAGCTAAGTGGAGAGCAGTCCTGCCGTTTCTCGATTTGGAATTGATAAAAGCTTTGTTCGAAAGGAGGAAATCACAGACTTGGAGGTACCCATGCTCTGCTGCTAAATGTAGTGCTGAACGGCCTTCATTATCAAAGACATCGACTCTGGCATGGTTTGTTAAAAGATTATTGACCATTTCTTGATGACCTTTATGGGACGCTATCAGAAGTGGTGTCCATCCGGTCAAATTTTGTTTATTTAGAGCCTTTTGAACTTCATTTGGAGACATATGAGCAATCATTTCCATCAAAACATCGTTATTACCAGCCTTGGCAACGTAGTGAAAAGCCGTTTCATGTTGTTTCGTTTGTAGTTTTACATCGGCACCATTTTCTAATAATAGTTTGACTACTTCCTTATCAGCAAACTCGACTTCAACGTCCTCCTTTTTCACAGCTGAGACGTAATGTAAAGCACTTTCGTCATGCTCGCTAATTTCGTTGATGTAACTTGCGGCAACTTCATCTCCTTTGTGTTCTTTCAAATAGTTGATTAAGTGTTGGACAACGTCGGGTCTGCAACCCCTGCTTGCTAAATGTAAAGCTGTTTCTCCAGCTTTATTCTTGAATTGGGGGTCGCCCCCATCTTCGAGAAGAAGTAGAAGAGTTTGTAAGTTGCCATATTGGGCCGCAACGTGAACTGGAGTTTGGCCATCATGTGTTGTCAGATTTGGACCAGCGCCTGATTTTAGAAGCATTAAGGCGCATCGATCACCATCTTTAACTCGTGCTGCTATGTGTAGAGCTGTTTCTTTTAATTTCCCTCCTGTGGATTCGTGGAAAAGTAATCACGAATTATTTTATTGCAATCAATCACTCACCTCTGACATGGACATCCGCTCCATAACCCAGCAGTGTTTCTACCACTGCTGGTTTGGCCGATTCAACAGCTATATGAAGTGCTGTGTAATTTTCCTAGAATTATCCTTAATAGCAAAAGAAAAGAAAATTTCGTGCTTGACTCACATTAGTTGTCACATCAACCTTTTCGCCTTTTTGGAGAAGTGTATTGATTATACCAACATGGCCATACCTTGCAGCAGTATGAATACTTCTAGCCCCGTCCTACAAAACAAAGTCCACTTATCTGATGGAATTACCATAACAAAGAGTTTGCATAAAATAGCTCTACCTTGTTTGGCATATGAAGGTAGACACCCTTTTTGAATAGCATAGCAGCGCAATCTGCATGACCGTTAAGAGACGCGATATGCATAAGAGTCGAGCCATCCTTTGTCCTTTCAAAAATGCTAGCTTTGAATTTATCGGCGAGGAGTTCGATTATGTTGGCGTGGCCGTTTTCGGCGGCCAAATGCATGGGAGTCCGGTCTTGGTTGTCGGTGACGCTGGCTGAAGCACGAACGCCGTAGAAGTATTTCACTAGAGCTTCATCTCCTTCAGCTGCTGCTATGTGAAGGGGGGTTTGGCCTTCGCCATTGCGGATGTCTACGCTGGTGCCATAGTCCACCAGAATTCGGACCATGTCGATATCCTTTCGGCGTACGGCCAAATGGAGAGCGGTGTCTCCATTGGCGGCGGCTGCTTTCAATTGCTCGGCCGTTTGGGCGCTTAGCAGTTCTCTGCACATTGACTGGTTGCCGGCCTCTACGGCCAGGAGGAGAGGGATTTTGCCCCGCTAGAAAAATTTTGGAAATATACCTTGGAACTTTTCTATTGCCACACTGGCAAAGTCGCAACTGCATTTTTTTAGGGTGAAATACGTCGCAAACATTTGAAAAAGTCTGTAATACAACTAAACCCTACTGAAAAATTTAAAGCCAAAAAGCTCCACTTTTCCATACAGAAAGCTTCGTGAAAAGTGACTCATTGATAGAAGTAGGATTTAGTTTAATTTAAATAAATGAAATGTTGGATAACCTTTCTCTTATTCAAGTTAATTTTTTTTAAGAATTGCCTTAGTCTAATTATGTACTTACTTTTTGTGACTATTTCCCTCACAAAACATAAATAAGCTAATCAAATCTTTCAAATTTTCAGATTCAGGATTCATCCAATCAGATTGAATTACACTATAATTCAGCACGTGTGCAAATTATCGATAAGCTGCCTGTGTGCTAAATCACCGCGAATCCGATTGGATAAATCTCAAAAATTTTATTGACACATTTTTTTTTGTATACGCTCCCGAAAATAGCTGTTTTAGGGACTCGTTTAAGTCCCTAAAATGGGTCTTTTCCGGACTCAATAAAATAGTACGTAATAGTTATTTATTCGACGAGTTTGAGCGTAAATCGGACGGATTATCTCACCGAGTGGTTTATCATCCACGAGGTGGAATACCGATTTACACTCAAACGAGTTGAATACAACATTTTATTCTTCGAATTAGACTCAAAAAGGCTTAAACTTGCTTTAAATCTGTTAAAAATAATCTGACGTTTCGTATTGAGAAATGCCAAACAGTTGTCAAAACTTCCTTACACGGGAGAAAAACCCTAAATTTTGACAGTGTCGAAGAATAAAATAGTTATTGTAGCTACTCAGGTAACAGTTTTTCCGGACGAAAAAGTCATTTTGGTACTATGGTGGCAATATTTTTTTAATTAATTAGAGGTGTGAATTGGTTTTTTGGGAACTTTAACAAAAAATGTTGTTTGTAACACGTACCTAAAATGTTTTTTGTATACGCTCCCGAAAACAGCTGTTTTAGGGACTCATTCGGGTCCCTAAAATGAGTCTTTTCCGGACTCAATAAAATAGTACGCAAAATGGTTATTTTAAGTACTCAGTTCCCAAAAACAGTTTTTCCGAACTAAAAAATTAAATTGGTCACTATAGTGGCGATTTTTTTTAATTAATAAGATGTGTAAATTCGTGTTTTGGGAGCTTTAACAAAAAAAATGTTGTTTGTAACGTAAGTTTGTAACACGTTTTTGTGGACTCATCTGCTATTCCAAACTCGGCTTTGCCTCGTCCAGAAACAGCAACGATTCGTCCGCAAAAACTGTATTTTAGGTACTTGTAACAAAAATAACTGTTTTGACATATTTTTCTTTTAATTTCTCATAATAAAATTGTTTTTGTAAAAAAATTTTTGGGAAATAGTCTGCAAAATATCCCTCGTGCATGCCAAATTGATTGTAATTTATCGACAATTTGGCAAGCATTACTATTGATAATTTTTCTTAAATTAATTCATAGTTAGTCTAATATTAATTTATTCAATAGTTTTTACATATTTACAAACTTTAAAAAGTAAACCTCATTCTAGTAAAAACTATACATAGTTTTCTTGCAGTATTTACAACATAGGTAAGTATGTTTTTTTCGTTTTAAATAATAATTTTTTAAGTTTTTGAGATCATTACATATTCTAATCACTATATTATTAAGTAAAAATGAATCCACTTAATTGTTATATTTATCCCAAAAAAAGTGTCAAAGCTGTGATTAGTTTTTTTTATTAAAGTCAATTAATTTGTCAAATTTTCTAATTTGAACAGTACCTAATAATTAATACTAACTTAATTTTGCAACAGGTCGCTACAGATTTTTATACATTTGTTTCCTAAACACAATGAAACGTAAAATCCTGATTAGAAATAACTCTTCAAGTCAATTTTATGCAGTTTTCCATGATTAAGTTTTGTTGTTCTTGTTAAGCAAAGCATATCAGAAACCATTATAAAAAAAATATTTCAATAATTGAATAGCAGTCTGGAGAGGCTAAAATTACTGCTTACAGCAACAAAAATATTGTAATATACTAAAGAAAAGAAACAAAACAATTCTAAGACATACAGAAATAAGTTTCCAAATTTGTGATAAGCATTAAATCAAAAAAACAAAAGCACAAATCTAATAAAAAACTCAGTTTTTTAAACTAGTACTTAAAAAAATTAAATTGTAGACAAAATCTAACTTAAGTGGTTAAACAATAAGAAGAAAATGTTCAAAAACAATACTCAGATCTACGATGGTAAAAAATACAATTAGTATTGATTTTCGTGCATCCAAAAAATGAAACGTAGTACACAATTAAATACATAGAAACTTTCCTTTACGTTGGAATTTAAATCTAATGCAATGTTAGTGCCAGTCACGAGAACACTGAAATCAGATTTAATTCGATCATTGCTCTTTCAGCAGACAAATGTAACCACAAGTGAAACATATCGTAGATCAACTCAAATTGCCATGTTCACACGAGCTTGCAATTTTCCAGACATCAAATTGAGCAATCATTTCGTTTCACCGCGAAAACTTCAAAAATAAAACACGAAAAAAAAATCAAAATAAAATAATTTTTATTTTTACATACAATAAAAAATAACATAAGATTAATAGGCAAGTGCACCAAATGCAGCACGGAATAACAAAATGCGGGCAATATAAATGTCAATAAAATCTATAATCCCGATCCATTCGTATTTTGTGTTATTTTTTAGGGGGTCTCGAAAGCCATCTTGTACCAGGTGCTGGAATTTCGACACGCGAATCCATTGGAGGGAGCGTCGGAATTTTAGTCAGGATCTGACTCGACGAAAAAGTATAAATAAAATGTCAACTAATTATACATATTGATTTTAGGCATCAAAACCGACTCACCCCATCCGGTTTTAATCTGATGTCTTTTCCCGCAGCTTGCAGCAAGGCTCGCAGGATTGCCGTTGCCGTTCCTGTTTGTCGCGACGCCACCAGATGTACAGCAGTTTGATTGCGACTCTACAAATGTTTTAAAGAAATATTTTAACACTTGAGAGTTGAAGAACTATTTGTTGGCATGGAGACTCACAACAAATCACTTTCAAAGTTAAATATTAAGACTTTAGTTTTATTACAATGTTTAAACTTTGTTAACATGCAAAAGCCGAGGAAATCATTTAGAAGGGTTTAAATTGAAATCGTCGAGTTGACTCGACGACGTGATAATTGGGTTTTGAATCCTCGTAATTAATTACTTACGCCACCAGTTGAATATGGATCGACTCCTCTTTTGGTCAGTAATAACTTGACCACGTCCTCTCGTGAAAACATCGCTGATATATGAAGGACATTGTAATTGTCCTGGAATTAAAAAAATCGCGCATTAAGAGCAACCTTATAAAAATTAAATCAAGGATTAACCAAGGTGTGGGTGTGACTTTGATATATTTGCCCACCATCGTAACAAATCTCTTGTTTATTTAATTTGGTAAAACGCTTTTTGTCAAAACTCTGATTGTTGAAAATTTAATTAATTACACCAAACCTACCCTAAAATATCGATCTAGCATTGTTTGTCAACTTTATAATGACTCGACATGATCCGATTTTTCATTAAGAAATTTTCTGCCGCTAATAAGGAAATTGGTTCTTGTGACCTTTTTCTAGATTCGTGTTGAAATTAGAATAAAATTATATAGAATCTGACGTTAATAACTGCAGAATAGAAAAATCAAAATTTTGCGGTAAAAAGAAATCTTTGTAGGTCCCTAAAGCTGAGATTGCGTGACGCAGTGTCCTAGATTTGCCAGCACGCGTTAGACTTGCATGCTTCTTCGATAATCATGACTTAGTCTTACATGAATATTAATTGTTAATTGATCTCCTGTCACCACCACTCTGAACAAAACAGATTTTTCCCGATACGTGAGAGAATGTTAACCGCAATGAAAACAGGTGGTGCCTCGAAAAATTAACTTATTGATGCTAAATTGTAGCTGCAGTCCGCATTTTAATCCGCATGATCGTTTAATTTCTACTAAATTTAAAAAAATCATCGTTTTCTTTGTGTTTGTAATTAGCATAATAATACCATGTTTGTAAGTATGCGTTATGAATTTTGAAAAATGGTTCATGCCACCCTCTCAAAAAATGAATAAAATGGAACACATTAAAATAAGAGAATAATGTTATCACAAAAAAGAATAATGGCAAATAACATCGAATGTAAGTGTGTATGTAAATGGAAATAAGTTCATTTGTGTGTTAATTAATTCATTATGGTTTTTCATTGTAATATTTATTTTTAGAACTTTAAGGTTTTACATATTCAAGGTTAATTTGGATTTTCTTGCACGAATCGATACCAAAAATTTGGCTTCCAAATATTATAGAACAACTTCATTTTTTTAATTCAATTGTTCTAAACTAAAACCAACAAGAAAATTTGGAATTTTAAAAACATTAAAATTGAATTTTAGATAAAAATATTAATCATACCTGTTAAAATTTAAGGGATAACCATGACACTCAACAGAATCATCAAATTTTTGATTTTTAATGGACGTTTAAATTTTACCAGCGATCACAGAATACAACAAAATTGATTTTCAATCATTCTTTAAATACCTGCTTCCTTTTTGCTAATCATCTCGCGCACGAAATTTTTTTTTGGATTTCAAAAACTTTGCCGTTTTAGAATTTGCTAAATTTCATAGTTATGTGAGTCCAAAAAGAACTGTGTTAAAATGAAGATGATTTCAAAATAAAAATGTAAAATGTACAAATATTTTACAAACAAAATGTTTACGGTGAGATTCTGAAAATGTGTTTTTCACAGCTACAAGCTACAAGCTTGTGAAAAACACATTTTCAGCTACAAGCTTGTAGCTACAAGCTACAAATATTTTATTGACATATGAGAAAACATTATGCTGGAAAAAAATAATCGAGGAAATTTATTTTCTTTCAAACAAATTTATTAAGAAATTTCATTAATCTTTACACTTTATATGAAAGCATAGATGAAATATTATATATTTCCTCTATGATGAAAGTCATAAGCGAGAGATTAAATGTTTAGTGTATAACCAAATAAAAGTCGGGGTAGAAAGAAAAACCAACCAATATAAAGGCAGTTTTTCTCATCTAGCTCTGATACTATTGAACAAACTTATTAAATATTTACACATGTCCCCTAACTTGTTTAGAGAAAAAAATAATTTTATGTTGTCAAACGTTGTGTAAAATATTTAGTAAGTTTATGAATCTACTCGTACTTTAATGTTGTTTATTTATAGGGGCATTGGAAGACAGCAGCTTGCAAACTGCTCCATTTTGTAAAGTATTTGATATATTTATTGACTATTGACTTAAAAAATAAATTAACAATGACTGTCCATTCTACCAAGTAAATTAATTTTGTGTAACCCACAAAAGTTGCACCTTTGGTGCCACATTTTAGACTTGACACATGTAAGTATCCATTGTTAGGATACTTATCAGAAGCTGATAAGATGTACAAGTTATTTTAATTAATGAACCCTTATTAAGAATTCAAATAATAATAATAATAATATTTAGTTTATTTAAGTTTCTTTAAAAAGTCTGTATTTGTAATTATTTCGAATCGCTTCTAACTTAAAAGAAAATTCCAAATGCTAATCAGAATCAACGTTTTTAAATTAAGAAAAATGGCGATAATAAATCGCAAACCCAACATCAAAATTACAGTGGTGTGTGATATTTGTAGGGCTAAATGCACTGTTATATTTTTAGCATCCATAAATCCCTATCATGATCGAATTAAGGCGCGCCCCGAATTAATAAATCATTAAACGGTGACCTATACCCCACAAACTTGTTAATAATCTCATCTCTAGCTCAATTTTTCTCGCAACCAGTGTCTATCAATCTCCGTTAATCATGCAAACCGATAATTAGATTCCGATCCAGGGCGTGTACCTAAGTGCATTAAACGTTATTAGAATCCTATCGAGGATTTTTGCATTTAGGTCAGTTGCGTGTATGGTATGATTATGGAAAAATCGTTCTATTTACGGAACGATTTTCGCCGATTTTGTAAACAAACTCACATTGTTTCTAGCGCCGACATCCGATCCCAAGTCGATGAGTTTATCAAGAAGGGACGTCCTGTTGTCTTTCACGGCGTACATGAGAGGTGTCATGCCGGTCGCCTGGAGACAAAAACGCATTTTTGGTTGTTTGCTCAATAGCATTTTAGGCTGATGGGAATATTAAGCAAATGAAATGGAAAGACGTACTAGGTCGGCAACACCAGCAAGGGGGACGGTGTTGGCGTCGTCTCCAGCTGCAGCGATGGATTTCTCGATGGATTTGAGGACTTGGTCCACAGGGGCCCATTCGCCCTTTTGGCAAAGAACGAGAATTCGCTGGGCGGCATCTCGAACATTGGCACCGGCACTTTGGGGTTTGGAACTGGGGGTGTCGTCGCCTTCGGGATTGCTGGTGGTCTCATCTTTGTCCTTCTCTTTACTGTCTTTGGCAGCTAAAAAACACAGCTTTGAAACAGCCACAATCTGAAATAACCCTAAAACAGGGTCTTGATTTAAGAAGGTTTAATTGAGAACCTTATATCCAAAGATTAAAGTTTTTTTAAAACATCAAAAACACATTTTTTTTTTGTTTATCTCTCAATCGAACGCAAAATGTGTGAAGTTTTATGTCCCTACTACATATTTTGGTAATTATTATTAGCTAGTAAAAAAATTACTTGTAGGAAAGTATACCAATTTTCGACAATAAAATAAAAGACATTTACAAAAATAAGTAATATTACCTCCTTGCAGTACAAATAAAAAAACTCGTCATAAAAAACGAATTCTTTAAAATCAAATTGAAAAATACTCGATTATAAAATATGGGCTTTAAATCGACTCGACAAAGTTTTAAAACAACTAATCAAGCATTTCTCTTGAGAAATGCCCAGAACAGAAACATTGTCCTTAAAATTTTTATAAAAACTCGTAAAAACAAAAAATTATGCATCTAATTAGTACGTATGTAATTAGTATGTATTTTGTCTAGCTAGTGAGTATTTTGCAACGAGTTTACATTAAAAAAAATTCTAATTTCGCTGAACTTGTTTTCGTTAATTTTTTTACGAGTAATATGTAGCAGACAAATTTTAATACTAAAAAAAATCGTGTTTGTTATTTAAAAGTTTGGAACTACCAAAAAAATATAGTATTCTAAAAATTTTCTTCGAAAAATATTACATTAATTATTAAAAGAAATGTATTTTATTTTATACTTATAATATATAATAGTTTTAAAAGAAATGTATTTTATTTTATACGCAATGTTAAAGAGTGCTTTTAATTTCAGTAGATAAAGTTGTCTTGTATCGTCTAGTGAAATAAAGTAATTTTTATCTACTGTTTATATATTATCTTTTATCAACTATTTGCAGTAGATTGAAAAAAATCCACTCGTGACTTCGTCACTCGTAAATTTAACGTTTTCACTCGTAGATAAACAATTTCTTTATCGCCTTGTATAATAAATAACTATAATTGTCGCACATAAAGATAAAAATTCTTATCAAACTTTTAGACTGATGTATAATAAATTAATGATTATAGTAGATAATTTATTTTATAAGTCGAATAAGTCAAATACAGGACGTTTTGTAAATAGACCAAAAAAAGGAAAATGTAAGTAAGAAAAGGTATCAGAAACATTAAAAAAATATTGAAAAAATTCTGTCAAAAAAATTTGACATTTATTTTTTGTCATTTGACTTTTTTTTTATAATCATTCAGTGTAGGTACAAAAACTTTGTCAATAAAAGCTACAAATAACGTTAAGCATAGTTACAATTCAGAATACAGCTTCTTTGTTTCCTCTTCTAACAATCTGTAGCAAAAAACATGTAGAATTATTTTTACAAGAGAAATAAATAAAGTCAAAGTGGAAAATTTAAACTCATAATTTCGAAATTTTTATAGATAGAATTTTTTAACATTTTTTTCATGTTCCTGGTATCTTAATTTAGTTGACATTTTCCTTTTTTTGGTCTATTTACAAAACACCCTGTATTATAGTACGGGTGAGAGGTTAAATAGCGAAATGAGTACTACAAGAGACTTATCGGATGTATATATCGTATTTTATTTCTTATTGTTTCAAGTAAATTTGCCAAAAAAATAATTTAACGTTTTGTTGTGACAAAAATAACAATCCGGTAAGTGTTGCTTACACTTGTTGGTTACTCTTGTCAACTCTGATACCGTAATAGCTCATTTATCGGACTTTTACTTAGATACCTAAGCTCTGATAAGTCGGAAAGCTTAATTTACCGAACAGTATTATGAAATTAAAAAAAATGTTGTTATTTTTATTTAGCAAGTCAAGGCTTTTCAAAATTTATCACAATATTATATCAGTGATTAGTGTAGGTACTCAAGAGTTATTATAAAAGGTCACTTTTTTCCTAGAAAGTCTAGGCTAGAGCTTTAGATCAGAAAGATATCATTAAAGAAATTCAAACACGTAAAGCATGATTCATTCAAATATAGTTTTATTAGACCATTATAGATGTAGATACAACTGCGGATATTATGTGGTAGCGAAAGGTTCTTGGTAACCCAAATAGCCAAATTATAATAAGCCATTCAAGCACCCTTATATTATTTTGAATTTTTGATTAGATAAATGGCAAATTTAATAAGAAAGTGTGTCAGGTCAGTGGAATATATCCGTTCTCGAAATTTACATTTGAATATTTGAGTTATATCGAAATGTATTCAAATAGTTATGAATATTATTTTGCCACACAAATATTGTGTTTCTAGGTAGATTGATAAAAGGAATATTTTAATAAATTATTTTTGAAAAGAGCAAAATTGTGATCTAGTCGGAAATATTAAAAAAAAAACAGAATTTTCAAATAATTTTTAAAATTTTAATATTTTTTAAATGTTAAAAAAATGCTTCATGTGAAGTACTCGTAATAAAAATATAAATAAAGCTTCAAATATAAAAAAAATAACATCTTCAAGAAAAACAGAATTTATGAAACATTTATTAATAAATATCAGTGATAAGATACGAGTAATAAAAAGCTTTTTTGATAACATAACAAAAGCGGTTTCAAAAAAAGAACAAAACAAAATTTAATTTTAATTAATGAAATTTCTTAGTATCTTTACACCTATTCTCCGAACATTTCTTTCACCTAATTAACATTTTTGCGTACAACTTATTCAATAATTTGAATAAAACTTTTTTGGAAATATATTTTACCTTTGTTATTTTGGTCTTTGTTGTCATCATTCTTATCCTTGGGGGGACCCTTCCCGCCCCCCTTTTTTCCAGCAGGCTGCGACATAGCGTTATGTGATCATGATAATTTTCAAAAATTTCCAAAGAAAAAAACAACTTTTAATTTCCTTAACTAAAGAATTCACTATCAACATAATTGTTCATGAATAGTCTGTCACCTCTACTTCTTCCTTCTGTTAATTTTTTTAATGAGGAATGAAACAATTATTTGCAAACATTTGGAAATTATGTCTCCCGAAGACAACATTTCGTTAAATTAACACGGCACGATAGTGTTATTGTTTCCGATTAATCGGCGCTTGACTACAAGTCACCACTATATCTTCTTAATGTTCTTTATCAAACTAGTGAGGTTTTGAAGAAATCTGAACTGAAAGCTGAAACATTAGCCCATTCTTTGCCAATAGGAATGTAGATATCCCCACTACAACCCCCGGCAGGGTGTTGCGATTCAACATTTCAGCGCTGAAAAGCTTGCAGACACAATGACCTACTGAAATAATACACTAAATCAAGCATTATAGATTAATCCTGCCCAAACTCTACAAAACTAGTTCAGGTTTACATAAACCAACTATAATCAAAGCTCGCACTTAAATCCTCTTGCATTTTCAGTTATAGATTTTATGCAAATCATAAATGGAAAACTTATGTAACTCCTATTTTTATCAAGTAAAAAACAATTTAAACAGACATAAATCAAATAAAATTTAAACCGTTTCAGGAAACACCTAATTAAAAAAGACTTGCAAATTTGGTACAACCAAGGCCTGAAAAATGTCTCATATCTCTTTTCAGCTTATTGATAACCTTCTAGCTGTTTACTTAAAGTCTCTTTTCAATATATTGTTTGAAAAGTTTCAGCGCTGAAAATTCGACCAATGGCGAAGCTTTAATATCGAGTGCGTGTCGAACGTCAGCACGCTATTTCCGGTGGAGGTTCCGGTCAACCACGGCCTTCTGCGACCGACAACACTCATTTAGAAACTTAAAGAAGCAAGACAAAACTGATAGTGGTATTTTAGGTTTTTTTTAGAAGAAACGCTGAAGTTCGGAATATTTGTTTATATTTTTGTTTTATTTTTTTTATCTACCACCTTAGAATTGTTCTTGGCCAATACTTAAAGAATTAATAAACAATAATATTATACGCAAAACTAAAAAAAAGTGTCATAATCCAATTCTAGCATAATTATGTATAATTAATGTTAATTTTGTAAAAAAAAAACATTTTTGCACTAATAGCAGGTAAACTTTTTTATTCGTTTACTTTGGCGTTCTAGAATATTTTTTAGATATTTTATTTTAAAAAAAACTAAAGAAAATCAATCCCGCAAAAAATGTCATAAGCATCACGAACGTTTTAAGGACTTACCGATCTCCTCCAATTGTCTTCGATCGGAAAAATGTCCCTACCGTTCTTGATGCTTTAATATACTATTTCACTTGCGTTTTTAATGTCTTCTCTATTCGTAGTGTTCCAAAAATAAATCAGCTCGTAACAGAAATTATCGAAAGCGACAATATTTTAAATGACATTTTCTTCTAAATCATTTAGATGTTGTGATAAAATTGTTTAAATACTCAGTACATTATACGGCAAAAAAAATCATGCTCGACACAAAAATTGTCATAAATATACATTTATCTACCCTAGGTGCCATTGTTATTGGAAATAATTAAACAATTATTATAAAAATATTTTTGGAACCGACTCATTCTATGTATATTGGAAAAAAGTTAAAAAAAAACATTTGAAAAAACATAGTAGCTTTCAACGAGTCCTGTGCACTTATTTCTGAAAAAACTGTACAATCATAATTGAAGTAGAGTCACCAACAAAATTAATGCAATTAAAAATTGCTTTAAAAACTACACCAAAAATATGATTACCATTTTTTTAATTTTGCTATTTACAAATAAAAGATTTGTAAAAAGAAAAAAATATTTGCACAAGCCCTCCATTTTTACTTTAAACCTGAATTAAAAAAAATTTTGTAATGAATAGAAATTTAAAGTTTTTAGTTATAAAACTTAGAAATGTAATTTTGTGTGGTCCTCCTAAAAACAGGAGAGTTATCATTATCAATAGTTATTATTGAATATAAAGATAGATATAGTGAAATGTAGAATTAAAAAATTCTCAATTTCTTTCAAAAATATAAGACCTTTTGTCACTATTAGTTGTAATTATCAGTCATAAAATTGCATTCATCATTTGAACAATTAAAGGAATAATAATTAAATATAAGTATATTAAAGATAAAAAGCTGGGAAATAAAAGCAAAAATATATTATATTAATTTTGTTTACATAACAATCTAATATAAATAATTATTGTACTTTGTCCCCAATACATCAATTTTGTTCTATTTTTATCTTCCCATATTCATTGAAGTAAAACGAATTAACTTTAACAATTTATTATAATGCCAATAATGATTTAAATCTGCAAAACTATTATTAATTGTGCTTTCTACTTATAGATTAATAACATATTATCAATCGATAATATTTGTAGAATAGTCTTGTCTGAAATAACTTATCTAAATTTAAATAATTCTACATAAGACCTCCCACAAAGCCATGTGGAAAGTCAGACATGCGTCTAGTTTTTGAGCCAAGTTCAGTATTACAAGTATTTATCAACGAGAAACACTATGCTATTTATCTTGTTGTTTAGCAAGTTTTGTGATAATCTTTTAATTATTATCTCGTCTAACAGCTGATATAGTTATAACGCGGAACTTTTTAATCTAATTTTATTTAGTAAAAATGTTGAAGACTGTTACTAGCAAATATACCCGACTATCTCTAATAAAAAAATCGTAAGTAATTGTAAAGATGTTTCATTTATCTTAAGTAAACAAAGTTTTAGAAAATGTAGTCACTATTCAACCAAGCTAAGCTACAAACATAACCTTGGTGAAGAACCCTTACGTCATATTACTATCGGAACGCTTCTCGATGAAACTGTATCTAAGTTTGGAGACAGGAAAGCATTGATCTCTAGACACCAGAAAAAATCATTGACTTTTTCGGAAATTCTGAACCAGACGGATAAACTAGCAGCAGGGTTTAAAGAACTAGGATTAGAAAAAAATGATCGGGTAGGATTATGGGCTCCAAATTTAATTGAATGGTACATCGGAAAAATGGCTTGTGCGAGAGCTGGTTTAATTATGGTACTTTGACAATAATTTACCATTATGGTTTCGTTATTTAGAAGTCTTTAGGTAGGCTTAAATCCGGCGTACCAGCCACCGGAAATAGAATATTGTATTAATAAAGTTGGAATTAAAGCAATTGTGTGTGCTGATCAGTTCAAGAGTCAAAATTTTTATGAAAACTTAGCAACAGTAGCACCAGAATTGGAAAAATCCGACCCTGGAAAACTAAAAAGTAATAACATCCCGTCGCTACAAACTGTGATAATTATGAGTGAAAACAAGAAAAAGTAGATAGTGATAAATTTTTGAAAAATTTATAATTGGTTATTTTCAGAGGGGCTTACAATTTTGGAGAAATTCTAGATTTAGCTACCAATGACAGTATTGCACAAATCAGAAAATACCAACGATATATTAGTCCGGATGACCCATGTAACTTACAATTTACATCGGTACGTATCTGTTTTACATTTTCTTCAAGATTTCATTGAAAAATAGGGTACCACCGGAAAACCGAAAGCAGCTCTCACTTCCCACTTCAATATGGTCAACAATGGCTACCTTATAGGCAAAAGAAACGAACTGAATCAAAAACATCACACCATTTGCTTGCAAGTACCATTTTTCCATGCTTTCGGTACCAGTATTTCAATAATGGCGGCTTTAAACCATGGCGCCACGATGGTACTGCCTACAGATGGGTACAATCCAGATAAATCTCTCGATGCAATTAAGGAAGAGAAGTACTAACACTTTTATATTGTTTTCTTGATACTAAAATTATAATTTAGATGTACCATAATTCACGGTACCCCCACTATGTATGTGGACCTTGTCCATAAGCAAGAAATACGCAAAGAAAATATTTCGCCAGAAATTGCAGTTGCTGGTGGTGCCCTTTGTGCACCACATCTGTTCAAAAAAATGCTCTCAGTGCTTAATTTGAAAAAAGTCAAGGTACAGGCTGGTACCATACAGTATAAATCCAAATATTTTTTTGCATTACAGTCTGTGTACGGTTTGACTGAAACTACTGCTGTAGTGTTTCAATCCATGGTTACAGAAGATGAAGAAAAGGCTGTTTCAACTGTTGGTCATGTGGGTGAACATGTTGAAGTCAAAATCGTTGATAAAGATGGTGTTGTGGTACCTTGTGGTACTCCTGGTGAGTTGTGTATTCGGGCATATTGCAATATGTTGGGTTATTGGGAAGATGAAGCCAAAACGAAGGAGATGATTGGATCTGATAATTGGCTAATGACTGGGTTTGTCTCATTTCTTCTTATATTTGTCTTCAATTCTATCTTGACTAATTCATCAGTGATCAATTCATACTCGAAGAAGATGGTTATGGTAAAGTCGTAGGGAGATTAAAAGAAATGATAATAAGAGGCGGCGAAAATATATTTCCCAAAGAAATTGAAGAATTTCTTAATTCTCATCCAAATATTTTGGAGACACATGTAAGTTGTAAACTTTATCATTATTATATTTACTTAAGATTTTTATAGATAACAAAAATTTAATTAATTTGTTTTCAAGTGTCGCTGCTTTTATAGCATTTATCCTACAATAAACAAAATTTCAGGTTATCGGTCTGCCACACGAACGACTTGGAGAGGAAGTTTGTGCATGCATTCGCGTTAAACCTGGAACCAACGTCACATTCGAAGATATTGTCAGTTTTTGTAAAGGCAAATTAGCCCATTTTAAAATCCCTTCAAAATTAAAAATTGTTGAGGAATTCCCCAAAACAACGTCAGGAAAAATTCAAAAGTTCAAATTGAAGGACTTGTTCACAAGTACATAAAATACAGTACAAAAATATTGTGATTGAAATATCTATTTTTTAATAACATACTCTCATGCAGCCTTGAATTTATTGCAACAAACTGTCTAGACGGTTACTTTTTTCTTTCTCCAGTATAGGATTCCACGTGTTCTAAAAGTATGTACGCTGATCAAGAATACTTGATATTTTACGAAAGTAATTGAGTTAAAGACGCAAATGTCGAAATATTCTTGAAATCTGGAACTCAATTAGAGTTGTTTTAAAAACACATATGAGGGGTAGTAAAACAGACTAATGATTATTTCAACCCCATTTGAGTTCAATATCTTGAATTAAAAACAAATTTGCAGCCAAAATCATAATTAAAATTTGATATTCATACGAAGCAATTTTCTTCAATACCAAATTGCCAGGTTATATAAGAATTATTACGGAATTTTTATTCTTCTCACTCACAAAATAGTTAACAAAAACAGGTTGGAAGATAGTTATTTATGAATTCTTAAAAATAATTGTTTATTTGAGGATTCTTCTTCTTCAAGTAATTGCCACGAGAAAAAACAAAAAAATGTAATTTTATTCTACTAATGTAGGTATAATTTAAAAACAACATACAAAGATGCCATTTTAAGTATATCAATAAGTCATCACATTTTGGAATTCTATAATCTATGGTGCAAGAATTGGAATGTTTATTTATTTAATCCGATTTTGAAATTAGCCCATTTTGAATAGGTTGCAAAAATTCTTCAACGATCGCATCTACCATTTCCTTTAAAGTTGCTACAATACCTTCACGATTTCTGAAACAACATATTAAAAAAAAGAACATTTCAAATACTACAGGACTTACGTATTTCCAGCTTCGGCACACATTTCCGTGTAATATTTAACTTTCGGTTCAGTCCCACTAGTCCTAAGTGTGCAAACAAGACCATTTGAAAAATTGAAAGTTATCATTTGGCAACTTTTAGACACCGGCAATATAGCTTTATTGTCAGGTTGGCCATTATCATAACCGGTAGTTAAATCCCTAATTGTAGTAATTTTATACTTATTATTAAGAATTGCAGATGGGTAAGCTTTTCCGTTAAGATTCCTCATCCTGTCAAAAATCCTCTTAATTTTTTCCGCATCGTGACAAATGAAATATGAATTCAGCGACACGTGGTACCCATATTCAGCATAAATCTCTTCCAATTTATCGGTTAAAGACTTATTTTGCATTGCTAAATATGAAGTCAAGGTATCCAGTTGAAAAGCCGCCGAAACACCATCTTTATCCAAAACAGCAGTACCACAACAGAAACCTATAGCTTCCTCAAAAGCAAAAATCACTTTCTTCCCTTGTTTCAACAGGTCATACATCTTGTTGCCCATCCATTTGAAACCGGTCAAAGTCTCAATAAAATTGAATCCTTCTTTCTTTGACATGGAACGCAAAATCATAGAGCTTACAGTACTACTAAGCATATACGCGTTTTGTAAATTTTCTTCAGGGTATTTGGTTTTGAAACAGAACAAACACCACCAACCCAGAAGAGCTCCCAACTCGTTTCCTGTGAAAACTTTCCATTCACCAGTCCTGCAAATAATAAATGAGGACATAGAATTTTCATTTTTCAAAAAAGTACTTTGAATTTTTCTCAGCAGCCGCCATACGATCGGCATCAGGATCATTAGCAATAATCACGTGGCTCCCATTCTCGTTTGCTGTCTTGAATGAGAGATCTAAGCTACTTTTGCCTTCCTCGGGATTGGGGAATCTGGAAAAAGTGTGGTCAAGTCAATGAAGACTTTAATTAGACAAAAAAGCGTACTTTACTGTGGGAAAATCAGGATGAGGGTCTTTTTGTTCCTGCACTGGTACCATTGCAACACCAATCATGTCGAAAACTTGTCTAACATAATTGTAACCAACCCCATGCATTGCAGTATAAGTAAAAAGTACTTTGGCCTTTTTATTAAGTTCTCGATGCTCAGGCAAAATTGTATCGTTTATTACATTTAAATAGTCTTTTAAAATTTCACTAAGGGGATCTGTTAGAAGGTCACTTTTTAATACTGTTGTGTCCCATGAAGAGTCCAGTGGTACCAAATTGTCTAAAATATTTCTCTGGATGTCTTTATCCACCGGAGAAATAATTTGTGACCCGTTAGGACCATAAACCTTAAAAAGAAAACTAAGAAAAGGTCTGAAACACCAAGAGAATTTTACTTTATATCCATTATCCTCTTTGGGATTATGCGAAGCCGTAACCATGACCCCTATCGCACTTTTATACTTTGAGACAGCAAATGGTACAAAGGGTGTCGGTACTATTTTACTGAAAAGTCTCACAGGGTGACCAGCATGTAGGAAAATCGCTGCTGTCAATTCTGCCCACCTAAAATTTTCAAAAATTAGGTTTTGAACTTTAGACTAGAAGAAATACCTTCTGCTATTATGTCGCCCATCGTACCCAATCACAATCCCATTCTTATGTAACAAATCTTTATCACAGTGTTCTAAGTATTTAAGTAGCCCTTGTCCCGTTTGAATTATAACTAAATCGTTCATAGCGGCATATCCTGGACCCATTCTTCCCCTCAAACCAGCAGTACCAAAAGATAGACGATCAAGTAGTACCTTCGAAAGTTCGTCATACTTCTTTTCTTTAGCCAATGTTTTGATTTCAGAAGAAGTCTTATCATTTCTGTCCCATTTTAACCATTCTTGTATTTTGTTTTCGAGCTGCTGGTCCATTTTTCTTCAAACTGCAATAGAATGCTCACTGTAATAGTATTACGAAGAACTGAAATCGATACTAATGATGTGCTTCCACGTATGAAATGTTGCGTCATTGATTGATAAGAAAATGTTTATGACTAAGGTCAAGATTTTGAAAATAATCAATGCGATTGAGACACGTATTATTTATTAATGGAAAATAGGAGATTTATCATCTTGATACATTAAAAAAAATAAAGTGGATATGTTGCAAGAATTAGAAACTGGCATAATTGGTTTCACTGCTTCGAAATTAGAAATGAGTGAATCATTAGGAAATGCAATGAAAGGTAAAAGCCCCCGTGGTAGATAACTACAACGATAGACACCTAAAAATAAAAAACTGAAGCACTGGAGCGTCACTTGTTACACTATGTTCAGTTTAGTTAGGAAGTATTTGAATCTTATCTCCGTCTGATAATAAATAAAATACGGGCCCTGCACTAAAGCATACGAATACAACATACAAGTGACAATGTTTGTTTCTTACCACAGTCAAAAAATAAAATGTCAAATCAAAATGTAAGTGTTATAATACCATAAGTTTGTTTACACAAAAAGTGCAACACTGTACCATCATAAGGTAAGTTGTGACTAATTAGAGCTAATAAAATTCACCAACGGGTGGCATACACTCTATTTACTTTACCTACAGTTACGTTTCGCGTTTTGGTGGAAATGTGCTGACATTTTCGCGGTCTGTGATTTGACTTATGTTGAATTAATTTTGTCAGACCTGAAAACACTACTGGATGTGGTATTTATTTACAATAATTAACACCTTGTTTTATTATTTAGTAATGTACTTTGTTTTATGTGTAGCTTGTTGATAAAGATCTAGAATGGTGCGCTTAATGTTGTTAATTCTTAAATCAATGGTGGCAATTTATATCACAATAAATTGCTTAGGTCAAACTGGGTTAATAACAAAAATGTGTTACTATTTTCGAGTTAGTTTTGTTATGTTTCGCCTAAGAATTGGCTCAAATGTTCAAAGCAAAGGTAATCAGTGATCCTTGTCTTATTGTTATTAATCCACAATGATCCAGTGTCGTTATGTTTTGCTTGATGTCATGCCAACTAAACCATAAAAGGTGAAGTTACTAAAAACATTGAAACTACTTAGCTATGTCTAATAATATACTTTCTACAAGTGACTCAGTTTTATGATTGGAAAAATTGGCATCCAGTCGTTTTTATTTATGACATTTGTGAAGCTCAGCAAAAGTTTGGGACGTTTATGTCAAAATTTATTGTTCAAATAATAGTTAGTAGTACAACCTTGTTAATAGTTAGTATTGTTTATGTATCTATTTTTTATTTTTACCGCACTTAAATATGCTAGTATCAACAATTGCGGTTTTTTTTTCAAGGACCTCCGTTTGAATAGTAATAATTGTGGGTGGAATACAAAAAAGCAACAGGAGTGTTTGACTTTTGATTAGTTCTACGGTTAATATTTTTAATCAGTGAGTTTCAAAAATTACTTGAGATTTTAACTTTAAAATTTAAGTGATAATTTTGACGTTCATGAAAGCTTTTGCAATAAGTTGGAAAGAAGTGTTGAATATTACGTTTTATTAGGGAGCAAAAATAGAACAACATAGTCTTTTAAGTGTGCCATTAACCTTGAGATTAAGTGATGTGATTAATAAATCAACTTTATGAATGAATAAATATCAACAATTTATTCAAAATAGTTAAAAAAATTATTCCTTTCCTTCTTATTGTTGTTGAGGTCTGATAAAAATAAAACAATTTTATATTTTGGCCCACATTTCGTCTTTTATTTTTGTAAAAATATAAAGTAAAATAAATTAAATAATTAAAATAATAGTTATTTATTATTTTACAACCGCAGATAAACAACAATGGATGTATTTTTTATCGTCCAGACGATAAAATTTCATTTTAACATGAAGAAAAGAGTAGATAAAATTCAATTTTAACATAGAGGATTGAATAAATAACTATTTCCGGAAATTATTTATTATTTTACTATTTTTTCAAATAAGTGCTTAAAACACTTAAAAAAAAAAAGAAGTTCAAAACAATTCAGTAAGCAATTCGGTATGTACCTAACTATGTATCAAATCTTTTTAATTTCTTTTATATTCCATTTGATTCTTGTTAGTTTTGTTAGCGAAGATTTAAAGTAGAAATACCTATACAGAGTTCTTCATCTCAGCCCCCGTCTTCTGTAGCTCAGTTATTATTTAAGAGTGAATTTTGATATTTTGTAGACTTTATTTATTTTTTAGAGTGCATTTTAGGAACATATTTTTGATTATACAGAGTGCCCCAAAAATAAGGAACAATTTTATAATTATAATTAAAACATTATCTTAAAAGGCGACATCCAAATATACCAAGAAACATGTGGTATTTCATTAAAAAAAATAAGTTCGTACTGTAACTTATTTTTGAGACACGCTGTATAGTTGAAAATAATTTCAGACAATGCACTAGATTAGTACCTATCTATCAATTATCTATAGACTTTTTTTTTAAATTTTAACATCTAAAGGTTAATAATGGACTTAACCAACTCGCTGGAACACCTGTATAAAAAACAAATTCAGAAGTAAGAATTATCTTTGGAAATAATTGTTTAAAAAATCTATTAGGAAGGAGTATGTATGAAAATATACTTTGTGCACGAGACAAAATTAGAATCAATTTGGCATGCAGGAGACGTATTTTGCAAACTATTTCCCGACCAAAATTTACAAAAACAATATTTTCATTATGACAAACTAAAAAGAAAATTAGGTATATCAAAAAAAAATTATTTACGTCATCAAATCTTTCAAATTTCTGAGATTCATCCAATCAGATTCTCGGTAATTTAACACATGGGCAAATTATCGATACACTTCTTTTCATATTAATGTGCATCAAGTAGGTTGTAGAGGTCTAAATGAATCTTTACTTTAAAGGCCGATTTACACAAAAAGTGTCATTAATGTCATTCAGAATAAATTTAATCACATCAATAATAACAAATATCTTTATGTTTGCTATCCTACGTTAATTAAATTAATTGTTAATTTTAATCATTGTTTGCTACATGGGGTACACATTTATTTAAAAAAATAATTTTTAGGTAAGATTGAGTTTAGGATTGCATGGTTGCCACCTTAAAGTGATCCCTTTCCACGACTACTTCGATGCACATTAATATGAAAACGATTATAATTTGCACACGTGTTGAATTATCGCGTAATTTGAATCTGATTGGATGAATCTCAGAAATTTGAAAGATTTGACTGGATTAAATTTTGTCAGGGAAATAGTCTGTCACATTTAAAAAATTAAAAATAGACCGGCCTTTGTAAAAACTGTTAAATTAATGAACAATATTTACTACGATGTGCTCGTGTCAGTCACACCCAGAAATTAGTGTTAAAAAAATAAAAAAGCAAACCTTTGCTGGTCTCCTTCATTTTTTTTATTACATAAGTATGTGTATAAAAGGGGAATATATTAAATGGGATGATATTTTAGAACAAAGTTCTCAAGACAAGACAAGAAAACGAACCCTATTCCCTTGATATAAAAAATGCCACTGATCCAAAGTCATGAAAATGTGTCAAAATTTCCGTGCCGCACGCGTAATTCGGTTTATCCAAACCCGATATCGACGCAATGATAATATGTGAGCCCCGTATCAGGCCGGAAATTAAATAATTAATTATAGCACGCGGGGGCGGCTTATGATATCGACTCCCTTAGTAACCCCCCAGCGCCTCCGTGTCGCAGATCCTCCGTTAAAATACAAAAAACCCACAAGCTCGAAACGCAATCGATAGTTTACAACACAACACAATCGTGACCCGCCAGATAATACGTACGGACGATGAAGGCGCCGCGACGTAAGAATAGAAAATGAAGTGGTCGTCGTCGTCGTACGGACGGCGTGTCGTCGCATTCACCGGTGGTTGTGGTTGCAGGAAATGGAGGCGGGTGTTGTGAAAATAGCCGAGGACAGCGACTTCGACATGTTGAAGAAGCTCGTCGACGATCACACCCACTGGAAGGTCGAATACGACAAGGGAGAGGACGTTAAGGCATGTAATTTGCACGTGTTTTCATTTTATTTATTGAGTGTTTGTGTGTGAGTCAGAGCAGGAAAGGATGATGCGTGAGTCGACTAGCGGATCCGCTGGATCGCGATGGGTCGATTTTAGCCTAATGGGAACATGCGCCATCTTCGGCGAGGCGACGTGTACTACGACAGATAATTTAAGCTTAATTTAAACATTTCAAGCAAAAGTCTTGCTTCCGATATAGACACACGCCATGGAAACATAGAAATGCTTAGAAATGCTAGTCAGAGTTTTTATTGTATCAAATCGGGAATTTGAGATTAAAAGCAGAGCTTCAAACTTTTAACTGCTACTACGAGACTGCAAAGCTAAAAAAGTCTTCAATTTTTATTTTTGGTATTCTACAAGTAGAAACCAGGACATATTTTAAGTGCGAATTATGGGTAGGAAATTTAAAATTCTGTATTAAACTTGAAATGAATTTGTAAGTTAGAATTTTGCTTTGAAATATACGTATCAGTTTATATGCGGCACACTTATTTTATTCAGAATTTTGAAATTCTGGGTTTTGAGTCAAAAATAGTGAGTCCACAGATTATAATTTTTAACTTAAACGTTATAACCCAGTTTATAAATCGAAATTCTACAAAGACGTATCATAATAGAACCAAAGTTATGATATTAAAATAGCTGTTTTCAGTTTCAGAATTTAACATTCTGAATCCTGAAACTCCTCCTCCAAAGCAAAGAATTTTGAAAAGTCTATCATTTTCTAGAGGTACATTGGACTTAATTAGAGCAATAATAATTATTTGTATTATACAGGGTGATTCTTAAATAGACCGACAAAATTTTATCCTTGGTAGTATCAAATGAGAACATGCTGGAAAAAATATTTAAAAAAATGTTTGTTTAACCGTTCTCCAAATTAAATTTATTAAAGTAATTTTCGAGGTAAAGCATACGCCACTGATGTGTTCTGGAAACCATGGTATTAATTTGATGAAAATGTACTTGATCATTGCAACAATTCATAAACGCCGTAAGTGGCACGGATCAAGGGGGTTTTGCCCCTAAAAGATATAAACGTAAAAAAGGCACAGTTTGTCTCCATGTATCCTTAGGAAGCTGTTATAAAATTTTGTCGGTCTATTTAAGAATCACCCTGTATACACGGTGATCAAAAAATGGCGGATAACCTCAATGATGGATGCATTCTTCGAAAAAAAACGGAAGTCCGTAAAAAATGTTAAAATAATCCTCTGTCTTATTTTTTTGAGCTACGAGTATGATGAATTATGAATTTTTCCAAGCTGGCAACGTTGTAATGTAGCAGCAAAAATAATGAAAGTAGCAAACAATTATTTCTGTTTCCCAAGAAAGCAAAACAAAAATGGCATTATTTATTTATTTATTATTTATCCAATGTTGTCAGATATAATTATAGGTGTTTTAGAAACGGTAACAAATTAACATAGACCAGAATTATAGAACTTAATCGTCAACTTTGAAGCTTAATAGTTTCTAAACTTCGGTTTACAGAATTTTTTAATTTTTTTGTAATTTTTGAACTATTGAAACAAATTCAGTTTTAATACTTATTATAACAACTTTGTTAGATTTCATTATTTATTAAACTAAATAGAAATTAATTGAGATTAAAACCTTTATTTGTAATTGCAATCAAAATTTTAATTACGTGTTATTAAGGAGATGAAAAAGAAAAATAAATTTAGCTAAAAAAAACATAAAAGCCATCAAGACAAATCAAATATTTAGTGAAAGCTGCTAATAGCACTAGAATAAAAACTTGACAACTGCTCCTTTTTCTAGTATCCCCTGCAGAAATCCAAAAATTGACCCCCAAAATATTTTTCAGCACTTATTGTGTTTGCTGTTATTTATAGAAAGGAAAAACCCAAATGCAAGAATACTTTGTGAGTGATGTGATCCTTAAAAACAATACGACTTATCTTTACCATTTACTTTATATTTTACTCAGGTATGGACCAAGACGACACCTGGTTGCAACTTTAAAATGGTCAAAGTACAAACAGTCTTCCATAACATACCAGCAAACACCATGTTTGATGTCTTACATGACCCCGATTATAGGAAAGAATGGGACGAACACATGTTGGATTCAGTAGAAATAGGTTACCTCAATCCCAACAATGACGTCGGTTACTACGCCCGTAAGTAAAAAAATAATTAAATCTTAAATCAAACTTGTTCTTATCAGTGTGATTTTATAATTGCTAAAGTTGCATCACTTTAAGTGTTATTTGCTATCCAGTAATTATTTCCAACGATAACAAAATTGCAAAAATGTTTATTTTTCAGTATCCTGTCCTGCACCCGTAAAAAATCGCGATTTCGTCCTTCAACGCTCTTGGCTCGATTTAGGGGATGAAAAACTCATTCTTAACCATTCAGTCTTTCACAAGGACTACCCTCCACGTAAAAGCTTTGTCCGGTTTGTACAAAAATACCACATTTCCGATCACAAAAATGAAATTTGTAGAGCAACCTCACACCTGACGGGTTTCGTGGTGCGGCCTGTCGAAAAAGGATGTTTTCTAGGGTATATCTCACAGACCGACCCCAGGGGTAAACTACCCATTTGGTTGGTGAATAAAATCACGCAAAAATTTGCCCCTAAAGTAGTGAAACAGTTGAAAAAGGCCGGAGAAGGATACGAGTATTGGAAATCAAGACAGAAAAATCCCTTAGACAAGCCTTGGGTATATCCTGAACTAACCCTCCTTGCTCCAAAAGTGTCAATAAGTGATGTAGGGGTTGAAGATGAGTTAATAGAGATTATTATTTTTGTGTTTGTAGTGTGTGCCAACAAGTAGCGACACAACGTTGAGCTGTTCCTGTTTAGAAGACGACGAAACCGAATAAATCGCACGCTTGTAAGAAAACGAAAAATAAAAAATGTGGATATTTACGAAAACGAATTTTTTAATGTCAGACGGGTAATTAGGGTCTAAAATAATAGTATTTTAGCTTTTAGGTCACTTATGTGAATACAAATTCGTTCTAGAAGTGATCAATTTTTAAAAATTTAGAAACGTGTTAAATAATTTTGATAGTATTTGAAATAATAGTTGATATTTAGATCTAGTGCATTGTTAATACCTCGTTGGGTAAATTTATAGAATAGAAATTAAAACAAATATTTATGAAAACAAGAGGCCTATTTGGTGTTAGTGTTTTGAAAGAAAAAAATGACCGCACTATTTACCCAATTCAGAAAGAGCTTATTACAAAATAATATTGTAGTGCGGCTATTTTTGTTTTGATATTTTTCTCGAATTAGCCTGATAATAATTTTAATTCGCACAAGTGTTTATCCTCTTCAAATGATTTTCCTTATCATAATTATAATAATAGAATTTGAATACACATCATATTAAATTAAGACCAATTCATATTTAAGCATTTTTATTAGACAACCAGTCCTGCACTGGTGTAAAATACAATTTTCGATCCATTTTAAACTTCTCACTCGAGATGATATTTTGAATAGTATGTATATTTGTCAAATTTTATAAAGAGTATTATTTGATAATTTTAGATTCTATTTATAACTATTTAGTATTATGTAAAAATTCTAATTATATCTAATGTTAAAAAGAGTATGATAACAGATAACCCAAATTCTTAATAAATCAAAATATAATTAAAGTTTTTCCTCAAAACCCATATTATTTAATTATGTATTTTCTAGAAAAAACAAGGATTATTTCTTATAGACCACAATTCAAACAGCACAAATTATGTTAATTGAGTAAAATATTCTTGTTAAATTGTGAATAATATAAATAAAACGTTCTTTACAGACTTGTTTTTTTATTACCACACCCACTGAATAACAATATTACTATAATTAAAAACTGCACTCAGTAATTAAAGTTATGGGAAATTTTGAATGGAAAGTCTTAAGTGCTTTATGCGTATAACCTTGGCATCCGTTGGTTTTGATATGCATCAAACGTTTTGTCGTATAATTTAATTTACCATTCTACTTCAATGTGGAATAAAGGATGCAATTTAAAAAGCCATTACTAGCTTAAATCGCAATATACTTAAAGTTAAACCTCCTTTGTAAGCTAATTTGAATTAAGATAAAATGTGCCACGAGCTTACATAATTTACTTAACGTCTTGACTGTAGAAATTTTAATACAACTTTTCATTTTCATCCAACAACCGACGAACAAACTGGAAAAACCGTAAAAAAATAAAACTTCTGAAACATAAAAGATCTCACCCTTCTCAAAAGTGTTTTGTCACGTCTAAACATTTTTTGCAATCAAAACTAAATAAACTTGGCAATAAAACAAACTTTACACCTTTTAAACGGGTTATCTACAATTTTACGGTTTGCAAACTGTGCCAGAATCATTTTTAATAGACTAAAACCGATGCAAATCTACTCGACAACAAATAAATTTATTAAAGACAATTACCTTAGCTTCCAAAAGAGAAAACAGGAATTGGTTTTCAATAAGAACATATCGGTTTAAAACGCAAAATTTTCCCTTCAACTCACCATCATGCACCTTCATTGTAATAATAGCACGATTAACTTATTTGTCATTGTTCACAAGTTAATTAGTTCACGCTAGAAGCATTACCAAAACGACAAAAGTACTTTCGTGCACATATCAGTAACAACAACCGTTGAAAACGTACAAGAAGTAAGACAGTGAAAAAATGTCTCCAAGAGCATCATCAGATTTTGGTTTATACAAAGAAAAACTCAAAGAAAATAATATGAAGTCGATCAAATTTATTTTTATTATAATTGTCACAGTGCCCTTTTTGCTTCTGGTAAGTTATTTCCCTCATTTAAACCAATTCCAAAAAACAATTGTAGATTTTGTACGGCGTGTCTACCCTTCTAACTCGAGAACCTGACAATTTTGAATCAACTATCGAAAAACCGGCCCCAAATGCCGAAAAACTGGTAGTATCCCAATCGATCAAAAGAGACTTCTACCAAAACTCACCCCCGAAACCCTTTGGAGTAACATTTCGAGGCCAACCCCCTTCAGAATTCACATCAACAACTGAGAAAATCACGACTTTGAACTACCCCCAACTTAATTTTCGTCACAGACACTACCCCAACAACATTCAAGAGGTCATAGGGTACGGGGGCAGATTCCACCCCCCAACTTACCAAGTCAAATATAGCAACTACTACACACAATCACAAAGCCAAAACGTACCAAAAAATCAGAGATCTACAAGAAATTTCAGCCTCGATGAGAACGATCCGTTTTACTTGTACAAACCTCAAGATCCCGGAGATGTCAACCTTCTCGCCACTTCTAGTTTGAGATTTGCTCCCCCGATTTGGAGTAATCTCAAGCCGAAATCGCAAATTCCGCGAGTTTATTTTCCACAGCAATACCAGGAAAATACCCATCGGCAGGAAATTTACAACTACCCCAATAAACCACTAAGAGTGACTTTAAATGTTTATCCGAACGAAAATGAGCAAAGACAAGGGTTGAGGCAATTTATAAATCACAAGATTGAGAATTTACAATCGAAGATACGATTTCCTGAAACTAAGCACAAAAAAATGGTGATCCATGTGAACTTATATCCGGATGAGTTTAGACAGGGTGAGAGTAAAATGTATCGAAATGTTTTAACAACAACTCCGGCAACTTGAATTGCACAAAATTTGTCTTTAATAAATTATCTACAATCTACAAGTCGTTTTATTTATATTTTATTCTCGAAAATTATGAATTAAAGTGAGTTTCCATTGACGCTATTAAAAGAAAATAATATCGATTCTAATTAAACAAACTAATAGATAATTGCATTGTGGCCACAATAATAAAATATTATTTCTCAAAGATAACAATTATTATTTACAGTCCAATTAGTTCACGGCGTTTGGTTTATTCTGGTTAATACTATTCATAAGTAACTCTGTCTACTTCTTGTCATAATTTCACTCGAAATTTATAAAAACTAAATTTACCTTGAAAAGAGTTCATACGTTTAGCTCTATTTCCTTGCGAATGTTTCAATTACACAAAATTATATTTTTCCGGTTCTCACCAAAAATCTTCAACCCATTTCACAGAAAATATATTTCAAAGCCTAGGCTGAAAAATGATAATTTCCACTTACAGTTTTCAAAATTTCAAAAGGTACTAAGCAAGCGCAAATCGAAATTCTTGCGCAAAGTTATTTTTTCTTGTTATTACAAATAAAAGTTTAATAACTTGCTTTGATAAGATGTCATTACCCCATAAACGTAAGTGTAATTATAATTAGTTCACTTGAATTAAACGTAATTATAGAAATAACCGTCACAAAATATTGTTTGTGTGCACTTTTCAGTTATCACCAAAGAAACCATAATCGATAATACAATGGGCTGAAAATGTAGGTGTGACAAGGGTTGGGTACACCAAACTATATAACTATACAAAGACTTTCGAACGTATAAGACTTGAAATTGAGAAAAATTCATTCAGAAATCCTAACTTTTTCAAATAAGAAGTGAAAGTAATATTCTTTTAATTTTTTTAAAATTTTCTAAATTCTTCTTCAGACGAACATATAAAAAAAAATTATGAGCTGAAAACTGCAAATGATTTCTAAAATTATAATATTGACACCACACTTGTTTGCTTCTAATTATTGAATCAATACTCATTTTCATTTGTATAAAAAGTATATTTTTTTTTAAAACATATGTTTCAATAGTAATAGTACTACTTAAGTACATAGTACTTTTGACTTTTATCTGTAATTTTTCAAAAATCCCCAACCGTGTATTTTACACCTAACGGTTCATTTTTGCGATATATTTATCAGCAAAAATTAAAAAGAATATTGTCTATTCTCATTAACGTTCTCTAGATAAACAATGTTAACATCAAAAACAAATTTGAAAAAGTTTTTATTTTCAATAAATACAAACTCTCAGTTTAGTCGCAATATTTTTTGGTTACCTTTGAGTTCCTTAAAGCCAACAAGAACAAAAGTTAAAGGATTAACACAAAACTAAGTGAGTAGTTAAATTATGATGTTTCGAACACGATGTTTGCAATTTACAACCATAATAAGTACTAATGTTCACCTTCAGAATTATTTTTTTAACATAAACCCTCGGATAAATCACCTGTTATTAAATTTTTTTTAAAGGTTTTTTCAAATCAAAGGATAAAATAAAAGTTACTTATAAATAATTCTAAAAAAGTGCGTACAACCGAATAAGAAACTAAAGTCCCAAAATATTTTTAATGAAAACTGAGTAAAAATCAACAAAACAAATTAAATACATAGGTGAGTATTATTAATAAAAATTATCCAAACTTTGGTGACCCACGTGTGGATTATCTCTGCTTTAATATTTCATTTTATTTTGTTCAAAAATAGATTAATTTTTCCATTTATACTTTCAATCCCCTGTAGACGTACTAATTTGGTTTATTTGTGGAGATATTTTGACATTACCGTCAACAATAATAAAAAACGTGTGACTTAAATTTTATAACATATTTTATTGCAGATAAAATTAAATCAAAACATTTACTTTAAGACAAAGATACATACATTTTAAACAAATTCTAACATTCCAGCATTTTAAAGATCAAACTTAAATTAAGATTTTCTATTGTCTAGTCCAAAGGTAAAACCATAAAAGCTCGTAATTATCCTTTTGACCGAGATTAAAGAGAAATGAGAATTTACTGAGTAAACGTAAAAAATTAAATCTGTTTAATAAATTAATTACACTACCTTTACAACACCAAACGGAATTTTTTGATATACCTGTCCTTATTATTTGATCAGGTGTAATGACATCTTTTGAAAAAGACAGAACACAGGCAAACCAAATTCAGTAATGAGACAGTAAACATCCGATTTTTCAACCCCACCCAAAATAAAACTATAGGTTTGTACCCAATTCATATAAATGTTGTCATTTAATATGTTTTTAGTTTCACAAATTACGTAAATGGAAGTAAAACCACCACACCAAGACATACGTTATGAGCACTTGACACTGTACGATAACAGAACTAAAGACACTGCAACAAAACTTTTCATCCCAAGTGACGAAAACCCGTTTCCGTCCAAATATCTCGCACTAGTAAATAAAAAGGAAGTCAGAAAGCCATTAATTGGAGTTTCCGACACTCTATTATGCTTGCTGGTCTTAGCCCCCGCCGTTGTGGGTTTCTGGAGAGGAACATGGATGCTGTTGGACATATACGGCTCTTATTTTCCACCCTTACAAAGTCTCCTTTTGGGAGCTTTCATTCATCTAGTTTTCACCTTGATCCAAGACAGTTTCTACGAAATTGTCAAAGGAAAAAGCCCGAATCTGGCAGTTAAAATCTTGAATATGATTACAACACGATTTTATATTTACGTTTTTGCGCTGTCGTCAAACATGCATTGGAGAGGGCAGTGGAGCCTCATGGATTATTATTTGGGGGTGCGTTTTGGACCTGATGGGAGAGTTATCGAGAAGGGGTGTGAAAGGCTTATTATTGGAACAATAGGATGTTGCATAAGCTTGATTGTTTTAAGAAGTTTTCGCAATTGTATCGCTCCTCCTTTTGTGTTTTGTTTGGATAGGAAGGATACGACGTTTCAGATACAGAACAGATTCAAAACGAAGGTAAGGGAGTTTTTCTATTGTTTAATTGTTTAAAAAAAAATATTACTGTTTAGGTGCGTTACATTAAAGAAAAACGCAATTAACAATTATTTACTTTCTATGCTTTTTAGTTTTAACCCATATTCTGTAATTTCATGCCTGCTTGGTACGAAAAAGTTCTGCGTTTGTTTTAAACGATTAATTTTATATAAAACACAAAATGTGATTACTAAATTAACTAAAGTTTATGCAAATAAAAATATGGGGACAAAATTAAAAAAAATATATTTATGCATTAAGCCACTGCAAACACCCGAAATAGTTATCTACATTATAAGGAGTGGTAGGTATAGTTGGTTCCAACATTATTTGAGACTTATTATAGAATAAGACGATTACCCGCCACGGTGGTTCATGAGGCTTGCGCTAGAGATGCCATAAACAAATTTGCATTTCTTAGGACAGGAACGTTTCAAAGGTTTATAGGAAGAGATGGTCCGTAACAGAAATTTGTTTTTGAGCTTTCATAAAAAAAAAAAAATTAATTTTAATATTCAGCTATATTTTATGATTGTTTCTTTACAAATCTGCATTATAACTTTAATACTAAATTAATATATAAATTTCCAAATGTTTGCCTGTAATAAATTAAAAGCCTACCAGGAAAATTCCTGAATACGGCTCTCTTGTATATCTTCAGGGTAGTACCACCAGCAGTGAAAAATAATTACGGACGACCGCAAGGCTGCTTAATCCTCAATAAAGCTTTGCATACGTCAATCTCAAATATTTCTGGTGACGACTATATCTTCTTAATCCTTTAGTTTAAGAAATCGTCGTCTTTTGATTCACAAACAAAATAAATAAAACAATAGATATTACATTGAAAAATAGGTGGAAAAAGGAAATTTTATTAAAAAAAAAGTTTTAGTTGTCGATAGTTTAAAATATCCTTAAAATATAAATGTAGACAATCTTTTTTTTAATATACTTACAATATATTTGAGACAGCAAGATTTGTAACAATGCGATAAGAATTTAAACTAAGCAAAATAAATAATTGAAAAGAAAAAAAAAGAAAAAAAAGTATTAGCGTATTACAAAGTAATTTTTTATTTATTCAAAATACAAAATTTCGTGTTAATTGCTGAAAACGTCACCTGATAATTTTTATAAACGAGTTTGTATGAGACACAACATTGTGTGTTAAAACAGCTTTTTAAATCAGTATAACTCAGTTACAGTTCTTGTAAATCTTAAATTGTTTCCTTTGCGTTTCTGGTTTCTGGTCATTAATTACCAACTGATTCGACTTGATTTCGTTTTCTAAATATTCAGTATTTTAAACAAAATATCTAGAAGCCGAAGACCTAGACAGTTCAGTCAGAAATTAAGTGTTTACAGTGTTCGAATTTTTTTTTGATATGATCTGTAATTTTACTCATTTAGTTGTCTACCCAAAACTCACTTTCGGCAGCAAAATCAGTTGAATATCTTTATTATTTCTAGATGTTGCATTTTTAATGTCACTTAGTATATAATCTTCCAATCACAGGTCATTGCCTTAGATGTTTTATGTTGTATTTTTATCATCTTCTAATTATCACTTATAGCATACTTTGAATACATTTTAGTGATTATATTTACTATTGTTAATTATAATTTTGCAGACAAAAACTAGAAAATGAGACATTGTTAATGATAATAAACTTCCTAGAAATTGTTCCTCATTTAATCCGATTAGTTACCGGATCGAATTGAATATTTGCATGCCAATTCGTTGAGCATTGTGCTCCTCGCTAATTATTATTTCAACAATTATCGCTGAAACACACATTTACACTTGCACTTTTTATAAAAATAAATTTCTATTTATAAATAATTGCAAGGATAATTTTTAATTCAACTGTAAATACAAAAATGAAAATATGATGCAATTTTAAGTATAATAATACCTTCCAAAATGGCAAATTTTCAAAAATTAGTGTCAATTATCATTAATAGTAATCTACCAAAAGGGCATATATCTTGAAAAATATCCACATGTTTTGGCGGAAATACAATTCAAAAAACGGTAATCATGAGAGTATCGGAAATACAAAAATACATACATACATAATTGTAAAATTTTTGATGATGGTTAATAATAATTTTTATGTATTTTTGTAATACTCATTAGCGATGACATAACAGTCAAAACAACGCAAAATGCTGCCAATTTCCTCCTAACTTCAGCAATTTGAGAAATTACCCACATTTAGACAATTTCATATCACAAGATCTAGTCCTCGTAATTAGTCAATGCCCCCGCAATCTAAAGCAAAGTACTCTTTGTAAAACGCAACACATCACCGCAACAATAAATTAAATTGTTGTACCACGTGGTATCCCCTCCAAGAATTTCAAACATGTAGGGTGACCACTGTTATCACCGATTTGATTTAGTACTGTTTATTGTTCCTATAAACAAACACAAGAGTGCTACACCCAAAAAAATCAACCACCAAACGCAATGTTGAAGTAAAAACCGCAAAAGTCCAAAATGAGGGGAAGCACCGCTGGACTTCCGGACACCCTCAAGTCACACCATAACGCCCCCTACTATGCGATTTTATCAATTTTGGACGCGATTTTCTCATCGCTGGTGGTTGCCCCTTTGGTCGTGGGCTACTGGCGCAGCGTTTGGGAGTTGATGGGCATCTATGTCTACCCCGAAGACATCCTGATAAGTTCTTGCATTTCGACCGGAATCGGAATCGTCGGTCATTTAATATTTACGTTGCCTCAACATGCGTTCGAGACCTATTTGCATCCGGATCGCAACCGGATCTTATTCTATGTGATGTCGAGGGTGTATACAGTGTGTTTCGCTTTTATATGCGTGAACGGGTGGCGGGGGCCGTGGCAACTTCTGGATATTTACACCAAAAACGAACTTCTAACAGTTGTAGCGGCCACTGCGGTCGGATTTGTCGCTCTGACGGCTATGAGGGCCCTCCGCAACGTCTCAGCGACCCCCTTTACGGTCGCCACTGACTCCGTTAAGGGGTATTTCGAGGTCTTGACCATGTTTCGAGTCGCGGTGAGTCAAAAAACGGCAATTCCAGCATCACGTGCAAAATTACTCTTGCATAACAGACGATGCTATAATACAACATTTATCAAATTAACAAAAAGTGTGTTTCCTGTTGATGAAAATTGCTAGTAAATCCCACATGACCATGAATGCAATGTCATCAAAAACATATTTGGTTTCAGATGAGCGAAAGAACATCCCTCTACATCCTCGACTGCCTATTCTCAGTATTAGTAATCGGAACTCTTGTGGTATTCGTCTGGCGAGGAGCATGGGCCTTAATTGACATATTTTTATTTCCGGAGAATGAAACACTCTCAGCTTGGGGCAGCTTGGTAACCTACTTGAAGCCTTTCTCGCCAAATCTACTGTTCTTATTTTAGATCGTTGGTTACTCTGCTGTGGCTATAGCTTTCATGCTGCAACCTCTCATGAGATGGTTATGCGACCGCATTACCGGCTTTATCCGACTTTTGGTCGCCGATATCTTCCTGATATTATCCTTGATCGGAACTGTGAACGTCTGGAGAGGCATCTGGAATCTGCTCAACATTTATCTACTCCCAAACAACTTGGAACTGAGTTGCTGGATAACCCACTGGATCTGCCTCATCATCCTCATCCTCCTGGGATGCTCCAATTCGCTCCTAGTCCGAGGAGTTTACATCGACGCCGAAGAGCCAGCAGGAAAATGTGTTGTGTTCCCTTGCCACTACCTTAGACTGATATTCCAAGAACAAAAACTAAAGAAACTCCGAAGTGAACAAAATAAAACAGAATTGACAAATGTAAAACCCTTCGAAAACAATCACATCATAAGTGTTCAAAACGAACCACCTGCTCTAAATCACAAAGAAGGCGACGCTTAACACAATTTTTATATTCCACTTTTTATATAGCAATATTTATTGACGCCAAAATGTACATAAGCCAGTATGTAAATAGCCAAAAATAAACCTAGAACAAAATCATTGTTTTTGTTTGGAAACCGACCGTAATTACAATCAAAGAGTCTCAGCATGATTTTATTAGTGGTGACTGGTGACATCCTGACCTACTAAATGCTTTGTGAAGTTATTTAAATGCGGATGCTGGCACTTCCTAATTTGTTAATTGCTCATTAAACTAATCAACCAATTGCCTGCTAATCTTGTTAACTCGCTTAACCGAGAGGGATTTCGAAAAATTCACAACCAATAAAATGGCTCAAATGTGAGCGGTAGGGTAATGACAGCAAACAAACAGAAACAAGTCAAGGTAAAAACGTGTTTTTACTACTTCTCGGGCAGTTCTGCAGGACTCGCGGTTAACCACACGCAGAATATTCATTTCGCAATTTGTATGAAGTGAATAAAGTGTTTATAATTACTAGGTAAGGTCCAGACAAATAAATTAACACATAATTAACAAGTAATTACAATCTTTTAAGTCCCTATTTTTTTATTGCACCCAAAAAATTCTCAATGCCCTTTAAAAATTTTGACTTGAACACTGGTTTGTAACAACACTGCAATTCACACGTATTTGTTGTTATTAATTAAAAGAAACCTGTTTAAATTCCAAATACACTAATTAATTAGTGACGTAAATTGGAGAAGAAACATATTTTTACAAAATACGAAATTAGCATAATTTTGTGTGGAAAAATTCACGAAATGTGCACCTTTGTAAAAAATGCAATTTTTCTGTTGCTACAAATTACATTTACCCACTTATGCATAATTGGATTCACAGAATTCCAATCTGAAATGACATTCCAAGCTTGTAAGAACGGAAACAAAATTAACTCACAAGCATGCATTTTGTGTGTGTATTTGTGTTATTGTTGTGACAACCTAAATACACAATGAATAATTTGATAAAAAATTCGTGTTACTCACAGATAAGATGGACCCAAATCTCATGTCGTTTCATTAATGGAATTATTTACAATGTTTAAAAGGTCAATATTATTTATCATTTGAATGATAAATCCGTGATTTTTAATTTTAATAAAACAAATACTTGTTTTAGAATTGAATTGAATAAACGAAATGAACAAATTTTTTCCACTCCTAATTTTTGCCATCGTTGGCTACAATTGCCAGGATTTTGCATTTCCGGAAAGTCCGGGGCAGAGACTAGACACCGACACTAAAACTGTAAGTACAGTTATTATTACTATTATTTGTGATATATCACAAAAATTAAATCTAGGATAGAGTGCCACTATTCGCTCCTGATAGATGTCCCGAAAACCAATTACTATACCCAGGGAACCAAAAGAATGACTGGATTTGTGACTGTGGACCCGGTAATTGTTTAAAAAAAATAAAATTGTGTAATAATACTTGTTTTCAGGATTTATTTACTATCCACCACGGGATGGTTGTTTTAGTGCTTACCGGCAAGGCCCTTGTGCCTCAGGGTACCACCTAATTTTGAAAAGAAACCAAGTTGTGCCTGAATGTGTGATAAATCCGTGCAAAGATGGTTTCGCCAGGTCTATATTCTTTAATTTTGTTAATTTGCAATTGTAGGTTTTTTATAGGTACAAAGGGAAGTGTTACGAAATGGGTAAACCAAACGGTCCGTGCCCTCCTGTCGAGGCAGGTGGTGGAATTTTTGACGTAAATGCCACAACTTTAGTCGTCGAGTGTCTAAAAGGCACTGATCGCTTGTCTTTGTTTAATATTCCGAAAAATTGCCCCCCTGGGAGTAAAAGGGACCGAAATAACAAGTGTCGAGAAAACTGGAACGTATAAGTGTGATTTGTAAAACAGAAAATAAGGATATTTATTTGTTATTAATAAAGTTTTTATTTTAATAATGGGTGAACCCCCGATTTATCATGCTCGTATCTCATCGAGTTATCGACCACTTTCCCCGTTCTTCCATAGCAACTTAGCAACATCTGCAATCCCAGTCGTATAATTTTCAAATACAAAAATGTGGTAATTAAGTATTTATTTATCTGTACACATTAAAAATTTCCCACGTCACAAGATATCCGTATAATTTGTGGAAACAACCGTTAAACACTGCCAGACTGTGTTGAGAGTTTACAAAATAAAATATCAAAATTAAGCGAAAATGTCAGTTTCAAACGGTGGCTTACCTTCCGAAGACTCCGCGACGATTTTTTCTACACTTCCGGGGCAGTTCCCAAATTTGGTCGAAAACAGGGATCAGAAAATCAAAACAAGGGAGTTTTTAGATGCCTCTTCGGGAGCTGTCATTTTAGTAGGTATGAACATAACCTAAAAAACCATTTTTTGCTCTTATTTTATATTTTTCAGAACGATTCGGTAAAGTTTTTACTCCGGTTATCTATGATATGAATGGAAACATTAAGGTAAGTTTTCGAGGTTTTCGTGTGTCTTTGACAAAAATAAATTATTACATAACCTCACTTTTTATTACAGAAAATCACAGTTAAATATGAGGAAGACCGGGAAAATTACGAGTTTTTGGAGGACATGATACTTAAACAAAAAAATTTAGACCAATTGCTTGTTGTTGATGCTTTGCAGTGGTTGCGGCGGTAAAAAAAAACCTCTTTTGGAACCCTAATTCGTGAAATAATTTCAGAGCCCTTCATTTCATTTCGCGCTTCTTCCAGTCTGTTATAGACGACACCGACAATAATAATAATACACAAGACTTGTCTATATTTGTTAAAAATGCATACAAGGAAACTCTGGAGCGGTACCATGGTTGGATAGGGTCTCAGTTGTTCAATGTATTTCTGTCACTTTTTAAAAAAGTAAGATTTAATTCGACAAATTGTAGATTCTGTCAAGGTTTACACCAAATCGCCAACAACTTTTCTACCAACTCGCCCTCGAGAAACACCACAAAGAGGACCACGTTTTGCGCGATATGAGACAATTCACGCTCAGAATGTCTTCATGTGTTCAAAAACTTATCGATTTCTACCAAGAGCATGACCTCGAGACCAATGATAGAGTTTAAAATTTGTTGTTAGTTGAATTTGGTACTTAAATTTTGTATTTGTAGATTTTGCCTTTCCAGTTGTAAATAAAATTTTTATATACTTAAAGATTTATTTTTTATTCATTCTGTAACGTTCTTGTACATCTGCAATTGTCACATCTGATCTTAATTTCATAATGCGAAAATAAATTGCTTGTTGGGCTGCTGTAAATTTCAAAGCACAATAGCTTGATATCAACTGAATACATAACATTACAAACATGATACTTTGCACTATTATTTCTACAACATGTAATTTGAAGTTTGGATTGAATAACAGAAGACCTTGTAGAGGAAACTGGAGCAGTAAGGACAACATCCAAAATCCCGCCAACTCAGGAATCTACGAACAATGTAATGTTACAGTTCAGTACACATGGACAATTTTGGATTTACTTTATCCTCAAGATTTCCCTTATACCCCAGATAAAGTCTCAACAATTCTAAAAGAAAAACCGTCGAAATTACAGTTATTATAATAAATTTGTACAGTTCGCTAAAACAGAGATACTGAGATTGGTTTATTAATGTTATTTCATTAGTTTTTAAGTCGTTCATACAGTATTCCTCAAATAGAGTACAAGAACAGCCATCCAAAATGGCGCAAAAATCACGTTGAAATAAAGCGACATCTGCAGCGGTAAATTTGACATAACTTCGTTACCTAAAAAGCCTTAAGGAATTATAAATAATTTGCCAACGCAGTTTTTTACCATAAACCCCATTATCGATTTTACGCGAAAGGCCTGGAAATACTTTATCAGACACTGACGTCACAGTTTCCTTCCAATCCATAATTGAATATTTGAGTAAACACAATCAAGATTATTTTTAATATTCTGATTGTTATAAGATTGTTGGACATTTATGTCTGGAAAACGATAAACAACTGTTTTTGTTTGTATCAACTTGGGATTGAGTTGCTAAGAAACCGTAATCGAATCCTACACATTTTTGCTGTTATTGACTACTGCAGGTGTTTATTTTTCCATTTTATCTAAATTCCGTAAAGCTAAAATTCAAATCTTAATTATATCCTAGTTCTGCTTTTAGGTATTTTAAGTGAACAAAAAAGAATAATCATCGTCAAATTATCAGAGAGTAAAATCTACAAACAAAACAAGTGGTTATACCTACCTATACATCCGAAAAGTTATCTGATAAAATGTTATTACGTAAGCAGCGAAGGTCATTTATTATTGTTAGTACACATATGTACCTAAAACAATGTGATACGACAAGCTACTAGAAATAATAAATATGGAAATAAGAAACTTAAAGCAGTGAGTATTTTTAATTTAATACCACTTACAGAACGTTTTTTACTAATATATTTTAAAAACGAATATCTGTGTCATATATTTATTACCTTATTTAATCTTTTTTTTAAACACACGTTTGTATCATAATTTATATATTGAATTGTTTTATGGATTGTTTCAATAATAAGCAATAATTATTATTATACCTACACTTATTAATAAGCGTAGGTATAGGTACTTAGTTAATTTCCAGTTTAAAAAAATGGTATTTATTTAATATACCTATCCAAAAAACAATATCAACACAATTACACAATAGTTAGTGATACATGCAGTTTTGCACGTATAACTGTTTTATTGTATAAAATATATAGAACCACAAAATGCAAGTTTAATGTCGCTGAGATTATTAAGTTAATTTTTTTTAGAGCCGAAGAACTGCTTATAGGAACAACACAAAATGAAGCCATCATAGATCACATAAATGAAGAAATAGGCTCATGGAATTTACCTAACCATGACGATTATCCAGATCTGGTATCAAAAATAACTGACCTGTTTTACAAATTGTACGTAAAAGTATCTCCAGATCAAAACAATCACAGCAAGTTTGAAGCTTTACAATGGTAATTTGGTCATTTATTTTGTAAATTTATTTTTTTGTGATTGTTAATTTGAAGGATTCTTTTTGACAAGATCCATGATTTAGTCGTGCCATGCATCAAAGCGAAGTTTTTTCGAGAAGATGAAAGTTTTTTTGATCGGTGTTCATTTTTGTGTAAAACTAATGTCTCAGCAAAGGAATTTGGCGCTGATGATAATTATAGCATCCCGTTATGTGCTGCTGTAATTAAGAATAAATAGTTATTTTTTTAAGTGTATTTAATTGTTTTTTTTTAGGTTGTCGAGTTATCGGTTATCGACAAGTACAAAAGTCCTAACGAAAAAATGAATTGTTTATGCAGCACTTACGATTTAGTATTTGCGGAAATAAAGACAGCAATGGTTTCAGTAATTTCAGAAAAGTCTGGTAAGTCTCATAGTTGCACAAACATTTTTTTCTAATATCCTTTGATTTTTTTTACAGATAAGGAAATAGAAATTCCTATAATTGACAACAAGGACATAATGCCAGTCCTTATGGCAGTAATTTTTAGGTCGAAATTGCCTTACATGTTAAGTAATTTATTTTATATTAAATTTTTTTGCTTCAAGATAGAAGAAAATCGAGAAATTTTGTAAATAGAGTAAAAGCTTTTTTTTCATGATTATACAAATAAATATTTTTTAGTGATATTTTTAAAGCGTTTGAGTCTGCTGTTGATAAATTAATTGAGTTGGATATTGATACCATGGAACCTATGAAGGGACTTTTCCAAAGAAGTTTAGATTTGGAAGAATATATAAAAATTACATCTAATTCTAAAGAAGAAAAAGTAAAAAAGTCAACTTTAATCGATAAAGCAAATCAACGTGTTTTAAATTTAATAACACGATCCACAAGCGAAGATCAACTGTTTTAATAAAATATAACAAACGCGATATTATTGTTTAATTGTGATGCTAGATTAGATGTAAATACAAAAAAATAAAAATATACGTACAATTTTTACTATATCTTTTTAATAGAAAATTAGAAAAAAAATAACAGGCAGTTTTTTGTTATTGATGGTAACAACATATTTTCAATCTAAACACTCTAGCTAGTAGCTACCTTTTTATTTGTAGTTAAAATAAAAAAATATTAAAAAACAATAAAAATTGAAAACTGTTATTGTTTCAGTATTTTCAATGTACATTTCCTGCAAAACTTTCGAGATAAATTTAATTTTAAAATTTTGTATTGGCGCCCCACCGGCGACGGTTGTAACTAAATTCTCCCACCGCGAAAAAACAGATTTCTATATGACCGATCTAATCTTTTCGGTTTTGCGCTTTTTCTGGTTGCGATTGTGAGTGTGGTGTTGAATTTTGTGTAAAATCCATCAAAAACGACAAAAAAAGGTAACAACCACTGAATTACTACAAACTAAAAAAAATTCCTATCAAAAGTTGCGCAAAGCTTGGTTGAAAATCCACTCGTCACTCGCAAACAATCATCAGTTGAAATTCAGTATTTTGGGGTTACAATCCGAATAATTGAAGGGTGTACGATAAATTTGCACGTAATTCGTTGTATTTAACATAAATTTCGCGGCGAGGTCGGGCTTTTGACCCGTGTTTTTGCGTTTGTTTTGATGTTTCGTTATGAAGGTTAGTTTTTGTTGACTTGAGTGAATCTTTTCGTTCTAGCACGTAAATTTGGTGGAATGATTGGTTGGGAAGTTTGTTACTGAAGGCCTGAACGAAAATTGTTGAAAAAATGGCAACTCTAGGGCATCAGGCAGCTGCACAACTGCTTGATTTCTCACAGAAGCTGGACATAAATTTGCTTGATACTGTGGTTGGTAGCATGTATGAGGGCAATGGGGAGACACAAAGGATTGCACAGGAGGTACTCACGACGCTGAAGGAGCACCCAGACGCGTGGACGCGAGTCGACACCATCCTCGAATTCTCAAACAACCAGCAGACGAAATATTACGCCCTGCAAATCCTAGAGCAAGTCATCAAGACTCGGTGGAAAGTTCTACCGAGGAACCAGTGCGAAGGCATCAAAAAATACATCGTTTCTTTAATCATCAAGACGAGCTCAGATCCTGAGACTCTGGAAGCTAACAAAACGTATTTAAATAAGTTGAATATGATTCTAGTACAAGTCTTGAAGCGTGAGTGGCCTAAAAACTGGGAGAGTTTCATTCCCGATATCGTGGGGGCGAGCAAAACAAACGAGAGTTTGTGTCAAAACAACATGATCATATTAAAATTATTAAGTGAGGAATTGTTTGATTTTTCATCGGGACAGATCACACAAACTAAAGCCAAACATTTGAAAGATACGATGTGCTCAGAGTTTTCTGCCATTTTTCACCTTTGTCAGTTTGTTTTGGAAAATTCGCAAAATCCACCCCTGGTTAACGCCACCCTTGAAACACTCCTAAGGTTTCTAAATTGGATCCCTCTTGGATATATTTTCGAAACGAAGTTGATAAACACACTGATTTTTAAATTTTTAACTGTTCCTATGTTCCGAAATGTAACACTTAAGTGTTTAACTGAGATCGCTGGAGTTACCGTTAGTAATTACGACGATATGTTTGTTAATCTTTTCACTCAAACTATGTCACAATTAGAAGTGATGCTGCCACTGCAAACTGATATCAAGTCAGCCTATGCTTGTGGCCAAGATCAGGAACAAAATTTTATTCAAAATCTTGCTTTATTTTTGTGTACTTTTCTGAAAGAGCACGGGAATTTAGCGGAGACTTCTGGTCAGGTTGAAGTATTACGCAACGCTTTACGTTACTTAGTTTTAATTTCCGAAGTCGAGGAAGTCGAAATTTTTAAAATTTGTCTGGAGTACTGGAATACTCTCGCTTCGGAATTGTATCGAGAAGTCCCTTTTTCTGGGGCTGCTACTATTTTTTTCGGTGCTCGGAGGGCTTTGTATCAAGAAGTGTTAAACAAAGTTCGTTATATAATGATTTCGCGGATGGCTAAACCAGAGGAGGTGCTCGTTGTTGAAACTGATAATGGAGAAGTTGTGAGAGAGTTTATGAAAGATACCGATTCGATAAATCTGTACAAAAACATGCGAGAAACTTTAGTTTATTTAACTCATTTGGATTACGCGGACACTGAGAGGATTATGACTGTCAAACTGCAAAACCAAGTCAACGGTAGCGAATGGTCTTGGAAAAACCTCAACACCTTATGCTGGGCAATTGGGAGTATATCAGGGGCGATGCACGAAGAGGACGAAAAGCGGTTCTTAGTGACCGTCATCAAAGATTTGCTGGGGTTATGCGAACAGAAACGAGGCAAAGACAACAAGGCGATCATCGCTTCCAATATTATGTATGTCGTGGGGCAGTATCCCCGGTTTTTGAGGGCACATTGGAAATTTTTAAAGACTGTAGTCAATAAACTGTTCGAATTTATGCATGAAACACACGACGGAGTCCAAGATATGGCTTGTGATACTTTCATCAAAATCGCCTTAAAATGCAGACGACATTTCGTTACGACACAAATCGGTGAATCATGCCCTTTTATTGAGGATATTTTAAGTTCCGTTTCTACTATAATTTGTGACTTACAGCAGCAACAAGTGCATACTTTTTATGAGGCTGTTGGGTACATGATCTCTGCCCAAGTTGACACTGCAATGCAGGAAGCTTTGATTGAAAAATATATGTTGTTACCTAACCAGGTAATTAAAAGATCCCTAAGATTTGATCAACTGTGTGATCATGACAAAGAAATGAATGAACTTCTTATTCCATTGGCAGTTGGGAAAGCCCCTGGGGCGTGGCTAAAACACAGAATATTTCATTGTTAATATTTCTTTGTCACGACCTAATATTAACTTATTTTAACTTTTTCTAATTTTTTTGAATAATAATACTCCTTTTGTTTAAGGTTTGGGACGATATTATTAGTCAAGCCAGTAAAAACGTTGACATTTTAAAGGAAATCGATGTTGTTAAACAGTTAGCGAGTATTTTAAAAACAAATGTTAGGGCTTGCAAAGCTTTAAATCATGCGTATGTGATGCAACTGGGAAGAATATATTTGGATATGCTAAACGTTTATAAGGTGAGTTGCTTTTCTATTCATTTTTATTTTATGGTGAGACTGAACTTTGATTTATTTGAATGTAAATGTCTTATTAACAAAACTGAACGTCACAATTTTTTTACTTTTTATGTAACGATGATATAAATTGCAGATTTGGCCTAATTTTTCGACAATTAAATTATTTCATGTAAACTCATTAGATTAAAATTTTATGGATTGTTGAATACATCACAAGTTGCATAACATTGCACATAATTTCACATTTAAAAGAATGAACAAATTACCATACGTAAAGATTTGTTTTTTTTGTATGTTTACAAACAGCAAATCTTATAGAATGGTTGTGTTGACATCCATATTGCTATAATTAAAAACTATAGTACGCACAAATATGTAAATACACAAAATTTTGAATAATTGTGTTGTTAATTTTTTCTTGTTTTGTATTTGACTATTAATTAGTTTTACTATTTGTATACTGCTCTCAGTAAGACTGATTTCCACTTTTTTTTTCATTTCATAAATATTGCAAAATGTTAAAATCAAATGCATATAAATTTGTTTTGGCTTAAATTTCACAAATGAGGATTCTTCATTCATCATACAATTATAATAACGTAATTATATTTTTTTCAATTTTTAATATAGAATGTTTCTAAATCTTACTAAAATAATAAATTAATAGGCTGTTCATGACGTTGCAAGAAATATATATTTTCTTCTTTCGTAAGATGCACAAAATTGTATAAAATACTCGTAAGTATCAACAGGAAGTGAAATGTAAAAAATGTTAGAAATATTGAAGTAAATTATAAATTAAGATAAACGCTTACAAACACGTGTGATAAGACTTACTGAAGCATATGTTCAACAGACACAAAAACAATATTTGTAATAATTTATTCTAATGACCAAAAACATTCCACATTTTTAAGATGTTAGTTAAATAGTTGGAATTCACAGTAATTTTTTCATTCAAAGCCTCAATATTAATGTGAGCAATTTAGCTATTTACAGAATTTTGCACAAGGTATTTTCATTCCTAATCATAAACAAAAACAACGGTGAGATCAATATTCCCATATTTTTAAATTAAATTTGTTACGATTAATAAAACGTGAGTTTTCATAAATATTACAACTGGAATTGTTTGTACATTAACTTTTTCTACAATTTAATTTTCTAATCATGTTAAAGGAGCTTAGATTACTATGTTTTTTTTGAAATGTTATTAAAATGGAGTATGTAATAAAACCAAAGGCTAAACAAATTACTCAAACACTCGTTCAGTCACACTGTAGGTATCTGTATATTTCACTTAAACAATATATTTTCTACAAGCCTTCAACTCGTTTGTTAATAGAACTTATTATTTTGTCAAAGCACTCGGTCGGTGTATAAGACGATTTTGTTTAAATGTTACAATAAATACTAAATGTTATTCTACATTGCGGGTTATATTCTTTTTTTTTGTACAAAAAGATATAATGTTGCATTTGGAAAGAAATTACTTTTACAATAAAACGATTGTATGACAAGTCACTTTGATTTGTTAGTGTTCGAATGCCAAGGTTCACAAAAAAATTGTGATCTCTTGCGTATTTTCCAGGTTATGTCGGAAAATATAACAGCAGCTATAGCATTGAACGGCGAAATGGTTACAAATCAACCACTAATCAAAGCAATGAGGGTGGTAAAGAAAGAAACGTTAAAATTAATATCAGACTGGATATCGAGGACGCACGATCATGCTATGGTTATGGAAAATTTTATACCTCCATTTTTAGATGCCGTGTTATTAGATTATCAAAGAACGGCCGTACCATCAGCTCGAGAACCGGAAGTTCTCAGCGCCATCGCCACTATAGTTAACAAATTAGAAGTGCACATAACTTCAGAGGTAAAATTTCAATTTTTTCCTTTTGAGTAAGACTATTAGCGAATAATTATTCAGGTTCCAAAAATATTTGACGCTGTGTTCGAATGCACACTAGCCATGATCAATAAAGACTTCGAAGAATATCCCGACCATCGAACGAATTTCTTCCTTCTACTTCAAGCAGTCAACAATTTTTGCTTCCCAGCCTTCCTGAGCATACCTCCTGCTCAATTCAAGCTCGTACTGGACAGCATAATATGGGCGTTCAAACACACGATGAGAAACGTGGCCGATACTGGCTTACAAATTTTGCTCAAATTACTACAAAATGTCGAACAGTTCGAACATGCAGCTCCTAGTTTTTATCAAACTTATTTAACCGATATCTTGCAACATGTGTTTTCCGTTGTAACCGATACGTCGCATACAGCAGGATTATCAATGCATGCTACGATTCTGGCGTATATTTTCTCATTGGTGGAATCGGGCAGAGTTAACTGTCAGTTAGGACCAACCCCCAATAATGTTCTCTACATACAAGAATTCACAGCAACGTTGTTGAGATCTGCATTTCCTCATCTCACAGATAACCAGATTAAGATCACCGTTCAAGGAATGTTTAACTTAGATCAGGATATACCAGCGTTTAAGGAACACTTGCGAGATTTCCTCGTGCAAATTAGGGTAAGTAAACTGGGAAAGTGGAAATTTCGAGATAAGTTTTTTGCGGTTTTTTGACACCGATGGCGTATTATTTCAGGAGTATACGGGCGAAGACGATTCGGATTTGTTCTTGGAGGAGCGCGAAAAAATGCTACAAGCCGCGCAAGCCGAGAAACGACGAATCCAGCTTTCAGTACCTGGAATTCTAAATCCTCACGAGGTCCCTGAAGAAATGCAAGATTAGCAGTTTAACTTGTAGAAAACCTATTGTAAACTAATAATCTAAATCTTATAATTTAGAACGATATTTTTGTATTTGTATCATCCATAACATGCTGCATTTTAATGCAGTCTACCAGCGAAAACGTGTTTTGTGCGAGTTGAATAATTGGAAATTGCTTTCTGTTTAGGTTTTTTTATACACAATATAATTTTAAGCAATGTTGGTGACTTTTTTCTTCACGTCGGTTATGTTTGCATGTTTTTTCTTCTTGGCACAAACATCATTGAATGGAAATCACCTTACATTTAGGTTGAATGTATTTGAATGAATGATTGGCTTTTTGACTGTTAGACGATTACGTTTTTATTTTTTCGGTTATAACTTGTTGGAATTCGAGTACTTATTGTTTCCGTTGAACAAGATACGCATACATTGATCTAATAATTCGAATTTGATAGATGAAAAGGTTTGTACATTTTTATAACAAAACTTGTGTATAAAAAATAATTATATAAAAAAATGAATTAGACATTTCAGTTATTTGCATTTATTATCACATGTTTTTTGCGTTGGATCACTTTTTATATCTAGACTGCTGTATATATTGAAGCCAAGTTTTGGGTTGTGGTATGTTTGTTTTTAAGCAAATTTGCCAAATTTATTTATTTCTCTTTTTTTCCACAGCATGTCAAAAGTGCTAAGATTACATTATTGTATTAGAAATTAGTTGCGTTTTGTATAAATGCTTTTCAACTTGCTTTGTGAATCCATTGATATATTTTAGTCTATATATAACACTGTACCATAGGAAAACTTGTGGTACAATGAATCTGTAGTGTAGTTGTTAATAATTTGTGATCAATTTCAGTAATAAAATACACAAAACTGAATCTCCGCAATTTTATTCCTCACTGATAATAAGAAGTTTTAAGAGAGATACATCAATTAATCTAATCTTCAAACTTAAAAAATCTTATCAGGTCAAAAATAATTCAAAGATTTTCAAACTCCTCATACTGATTTGTGCAGTTGAACATGTTGATTTAGTTTAATTGTGTCCCAAAATACGAAAAAATGGCGGCTCGCCACCGCTTTGCTACAGGCAGCCCTGAAGAAACAGAGCCTTTGTATTCTTCGTCGCAAATGTAAGAAATAAATGTGGACAATTTGCGAATTCTTTATTATGCTTTAAAATTTTCAGGCCGGAAAAAGTCCGAGAAAAATGGAACGTATTCGAAGACCCTCCAAGAGAACCCACCGTTGGTTCCGAAGTCAAAAGAACTTACATCGAGTGGGGAGTGAAAATTTTGAAAGTTGTAACAATCATAACTGTATTTTTTGTGGTACTTGGTGCTGCAGTGATTTCGAAAGGAACAACCTTGTTTATGACGTCACAAATAAAAAAGAATGTAACAAGGGCTTATTGCAACAAAAAGATAGGTAAGTTGCGAGGATATGACGTAGTTTGTGATTTAACGACATTGAAATTTTGATTATCAATCAAAAGATAAAAAACAAACAATGCAATGTGTTAACATCTGATTCTATCTAAAATTTATAATCCGGTTTATAATTTCGTATTGATTTTTTTGTTTGTTGTTTTGATATTATAGCTTTCCAGTAAGAAAAAAGCACTTGTGGTGTGCCGATATACCCACTAAAAAACAAAACTTTTATTTAAACAAAGCAATAAAATTAGATAATTGTTTTCAAGGTCTGTGCATTCCACAAAAGTAAATTATCAGTTTACTACGTTTCGTCATGTTTATCAAGATCTCGATAAAAATTTACAGCTTTATGCAAGACCAATATTTTGTTAATTTGGGTTCAAATTACGTTTTTGTTAGAGTGGATTAGAAATGTTTTAACCTTTTTAAGAAATTACAGTCACGATGACTTCTGTTTTTTTTAATAGTTATTTTTATGATTGTTGTTTTAACGCGAAATAATGCCTATTTTATAAGATCAAGTTATCGCTCTAGCTCCTTAGGAAGTATTTCCGGACATAGGTCCGTGGGATTTTTTTTCCTATATCTGTAGGAAAAACGTTGAAAGATTTCAGGAGGTGGTTACCTAAGTTAAAGTAAGAAAAAAAGTTCCTATGAACTACGGATACCTAAAATAGTAGTTCTCCGTACTATGAACCTATGTCCAGAAATCAGAAATGCTAAAAGAGCGTGGGTTGCTTTTCGGAATTCAAGGCGGTGCACGGTGAAGAAAAAACCCGTTTTTTCCAAAACTGTGCGTCGTACAATATTAACACAAAAGACACTTTTTGAGGAAAATTAATCAATAAATCCAAATTTGCCAAAAAAAATTAAAAAACTTCAAAGCAAAATTTTACGCCTTAAATAGATTAACCCCAGTTTAGCCCAATTATGGTAATAATTTTTGATATCACTAGTAGATTCAGCGCTAAAAAATACTCTAAATGCAAACTTTTGTAAATTTATGTCCACCGGTTACCCTCTGAAATCTTTCATTAAAGTTTTTTCCGGACACCTGTATTGACTTAAGGTCAAATCACCTCCCAGAATCTTTTAACGTTTTTAAAGCTAAATCTCGTGCCATTTCTATCACCCTTTTGACCTTTCATAATGTTTTTTCTATATAATACAGTAGTACAGTCTTTTAGATAGGGTCCAGTTGTCTTGTTCTTTTACATAGAAATGTTTATGACCTATTTCACCTCAAAAAACACGACGTTGTCAGTGTGGCGATAGAAATGGCACGAGGTTTATTTTGATAAAAATAATTGTTTTGAAATGAGAAATTTTTGTATTGGTTCCATTTCCTTTGTTAGAATTAATAGTAAAATTTTAATACGAGTATGTACTTCTTAATTTCATTTTATTTTGGGAATTGTGTGATTTAAAAGCAATTTTCACCTTTAAAAAATTCCAACAATATACATATTATAACTAGGTTATTAATTATATTATCACCATTCTTATCAGACATTTTTAATTTTAAGGTGCATGATCTAATCATCATACTCAGAAAATCACTTTTATATTTAAACAGTGCAAACAAAATAATTTCAAGGTACCTGCAATTCACAATAATATCAGATCAAACCTAACATTGACTTACTAATCTTATCACGATTTCAAAAAATCAGGTCTAGATCAAATTTCGGAAACATTTTCAGACCGCAACCTCCAATTCGTCGTCTCACTCCCCGAAGTCGAACGCGTTCAATGGATATGGCTCCTCATTTTCGCCTACATGATCCCCGAAGTGGGCACCTGGATCCGCGCCATTCGCAAATGCATCTACAAGCACTGGACTATGCCCTACGTCTCCGAATTTCTCTCCCTTTGTGCTACCGAAACATGCCCCGCGATCGGAAGCGCGATTTTTATTTTCGTCGTCCTTCCGGAGATAGACGTCGTCAAGGGAGCGATGCTCACAAACGCGGTTTGTTTCGTACCAGGAGTTGTTGCAATGTTTTCGCGAAAACCATGCTCGATAAACGAAAATTTGAAAATGGGGCTCGACATTGCGAGTATAACTGCTCAAGCTTCGAGTTTTGTCGTCTGGCCTTTGGTCGAAAATAATCCGACTTTGTATTTAATCCCGGTCTCGGTGATCCTTATTTCGATCGGTTGGTGGGAGAACTTCGTCTCCGAGACTTCTTATTTGCCGTTTATCCGGAAATTGGGTGAAAGTAAAAAAGAGTTTAAGACTACAACATACTTCATCTACTCTTTCGTAGCCCCAATTAAGTGTTTAATTTTCTTTTGCACTGCTTTGGTCATATTTTATTGTCAAGAGGGCAACGTGGATTTCCTCTTTGACAATTTTTCAGACGCTTTTCAGGATCATAAAATTGAAATAACTGAAGTTGCGCCAGTGTTACCGGGAAATTATGAAAATGCCAGTTCTGTCGGAAGCCAAAAGCCCTTCGAGACAAGTAGCTACATGACAGCAATTTGGGTTTGGTTGATCAACATCTCTGCGACTTATATTTGTTACGCTTTTGGGAAATTCTCCTGCAAAGTCATGATCCAAAGTATTAGTTTCGCTTTTCCGATCAATTTGTCTGTCCCTGTCCTTTTATCCGGTCTTATAGCAATGTGTGGGATGTACTACAGTGATGAGTGCTCTTTCGTAGACTCAATCCCTCCATATTTATTTTTCGTTACTCCGCCACTTATGTTTTTACAAGATTTTCTTTCGCAACAACATGCGTGGATTTGGCTGGTTTGGTTGTTGTCACAAGCGTGGATTTCGGTACATATTTGGTCACCAAACTGTGATAAACTTTCAAGTACTGAACAATTGTTTATTCGGCCAATGTATGATGCGTTTTTGATCGATCAAAGTCTTGCATTTAATCGGAGACGGGAGGAGAACCCCAGGCATTATACGAATGATGAAGGGCCTCAAATTACAGGTAAGATTCCTATTTTTTGAGAAAGTAGCTTGTGAAAATTGTTTGTAGAACTTGAACCGGAAACAACTGAAACTCAGGACGCCATAACCCGGGTTTATGCCTGTGGAACAATGTGGCACGAAACTCGAGAAGAAATGATAGAATTTTTAAAATCTGTTGTGCGCTTAGATCAAGACCAATGCTCCCACAGGATAGTGAGAGAGACTTTAGGACTCAAACATGACAATTATTACGAACTAGAAAGTCAGTTTTTATCGCTAGATAGTGTCGTATTTTGTAACCCGAATTTGCCATTTTCAGCTCATGTATTTTTCGATGATGCGTTTATTCGGACTAGTGAAGACGATAATGATCCCCACGTCAACGAATATGTTGAGTTACTTGCGTCCATTATAGACGAAGCTGCAACTAAAGTTCATGGTACTACCGTGAGGGTACGTCCGCCTAAAGTGTATCCCACTCCGTATGGAGGTCGCTTGGTTTGGACACTTCCGGGTAAAACAAAAATGATTGCCCATTTAAAAGATAAGAAGAAGATCAGGGCGAAAAAGCGGTGGTCGCAGTGCATGTATATGTACTACTTGCTTGGATTCAGGTATTTAATTACAACTGGAATGCGGAAAGTGGCTATTTTAATTTTTTTCGTCGTTCCATGCTTTTATGGTTAACATTTAACAATTTACAATCGTTGAGCTGTCAACTCCTTGATCATTATAGCCTTTTTAACAGCTTTGAATAATAGTATATTATACATAAAGGGAGAGAAATGCACGAGGTGCCGTTTTATAGCCAGAGGGGTGTAAAGCACCAAAGAAATAAGCATTCCCCTTCAGTCGTGTATATACTATTTTTTGCACGACTTGAGTTAAAAAAACCTAAGAAATTGGCTGTAATAAAATTTAAAAATTAGCATGAAGCTAGCAGTCTTTGGACCACAGATGGTCTGTGAGACATCAAGAAGTGGGTCCACGAATTCATCACCAAAAATAATAGATAAAAATGGGCGCTAATCTCAATTCAAAAACCAATAAACTAATTATTTCTAATTAGATGTATTTTTCTTAAGGGGGCCCACGACGCTTTTGTCTTGGTAGTCCGCTCTATTTTAACGGTTGGGAACCAATGATTCTAATGATATTTTTTAAATAAAATTTTGAATCACAACAATGCGAGAATTCTGGAACAATGACAAAATGATGTAGGAATAATATAAACGTCCAACAAATAATTTCTCGATTTTTTTTTGCTCAAAACTTTATAAAAAAGTCTGTAGTTATAAAATAAGATTGTTTTTCGCCTGTGGGATGAATTTTAAAAACATTATAGAAAACGTTTTTCATAAACTTTTCATAAGGTGATCATAATTAACCTTTATCGTCTTATATTATATTATTTACTCGTAATGAATTGTAACTCAAAAAAAATGACAGTTCATTGGGCTTCGTATTTAACTAAAACATTCTAAAAGTTTATTTTTTGTTCTAATGGTGAAATTATGCATAACCAAACAGATTATTACGCCTGTTTAAATTTACATCAAATCTGCGTAAAACAAATATAAATCATAAGTTCGTAATTAGGAAATAGTACACAAAAGCCGCTTTTCCGCATTCCCCCTTTGGAGCCACATCTTCACCCTATTTTCTGCACAGATTACAAGCCAACGACGAACTCTCCATTTCAAGTAAAGAAATCCGTAGCGAAAACACCTACATCCTGGCTCTCGACGGTGACATCGATTTCCAACCCGAAGCGCTCCACTTGCTCGTCGACTACATGAAGAAAAACAGAAAATTGGGAGCGGCCTGCGGCCGTATCCACCCCATAGGCAGTGGTGGCATGGTTTGGTATCAAATGTTCGAATACGCTGTTGGTCATTGGATGCAAAAAGCCACCGAACACGTCATTGGCTGCGTCCTGTGTAGCCCCGGTTGTTTCTCCCTATTCCGAGGGAAGGCTCTAATGGACCATAGTGTCATGAAGAAATACACCACTAGATCGACCCAAGCTAAACACTACGTGCAGTACGATCAAGGGGAGGATCGGTGGTTGTGCACTTTGCTGCTACAAAGGGGGTACAGAGTTGAATATTCGGCGGCTTCGGACGCTTTCACGCATTGCCCAGAAGGGTTCAACGAGTTTTATAACCAGAGGAGGCGCTGGATGCCATCAACTATGGCTAATATTCTAGATCTTTTGATGGATTATGAGCACACGGTGAAAATTAACGAAAATATTTCCATATTGTACATTGGGTACCAAATTGTTCTGATGATTGGTACTGTTATTGGCCCTGGTACTATTTTCCTCATGTTGGTTGGTGCCTTCGTAGCTGCGTTCGGGCTCGACCAATGGAGCAGCTTCTACTGGAATTTACTTCCGATTGCTGTTTATGTCCTGGTGTGTGCTACTTGCAGTTCCGATATTCAGTTGTTTTTCGCTGGTCTCATCAGCGCCATCTATGGTTTGATAATGATGGCAGTTTTCGTCGGTGTGATGTTACAAATCAGTCAAGATGGCCCTTTGGCACCTTCTTCTCTCTTCTTCTTCTGCATGGCTGGCGAATTTATAATTGCAGCAATTTTACATCCGCAAGAATTCAACTGTTTAAAATACGGGGTCATCTATTATGTCACAGTCCCCAGCATGTACCTCCTACTAGTTATTTACTCTGTTTTCAACATGAACAACGTCTCGTGGGGGACTAGAGAAGTAACAGTAGTGCCCAAACCTGACCCGAATGCCGTTCAGAAAGAACAAGTGGAAGAGAAAAAGCCGGAGAAGAAAGACAAAGTTTTGACATTTCTGGGGGCTAACGCTCAAGATGACGAAGGGGGGCTTGAGTTTTCAGTTAATAAGCTTTTCAAATGCATGATTTGTACGTACAAATCTGATAATAAGGAAAATGAACAGTTGAAAAAAATTCAAGAGTCGTTGAGAGACTTGAATAAGAAAATAGAGTCGCTGGAAAAAATACAATACCCCGATTTGAGATCACCTGCTGTTAATAATGTTACAACTTTCATGGAAGGCTCGAAGGCTACAGTCAAAAGCAACGCCGAGGATAATTATATGGAGCCCCCGCAAGATAACATTTCGCTACCCTCGGATGAAGTAATGGAAAATAGTTGGTTCTATGATGGTCCTCTGATAAGGGGCGAAGTGCATTATTTGAACAGAAGCGAAGAAACCTTCTGGAATGAATTAATAGAGAAATATTTGCACCCCATTGAAGACGACAAGAAGAAAGTTTCGGCGGAATTGAAAGACTTGAGAGACAAAATGGTGTTTACCTTCCTGATGTTAAATTCACTCTATGTAATTGTGGTATTTTTGCTGACTTTGAAAAAAGATTTATTGCATTTAGATTGGCCATTTGACCCCAAAATGAACTTTACGTATTTCGAGGACAAAAATGAGGTATTTACACGAATTTTTATATTATGTTTAGTTACTAATTAAAAATTTTAGTTTGGTGTTTACATAACATATCTCCAGTTGGAACCTATTGGTTTCGTTTTTCTTATATTTTTTGCGTTGCTTATGGTCGTTCAATTCTTCGCAATGTTGGTTCACCGTTTCGGCACGTTCTGTCAAGTCATCACAAAGACACAATTGGATTTCGATCTGTGTAGCAAATCAATCGATGAAATGACTATGGACGAACTCAGGACCCGTGACCCCATAAAATTAGTCGCAGATTTGCAAAAACTGAAAGGTATAAATAACGAATATGAGGAGCAAGCGGAACTTCCAGTCGAAACGAGGAAAACTGTAAGTAATTTGGCTCAGAAAAATGGTGGTGGGGAGAACAAACCCATATTCTACTTGGACGAAGCGTTCCAAAGGAGAGTCACTCAATTGGAAAGTACCTCTAGTAACAGTAAGTCGGTACCGTTTCAGTAAAAACTATGACTAATTTGTTTTTTTTTTTAGATCCGAGCATTAGTGCATTTAGGAAAAAGAGTCTTGCTTACGTCCAACATAGAATGAGTATAGCCCCAAATAGAGCCTCTCAAGCCCGGTCCAGTGTCCAACCGAGAATGAGTATAGCCCCAAATCGGGCCTCTCAAGCCCGGTCCAGTGTCCAACCGAGAATGAGTATAGCCCCAAATCGGGTCTCTCAAGCTCGTCCTAGTGTCCAAATGAAGTATCCCAATGGAAACGTCAATGAAAGTTTTGTTTTTGATGAAAATGGATCAGACGTGGAGGCATAAAATTCAAATTATTTTTTACTCTTAAATTTATTAAATAAAAGGCTTACAAAGTGCCACTGTGTGATCATACCCGCAAAACACCTTCCATCCGAAACCCCCTAGCGACACTTTAAACGGAAAGTACTGGTCATTTGTGAACCCCAACCCTAGACAACCCCTAATATTGCGCCCCCACGCATAAATATCACCAAAACTTGTAACAGCCATTGCGTAGCTTAACCCACATGCTACTTGAATTACTTTATTGTCTGGTTGAAAGTCGTTGCGGCCAAACAAAGTGTCTGGAAGTTTTTTCGGTTGGGAAGTTTGGTCAGCTTTGGGACCCCCGAGAACTAGACCGTAGCCCCACACGAAAACCTCGCCATTTTCATTTAAAACAAGACAAAATGAGCCCCCGGCTGCCACGTCTACGATTTTGCCTAATTTCAAGTGTTTGAGGTGGACTGGATGACTCACTTGTTGTTCGTTGTTTTCGGTTGGAATTTGGTCGTACTCGGCATTGCCCCAGCCAAACACTTCTCCTTTGTTGTTAAGGGCCAAAGCGAAGTCAGATCTGGATGATATTTTTACTATTTTTTCGGATTCAATATCGCCTGTGACTCTAGTGAAGGCACTTGTGTTGTCAAAATTGCCGAGGCCTGTTTGGCCGTCAGCCCCCCAACCGCAGGAGTACACAGCCCCGTCTTCTGTTATAGCTAAAGTGTGGTCTTGGCCACATTCAATGTCTGCTACTTTCTTACCGTCAATATCGGGAATGTGGTTTATGTAATTACTTAAGAAATAATTTTCATCTTGGATAATTTCACGCCCGCATTGGCCGTAGGAATTATTGCCTAAGAGGAAGAGTCCCTCATCTGTTAAAACTACAAGATGTGCACGTCCGGCTGCTAATTTTCGTATCCGAGTTTTAGTTGGACTTTTCAGAGGTAGTTTAATTGCTTGAGGAAAATAGATAATTTCCAAAGGATGCCCTTGACGTATCTCATGTCTACCAATTTGAGAGTCAGTATTAAGCCCCGTGCCGTATAATTTATTCTCAGACTCTGTATCTACAGCAAATGCAGTGAAGCCAAACCCACAAGCAGCAGTTGTCACCTATAATTTTCATTTAATATATTGAAAACGTGAGAGAGCCAACATACTGGAAATTTTTCAGCAAAACCTAATCGTTTAGGAACGTCTATTATCTCCCGTTGCATGACATTTTCGTTGCGCCTTAAATAAGGGACACCTAAAGCCCCCGAATGAAGGTTGCCCCATACAAAGACACGTTTGTATGACTTCTTACTAGTACCGTAGTCAAAGACAGGCAATGATTTGGCTTCTTCACGATTAATGGGATATTTGCGTTTTACCGACATAAAACGCTTTCCGGGACATTTTTCGAGATAAATTACTCGTTTCAAATTATTTAACATGTTTTAAAATGACAACCTCAAAATTGACACAACCGTTACTACTCAAGAAAGATTGTTAGACCGAAAATGACAATTTTTGTAAAATAATTTTCGACAATTTACAATTGTCATTTTTTTAATAACACAATTTTGGAAATATATTGTTTTTTAATGTATTAATATTATTGAGTGCAACAGCAACAACTTTTCGGTCCACTAAGCAATTCGCAACAGTCTGATTTCGGTTGAAAGGTTTTGACACGTCTTCCTAACCTATTTTCAAAATGTATTATTTATAAGTAATAATTAATTTCATCAAAAAGTGAATCATGCAACGTACTACAAACCCGAACGAGGACAAAGTTGATCTCCAAATTCAACAAAATGTTACAAACTGGCAGTCAACTAATAACTCCTTGGCCCCCTTGTCTGACGAGCAGTTGGATATTATTTATCAAGTTGGGGACTTGATTAAAAGTGAACTTGCGGCTAGAGAGCCCGAAAAAGAAGACACAGACACAAAAGACAAATCTGAGGTGATGCCGGTTGTTGATACAAATAGGGCTTACATAAATTGGATGATTTCATCAGAAAATGAGATAAAGCATGAAAATTTGAAAGAGTATCAGAATTATTACCAAACACTTCACGACCAGAGTACTAGGTGCAAGAAATTATTCAGTTGTGTAAGTTTTTATCTATATTGATTGTTTGAATTTAATTGCATTATGTAGGCTGATGAAACTTCCAATTTATTACAAGACTTGAGAAGTAAATATTTGCAAGTTACGGCAAAAACAGATTCCTTGCATAATTTAAGTGAGCAGTTAATGACTCATCAAAGGATATTAAAAGAAAAGAAAAAAAGTTTAAACGAAAAGTTACATTTCTTTTTAATTTTTAAAACAACACAGGATAATATTGAGCGCTACTCTAATAAAATCAATAGTCAAGAATATGTTGACCTTTTAAACAATATTGATAATGCTATTGTCTATCTTGGGGAACATGTAATTATTTTATTTATGTCTAACTTTGTTTAATACAAAATTTCTAGATAAATTTTAAGGAGTCTAGGATTTATAAAATGAAATATGAGAGTTTACTAGTAAATGCATTAAATAAAATTTACAGAGCTGTAAGCACTGTTATAGTAGAGGCCACAAAACAGGTCCTTGATCCCGATTCTAAAACAAATGTTGTACCTTTACATTCCAACTCTGCTGAATCAATGGATAGTGCATTTGCACTCTATTATGGCAAATTCCAAAGTGCTGCCACTAAAATCAAATTGATACTTTCACATCTTGAGGAAAAATCAACGAAAAATGAACAGTAAGAATCTTTTTACTCATTTTTTATTCATAAATTGTATAAAAATCTTAGGTATCAAAATATTATCAGCGATTGTCAGAAGTTTTACGTGTCACAACGCCTCCCAATTTTAAGTACAGCAGTATCAAAAGCATTGGCAGAACTGAAGGAAAAATACAGGACTGATTACAGTATTTTGTTCAGGTCTTGTGGCTTATTTGTGATGAAAACATGTCAAGATGAAGCAAATTGTTATCACTACTTTTTCAATGAATATTCATCTGAATTCAAGTAAGATTTCCGGCTGTTAATTGCAAATTATAATGATTCTGTTTCAAGTGATTATTTGCGAGTTCTTTGCCAGCATCTGTATGACGCACTAAGACCAAGTTTGATAACCATAAACCACGTTGAAGTTTTGAGCGAATTGTGTGGAATATTACAGAAGGAGATGCTTGTTGAAAAAACGCTCAACAATGGTGAGAAAAAATTTAAAAAAGACTCCCAACTAAAATTTAATGTAGATCATCTGTCAAAATACGTCGAAGTTTTGCAACAGTTGTTACAAGATGCTGAGGAACGGCTTGTTTTCCGTACTAACATTTTTTTCCAACACGATTTATTGTCTTATAATCCATCACCGGGCGATTTAGCTTACCCTGAGAAACTGGAGCAGATGGAAGTAACGTTTTTAATTGTAATTTTATTGTTAATTCAATTTGTGTTTCCAGAATATTACTTTGGAACTACAAGACGCACGTACAGATTCACGTTCTTCAGTTGCCTCTTTGGAATCGCAAGAAGTTGCGAGTATTAATTCGAATAACCCTTTGGGTCATTTCAGATCATATACGGGAAGTACGTTTTTTAATTTTTTAAACGATGGTTTAACAAGAGTTATTTATAGATTCTCCCGCCGATTTGCACGGCATGTGGTACCCCACCGTCAAACGCACTCTTGTTATTTTATCGCGACTCTATTTTTGCTTAGATAGGGAAACATTCCAAGGTCTGGCTCAGGAAGCTTTACTCATTTGTATTCAGACTGTACAACAAGCTGCTAATCTTATATCAGCGAGAAAAGTAATCGAATCAAATTTGTTGCTTTGTTTTTTGCTCAAATTAAATGTTTGCAGTCCGAAATTGACGGGCGATTATTCCAAATCAAACACTTGCTAATAATCCGGGAGCAAATCGCCCCGTTTCAAGTCGATTTCACTGTCAAAGAAATGAGTCTGGACTTTAGCAACGTCCAAAAAGCCGCTGTTGAATTGCTGAACCACCGGGATAAATTGTTCACATTTGGTAGCAATAATGCGCTTTTAGAGTTTCTTCTAGAAGGCACTCCACGTGTCCGGGAGTATCTTGTAGACTCGAGGAAAGAAATAGACAAACAATTGAAACTGTCATGTGAAGCGTTTATTAATTGCGCAACTAATTCCTTGACTGGTAATTTGCAACAATGGCGAAAAAAGGTGAGGCGTAATGCAGTCGCAATATTTTTGTTTTATTTTTTGAAATCAGGTCGAGCAAGTTCAAGCTACAAACACTGAGGAAAACAGTGTAATAATTCCGCAACAAGAATTTGCCAAAGCCAAAATTATTGCTGATATAATTAGTGAAACTTTGAAAACTATGAAATTGAAAGTACCGGAAATACAGAGGTCTATGCAATTGTATTTAGCTAATAGGGAAACAGAATTTATTCTATTTCGTCCAATTAAAGTAACGAAAAATTCTTATTTCGCTATTTACTCATTCCAATGTTTTCAGAATAATGTAATAAATGTTTTTGTGCAAATTGAGCAAACGTTGGCCACTTGTGGTTACAGTGGTGAAGAATTACTTCTTATTGGTTGTCCATCGCCAGAACAAATTAACGTTTTAATTTGTTCAGTGTCGTTAACTGCCGAACAAGATTACAATATGGGAAGACAGCCATAACACGTATTTTTATAAGTTATAACTACTAGTAGGGACCCTTGAGAACACTTTGTGTTTTAATCATTTTGCCCTAATTTTCAAGGTAACTTTTTAATAAAGTTCAATTTTTAAGAAATTTACTCTGTTTTTTGAAAGGTACCTTTTAAAAAAGTCAACATTTTAAGGAAAATACCCCATTTTTTCCAAACCTGAATACGGTTTCCTCCAAACAAACTTCCCTTTCAACAACACTCAAAATTAATAATTTTGTCCTCTGTTAAAGACTTTTTTCCTATTAAGGACCCTACAGCACACTTTCATGTTTTTAGCAAATATACCCAGTTTTTCAAAGTACTTTTTAAAAAAATTAGGATTTTAAGAAATTTACCCTGTTTTTCTGTTGGGCCACTTCAGCACAGAAATGAATACGGTTTCGGCCAAGCAAATTCACCTTTCAACACTTCTTAAAGGATTTAAGGTACCTTTGTTAAAAGTTAAAATTCACCTTTTAAAACTCTTCAATTTTAAAGATTTTACCCTGTTTTTCTGTTGGGCCACTTCAACACACATATGAATACGATTTCGGCCAAACAAATTCGGACAAGTCCTCATAAGCGAAGTGAATTCGATCTGCTTCATCACGAAGATAAATAGGGTTAATTGGTTCTAAAACAAAGTATTTAAATACTGTGTAGATATTTATTTGATGGTTTGCTTGTAACCAAAGACAACTTGCCGTATTTTCGTGGTAATTATGTTACAAAATTTAAAATTCCACGGCATTTCATTTGATTTTAAGACATATTTAAAAAGTTAAAATTTGCCATCAACTTAGGAAGCTCTGTTGAATTTCAAAGGATTGTGATGATTGTGACCTGTTTATGTTAAAAACATCAACTAAATCCATAACACAGTTTTTATTAAACGAAGAAAATTATAATAATGAATATAAATATGATGAATATGAATGAATAATCTCTTTTCTTAGTTAACTTATAAAATAAATATGCATATAAATATTTTGTCACTTCAAGCCCACATAATGATTTAAAATACCCACACACTCTTCTTTTGAATGTTTGTTGGGAAATATTAAATTGATGTCTTCGTTCTCCCCATTTGCCCGTACTTATAATTTTTAATGCCGCATCACAGGCCAATTTATCGTGGAAGACAAATAAACCTAATAACGCGAAATTAACGGTTGTGAAACACAATAACACCTAAGTCAGGGAGAAGTCTGCATCCGGTTCCTGGAACATTTAGAAAACTGGAAGCCAAGTTAAGACAAGATTGTCCTTCAATAAAAGACCCCGTCAAAGGACAGCTACTGGCCCAGAAAATGAAATTTAGAGTCCTTGAAGCCGTACACAATTACTTGTCATTTTGACGACTTCACTCATTTGCATCCAGCTCACATTCATTACTAAACTAATTCAAATAAAATATTACATACGCAAAAGGTATTTTTGGTTACAAACTAATTAATTTTTAAAGTAACTTTCCTGTGACTGACCCTGTATTTGTTAAAAAAAAAAAGATGTATCCTGTAGGGGCCTTAACAGGAAAAAAGTCTTTAACAGAGGGCAAAATTCCTAATTTTGAGTGTTTTTAAAAGGGAAATTTGTTTGGACAAAACCGTATTCACGTTTGGAAAAAATGGGGTATTTTCCTTAAAATGTTGACTTTTTTTAAAAGGGTATACCTTTAGAAAAACAGGGTATATTTCTTACAAATTGAACTTAAATTAAAAAGTTACCTTGAAAAACAGGGCAAAAAACAAAGTGTTCTCGAGGAACCCTACTAGGTAGTAGTTTTATAATAATGAATAAATTAAGTTAACAGTATTATAATTGCATTTTTTCACTTGTTTTAGCAATGAGTTAATTCGTTTATTATTTCGTTTTGTTCCATTTCAGTTTTTTGTAACGAATTCAACTGGATTTTTAGCCTTTCTAATTCTATTGATTTTTCCGCAATTAGGGCCTACAACAAAATATTCAGTTCGAAGAACTGCAAACTGGGTCAAATCACTTGAAGCTGTTGCTGATTGGTTTCTTTTTGTTTCTCCATACTTTGCAAAATATTTCGAGCCCCAATGGCTTTAATCTTCTGGTTTTCCACTTCTCTACCCAACTGATCGACCATTTCAATAAATTTGTTGGCAATTTTTTGAAATTCGTCTAATCCTACAATTCAAAGTCGGGATAAATAACCCTATATTTACAAAACTTACTTTCCACATAATTCTGGCAAATTTCTTTCAAGTCGTTGGTTTGCTTTGATATTTCTGGTTCCAAAATACAAACTTTGTCGACTTCATTGAAATAAATGCCTTGTTTTGCCAACAAATCTGCCATTTTTTGAAAATTGTCACTTGTTTAAATTTTCGTTTCTAGGGCAACCCCAGTGGTGCCAACCTTACAATTTGCTTATCTGTCATTGTCAAAACAAAACAATAAAATGGCACCCGTCATTAATTAATGTGATTTTAATTAATAATTTGTGTTAATTAGTGAAAATTACGGTTTAATGTTGAAGTCGGAACCTAACACAATGTCGGGTAAGACTGTGATCAAAGGTAACCCCTCACAGTATGTAAAGTTGAACGTGGGGGGCTGTCTTCATTACACCACTATTGGAACTTTGACTAAGCACGATACTATGTTACGGGCGATGTTTAGTGGTAGGATGGAAGTATTATCAGATTCAGACGGTAAATTAACGTTTGGGCGAGTTTTTCTTTTGACATGGTTGTGTTAGCAGGTTGGATCTTGATTGACCGTTGCGGGAAGCACTTTGGGGCTATTTTAAACTTTCTTCGGGACGGTAGCGTGTCTCTTCCTGAAAGTAGCAAAGAAATCGCCGAATTGTACGCAGAGGCTAAGTATTATTGCATTCAAGAGTTAGCAGAGTCTTGTACTCAAGCCTTGGCAAAGAAGGAAAGAAACGAACATGACCCCCTTTGTAAAGTCCCGCTCATTACTTCACAAAAGGAGGAAGAACTGCTGATAAGCTCAACAACAAAGCCGGCTATCAAATTACTGATAAACCGTCACAATAATAAGTATTCTTACACCACAACTTCTGATGATAATTTATTGAAAAATATAGAATTATTTGATAAATTGTCACTATGGTATAGCAAGCGCGTTTTGTTTCTGAAAGACGTGATAAGCACGAGCGAGATTTGTTGTTGGGTCTTTTACGGCCATGGCAAAAAAGTCTCAGAAGTGTGCTGTACTTCAATTGTTTACGCGACTGATAAGAAACACACAAAAGTTGAATGTCCCGAAGCTAGAATTTACGAAGAAACGCTTAATATTTTACTTTATGAGAACAGGAATGCTCCTGATCAAGAATTGATGCAAGTTACGTCGACTCGGGGGGCGGTTTCTGGCATGTCTTCCTACACTAGTGACGAAGAAGAGGAACGCTCAGGATTGGACCGACTCAGGTCGAATAAGTCGAATAATCAAGCCTAACTATTGTCTTATTTGTTTAAATTGGTCGGGTTTGGGCCACACCTGTGTTAGTTTTTGTACGTTGGTAGGACTGTACCAATCTGATCTCGCGATTCCAAAGCAGTGATTGTTTTTTTTTCGTAATGCAAACCCATAATTGTGGCCTAAATATGGTGACTAATTTAACTCAGGTTCATATCTTGAACAGTATTTGTGTACAACAGCGTACTTTAGCAATTGTTGAACCTCTAGAGCATGTAATTGAAGAGTTGTGATATTTTAGAACAGATTAGGAGGCGATTCAGTGTTTTAAAATAAAGAAATGTGCTAGGTTATTTATTGTACTTTATTAAATTACAAAAGAAGAAACTAATTGAGTAACAGTTTTTGTTGTATTGTTTCTCACAGATCTTTGATAAACTATGTACTCTAATAAAAAATAAAGTGTTGTTTATTTGATACAGCTTTTATTTACTTTTTAATATAGTCCCTAAAGTGAGAAACCTCCGCATTAAAAACCATTTACAAAAATAAATATCAAAACAAAAAACTGCAAATGGAATTGTTTCAGTCTTTCTAAAAATCTTCAATTTGTCTTGGCTTAAAGTCGGTATTTACTAGCCAACGTAGCGGATATGAAAACATACATTAAATAATTACGTTTGAAATAACATTGTTTTATTGGGTCCGATGAACTGAATCGCAATGAAAAATAAATACACAAAATCTTACCGATAAATTAGACTACAGAATACACAATTCAGAGGCTTACAACCGCCAAATCCCCAGACAGAACAAGTTAAAAAATGCTGACTTCTCGGGATTAAAATTAACGTTACATAATATTAAAATACAGCTGTATTATACAAATCTATGAAATATTACCACCACAGTGCTCATTTTAACAGAAGGCACCTACACCATGGTGTTTGATAACAAAAAAGTATACAATAGAGCATAAAACTGATAATGATCTTGTCACCTTTCATTGAACAGAAGATATTAAAAAAATCTAATGTGTATAAAGAAATTTAAACTGTTGTATCAACTTGCGCTTCACTTTCGGCTTCACTCTTTGCTCGTTTTGCTTCGTTTCCTTCCGTCTGGGAAGGCGAAACTGGTCTTTTAAGGTTTGTTTTGAAATTTACGATAATAGCGGTCATGTTGTCACCTCCGGCACCGTCAATAAACGTGTCCGGTGCTAAACAGTGGTCCAACATCTAGAAAAATCAAATACAGCAAATTTTAATTAACACTAAAACTAAAAAATACCTCTTCGCAAATTTGGGATAATTTCTTTGTACTGTCTTGTATACGTGGTCTGACGAACTCCACAACCTCTTCGTTTGACATGGAATTCCAGATTCCATCGCACGCAAGAACCATAAACTCGTCTTCGTTTGGATCTATCGTCAAGGTCTTGATGTCTGGCAAAGCTGTGATCATTTGTTCCCGATCTGATAGTTCTTTGTTTTGTTTATACGCGTGGTCGCCGATGGCCCGTGATAAGTTTAGCCCACCATTGACACGGCCTTCCCATGTTACTTCGCCGCCAGCTTTGAGTATCCTCTGTGTTTCTGGCTCATCTTCCGGTTTGTGGTCTATACTCATCTCTACTGCTTTTCCTAAATGAATTCAATTAATTTTTGTTACGGCAATAGAGTTTTAAACTACCATTTCGACAAACTATACATCGGGAATCCCCAGCGTTGGCTACGTACAGTTTATTGCCTTTTAGCAAAGCCACAACTGCCGTACAGCCACTGTCAGACCCTGGTTCTTCTTTAAAGGCTATTCCTTTTACTTCATCTTCATCAAGCTCCTCGTCGTCCTCTTCGTCTTCTTCCTCTTCTTCGGAACTCTCTTCTTCGGACCCTTCTGCGTCTATTGCGACGTTAACGCCCTCTGTATCCTCTTCTGAACTCTCCTCTGCAAACAAACAGTCAGTTTTAGTCTTAACAAAAAGATTGCCGCACCATTGGGACCCTCGAACGTCTGGTCTTCTTCGTCACTACTGTCACTCTCTTCCTCTCCCGAATTTAACCAGTTTTTATACAACTGTTGTGCAGTTCTTTTTGGTCTTGTGTTTGTTGGTGTTTTTACAGGTTCTGGTTTAATGACTGCTTTTCCTTTACCCTTTTTAGATGGTGTGCCATTTTCAACAGGTGTTGATGAACTCGTGACGTCACTCTTAGCCTGAGCTTCGGAGTCTGAAGGCGCAATTTCACCGTTTTGCGTTGGAAGTTCGCCTTTCGTGGACCCAACTTCATCTTTAATGTCCGAACTGTTGGGTTTATCGTCGGAAACTTCGCCAGGACCGTTAGTTTCTGGTTTCTCCTCTGTCTTATCTAAGCGCAAAAATCAAGTTTTCAGAAATTACATCAAAAACACACAATTAAAGCTAACCACTTAGGCCTGCCTCGCTGGAGCTGCTGACGCCATCCCCACTTTGACTCGTGGAGCTCGAGCAGGAGCTCGCCGACGAGGTGCCTACTGTAGGGTCACTGTCTTTTTTCGCCTTTAAAAAGGGCGAGTTTATGTCCTTTTTTAAACTTTTCACTGCAGGATTAGATGAATTTGAGGTATACTTTTCGATAACTTGCTCAATAGGCATAGCCGCCTCTTCATATAAATTATTAACGTTTTCTTCTTCATCACTCTCGTTATCGTCCCTATCATCGGCAATTTTTTTCAGTTCTTCCACAACTTCTGGCGTGGCGATCAGCGCGTCAAACCTTAAGAACCCTGAAACGAGTGCCTCCTCGATGTTTCCCTCTTTGTATTCTGGTGTGTTTTTGATGAAGTCTGGCAGCTTATCCGAACAGTACTGGGCCACTTCTTGGCCCCCATGTCCGTCATAAACAGCGAAAAACGAGGTGTCTTCGTCATAGTCCAAGATACAGTTATGTGCATCCTGGAAGTGGTTTATGAAAGATGATTGGCTTTATTAGGTGGTTGTTTTACCTCTTGGGTGATACGCCAGCCTTGCATGGAACTTGCCCCATAAGTTAATTTGCCGTTGGAATCATCGGTGGACTCTTTCTCGGTGACCGGTTGTGATAAATACGAGCCCATTGTTGAATTTATTATTTTCCAAATTACGAAACGGGTTAGCTGGTGATTTTATTTTGTACATTAAACAATACCGGCACTAATTTACGACTTGTTATAACTCGATTCCATGCTGGACGAATTTTTAGACAAAACACTTGACAGGTACCGCCAGGTGGCGTCTACTCGGCGCGCCAAAATTACGCACTTGCACCAACAAGGCGCCACATTCAAATCAAAATACTTGAATACCATTTTTGTATTTTAAATGCTAAATAAATTTTGCATGCTTTTTTTTAATTAATTAGAAAACATTTGATTTGCAATAGGCTGATAACCCAACAATAATTGTTAAACAATGTAATAACATTACATTTTGTGACCAATAACAATTGTTATTTTCTCATTTAAAAACGCATCAGTAAGTATTTAATTATTTTTTACAACATACATGAAACAATTAGTGAATTAGTGATGTACAGTTGCGGAATTAAAATTTCGGACAGTATTGTCATTTACATAATGGAAACTCTAAAACAATCTTTACATTAATAACCTCATTTTTTACTCTTTTCATGTTTATGTCATTTTGACTTACCTATTTACAGTGATGGACAGTGAATTTCGTCCACCCAATTTCTGTGAATTCACAACAATTCACTGTAGGCTGTATTTTATTGTCATGATAACTGACATTCAAAGACGTATTGTCACATTTAATCAAATTCGAAGATGCCGGATGGCAAGCAGTAAGTGCGTTTAATAAAATAAAAATTATTTATCTGGTACAAGAAGGTATGTCTCAAAGACGTGTCTCTATACTTTTCGGCATTCCAAGGACCTCCATTTCAAAGGACAAAGGTAAAAAGTAGCAAGAAGCATCGAGCATTCTATCAACATGACAAACGTTAATCAAAATTCTGAAACAAGGTTAGGAAAACTTAAAGACTAATTTACACTTTTAATCTGTCAGGGAAATTGGGTGGACGAAATTCACAGTTCATCACTGTACTTTCAAAAATAGCGCCACCGATAGAAAAGTTTAATTGTCAAATGTCAGTCATTATGACAGTAAAAGTTATACAGTATAAGGTATAGTTTACAGTGAACTTTTTGAAGTGGCAGGTAAATACTGTCCGAAATTTTAATTCCGTAACTGTACGCAGCTTAAATTAATACTCTCAAAGGGCTGTGTGGCGAACGCAAGCTTCCCTAGCCCGAAGAGCACGAGTGTGCAGAGTGTGCTTTGCCAAGAAAAGACCACATTTGGAACAATTTTTTATAACAGTAAGTGGTGACCTATTAATACTGACATTGATCTGCCTTAATGTAGCGATAATTTTTTTGCCCTTACGCTGTTTACTTTCCGTAGTTTTTTTTTTTTAATAAATGGAAATATCATAGTGGAGGCGAAAACGGATTTTCAGCCGCCTCAATTTATTTTTAATTTTAGGTAACTCAGAAATGACGTGTTTTTGATAAAAGTTGGAAGTTTTCAGCTGCCTCAATTTATTTTTTTTAAACTCAGAAATGACTTGTTTTTGACTAAAGTTAGAAAGACAAAAGTTGTTTCTCTTGACAAGTTCTATCGTGCGATCAAAAAAAAAATAAATTAGAGTAGGCGGTGACTAAAGTCCCTTAGATGGCAATCCTGATTTTTGACATCAAATGTCAGCGGAAACTTTGACAAGTTTGCGTTTTATTCCTTTTGAGTGAAATAATGTTCACTTTAGAGCAGAAAATTTTTATTGCTGTACAAGACGAAAACGGTGAATGGTCATTTTCATTTTCAGTTTGTGTGGAAAATTTCCATCCCAGATTCCTAGCCAATGTGTTGCCAACTGTAGAATTTAACTCTAATTTATTATTTTTTTGATCGCATGGTATTAGTAGTTACAATATTTGTTCGTAATCCGCAAACAACCTGTATTATGGTCTCTATAATTACAAAAAAATGTGTCACATAAAATGAACTTAGGGCCAGTTTCATAATCCAATTTAAAGAAGCTTTAAATTAAATGTTGTTTAGATTGTGCTGATTACTACGGACTTGATGACAAAAATTTTACATTCTAAACCAACATTAAGTTTAAAGTCCCTTTAATTTGATTATGAAACTAGCCCTTAGTACGATAAAATACATAGATATTTCTAATTTGAACTTATTATAAATAATACATTTAATTTTTGTATTTCTAATTCATCTTAATACCCTAATTAATTTTATAACATTTAATGACGGCGAGAAAAAGCTCATATGTTTTTAATTAAATAAAAAATAACTTGTAACTGATGGCCAGAAAAAAACCTTATGAGGTTTATGCGTCGTAATAAATATGCATATGATGGCATGTTCATTTCTCGCAGTAGAATTTCGTAGTAAATAAATAAAAAGGATATAATATTCATCATGCATTAACTAAGAGCAAAAATAAACTTTTGCAGAATATGTTATAAGGTTACATTTAAATCAGGACGATGTTGAAAAACATTATGGTTTGAATATACGACGAATCTTTAGACATAAACATGGACAGAAATATGAAGAATTTTCATATCTCAAATTCTCGACTTTTAGTGCAATAAATATACATACAGTAGGTATATTTCTTTACTTGAAAGGATATTTTTGAATGCTTACACTTTATTTGTGTACAACTTATCAAATACTAAATAACTAAAAACTTGTAGGTATATATTTTTTTGTGATCGTTAAACGAGTCTTAACGATGACTCAGTTCCCGGCTAACCTAATAAGCCGAACAAAAGGCCACCCGCTGCAGCATGTCATTACTTCAAATTGCCAGTCTGCAATAGCTTTTCCAAAAATGCATCGTCATCAATCAGAATCCAACAAAGACCCAATTTAGAATATTTCTCCCACATTTTCTCTCACGCAAAATTACGATTAGAATTACAATTACAATTTTCATTAGTGAAAAAAAGCGCTTTTGTGAGTGCATGAAAAGATCTGTTTGACAAAAGATTTATTACGGTTTATGTAGGTGCAAAATTCTCTTATTCAAATATTCCTTTTACTAAAATTATTTACTTTCCTTGAAAAAATCTTCTCATATTTCCCGGATAATGCTTTGTTGACAAACAACAATAACAAAAATTTGTCAATATTTATGGCACAGTGAAATTCCAAGCTAATTCTTAGGGCTTCAAATTAAAAATAAACGTTTCAAAGAATTGATAAGCCTTGTTTTTCGTAATTAATTTAATTTTACGTAAAGTTACATACAAAGGTAAATAATTATCGCCAAGCAAACAAAGATGTTAAGAGTTTAAGTTTCTTAAACTGAATGTTCAGAATGCCAGGAATTATTCATAAAGTGTAAGCTCTGTAGATCAGAGAAGATTAATTTTTATAACATCCCGTTTTAATTTAATTTAAATTAAATTCGTCTGAGGTTACTTACGTGGATTCTAAATACCTGAAGCATTTATGTTTAATTAAAGTTTATTCGCGTCTTTATCAGACACACAAAAAATGTATGCCTAATTACTTTTCTGTAATTAGGTTAAATTTATTTGCAAAACCTAATTCCAAATCTTAAATAACTTAAATAAATCTTGAAATAACTCGTTTCGAATTAATGGAGTTGTGTTATAAACCAATCACGGTTTTAGTTATCCAGAGATTTAAGTAGCTTTCATTTTATTGAAAGTAACTGTGAAAGTTGACACTTAATCTAACATCAAAGCTAATTTTCAAATTTTTTGAACGAAATTATTATTATTTCATTTATTTCTTTTTCTGATGATAGAACACTTAAGCTTTTGAAATTATTATTCACACAAATAAAAGCGATTTTAAACAAGTGTAAATAAGTCTGCGTTTTTTTCTACGTTGTTTTATTGTCGACTGTTAGCGGACATAACTGCGTTAGAGCGCTGGAAAAATAGTATAAAATCGTAGAGTTATTACGAAAATAAGCTCATTTATGAAAGGTAACGTAATTATGAAAAATAAAAAAATAATCCAAGTACATTGTGTTTAAAACTCAGTCAAATACACAGCTGAATTTGTCCGTAAACGTTGAGAATCTAAAAATATAAAACATTGTAGAAACAGTCTTGCGACTTTATGTAAAGACTTGAAGTTTTTAAATCGAAATTTTGTTTAGTTTAAATCGTTATATTTAGAGTAATTTTTGATATAAGTCAATTGAAATGATTTGAATTTTAATTTCAAAATTGGTGGATGCGCCGGGATAATTATTATTTTGTCAAAACTCGTGATATGTGGCAATCTGTCATTTCTCATTACTTGGTGTAGCATTATCTGATAATGTGGGCTCACTGAAATTGCATTGTCATCAATCAGATTCTACAATGAAGCCAATTTAGATATCGAGTGTTCTTCCATGTTATACTATCGCTTTTCACTAAAAATATGTATACATTTTTCTATGGAATAAAATTCGTGTTATGTATACGTAATTTAGGCTCTACGAAAATCTGCGCTCAAAATTAAATAATTATTTTCTGTGCAAACAAATGTGTTAAGGCTTTAACTATCTTAAATTGAAATTCAGACGACAAAAGACGAGGAATTATTCATAAGTGTCTACTTGAAAGATATTCATTTTTAATAAAGGCTAGGCTTTAATTTGTATTCACGGCCAGGTTTTCCACGTATAAGAATACGATCTTTCAGAAATGAATTTCAAATGTTGTTTTTATTAATAATAATATTGATTTTGGTGAGATTTATCAAACACGACAAACATTTTACTTCTTGATACAAAAACGGGTAAATCTTTAATGGTGGTAATTTAACCCTTTTTAAAGTACTAAGATTAAATCCCTTCGAGTTTACTGTCATAATGAACGCATTATGTTTTTTGCAACATTTAAATTAGATTAAAAAAAAATCTTATCAATATTTTGTGTGTTGCCCTCATTTGTTTGTTTTGTTGTGCTCATTCTTTTTCTAATTAACACACATATTTGATCAGTTTTGTGTTGTGGTGGAGTCGAGCCAATATTTACATTAATCATTTCCGTTGGTTAAATTGATTAGATTTTGGGGTTTAATTTTAGGTTTTTCATTATTTATAGGGCCCAAACGAGAAAAGCTATGTTCAAGTACCTAAAACATTTGTGTCAGCCAGTAAAAAATATAACGTGTTTTAAATTGCACTCTTTCGTTTATTTTTAACCTCCTG